CAGCAGAACAGGGTAACTAAAGCTGCCCAGGGTTATGAGCCAAAGGGATGGGACAACTTGTACAATTAATAGGAATTAATGGATAACCTACAGATAACCCCATCGCCACCACTACTCTTCTCTAGAGAAGTTTCTTTCCTGAGATAACAAAGTCCTTCTTCATTAAAAAAGCAAGTGTTCAACAGACACCTGGGGAGGCAGAGGCTGAACCCTCCTTAGAAACTCGGGTTTTAATCTCAGCAATAAGTCCATTGTCAGGTGGATAAAGGCGAGTAGAAAGAGCCACGGGGATACAACAGGAGAAGGGAGCCTGGTGCAGGGCTGGGGAAGGGCAGGAAGGTTCTCACAGAGCAGGATGGGCTGATGGTCACAACACTTTAATCCTCCTCTGTGGAGGAGTCAATGGCAGTCACACCACCAGGGCTGGGCTCTGCCAGCGGGGAGTCTCAGTCAGCCTTTTAAGCTGGCAAAGACCAGAGAGTTGTTGAACGAGCCTTTTAACCATCAGTATTTAATCTATTTGAAATCATTCATTAGTAAAAGTGCACAGAAATTGCTGTTAGGCCATGGCACACAAAGCCAGTGTGTGGGGGACTGGCAGGGAATTAAAGGATTGAAGCATAATTCCCAGGTGCCTGGGAGGCCAGTGAGACCTCTTGAGCACACTTGTGGGTTGCTTTTTTTTAAACAGTATTACAAAATTGGCTGGATCATGTGTCATACACCATCCTACTGCAGTAACATGCCCTGCACAAAATGTGTACAAATCGATTTTTAATTGACTACTCATTAATGCACACAGAAAAAAAGGGGGGTGACAGCAGCTGCTGGCACCCCGGCAGTTCTCCCACAGGGATTTGCTCCTGAAAATTGTATCAGCAGGAAAAAAAATAAATCCAAACTAAACAGCATCAGCTGAGCTTTAAGGTGGCAGGCTGTAATTGTGAGAGAAAACATTGTCTACCCAAGTTGTACCTCCAATCCCAAATAGATTTAAAACCAAACCATCCCCATGTGCAGCTCCCAGACCTCCATTTCAAGCGGCTTCCCTGTGGCTGATCATACACCTGTTTTCCAGAGCAGTGCCTTTCTTCAAATTAGCTTAAAATTATACATAAAGTCCTATTTTCTGGGCAATGGTGTAATCAGGCAGGAAATCAACCTAATCAGTCTAATTCCAGAGCTGCATGGAAGTGTGTGGGCCAGTGCTGGAGTAGCTGGTGCTGGGGCTATGGGAACTGGGAAAGGCTTTAGGGGCCATGGGGCAGGAGCAGCTCTGGCACACGTGTTCCAGCTGGGCTAAGAGGGTTAATGTCAGCCCTGGATGATAATCCCCATGGACAGCGGGGGAGTGGGTAGGCAGCAGCTGGGGATGGCTGAGCCTTGCCAGTGAAGCTGCTGGTCTGAGAAGACTGGGAGAGTAGCTACCAGGGCAATGCTGATTTTTTGTGACCTGGGAGGAGATTTCTCATAAGGCAGGTGCCAGGGCACAAGGAGAAATGCAAATTCAGAGGGGAATAACATGGGATTTGTACTAGATAGAAAATCGATGCTGGGGCTGCCACCCACCCCCTTTAAATGGCAGTGAGTGACTGAGCCCGTGGCCCTCGGCTTCATCCCCGAGTGCAACTCAGGGATGCTCCAGGGATGGCCATAAGGACTGAGCTCACGATGATTTCAGAGGCTTCAGGACACAGGATCACTGCTGCTGCCCGCACAGCCCCCGGGGATGGGAGCCGTGGTAGCTGCAGGGATCTCTGGGCTGTGGGAGATCTTACAGGGATCATGGGGCAGTGGGACCCGCAGGGGTCCCTGGGCTCTTGCACAGGAAAGCACAGGGGCGCAGGAGTCGCAGGGGAATAAGCAGTCACTTACGCACTTGCAGAGCTGAGCCCTGTTCGTGCTGGAGGGAGGAAAAGGGGAGCCCTGAAAGGGAGTGGTTGGCTGGCACTCAGGACAGAGCAGCTCCATGTCCTAATTAAACCACTTCCCAGCCTCACATTCCTAAACTATCCCTCCCTGCTCCCCTCGGCTCTGAAAGCAGCACTGATGAGCTGCAGGCTCGGGGAGGCTGGCTGTAAGTAATCCTCTCATTATCCCTGCCATTTTCCCCCTCCTCCTCCTCCTCCTGCAGACACGGCCTCAGGATGAGGTAAGCATCACACTACCAGTAGCAGTGTATCTGCTCCTACTGCTGGCCGGGGAATGGCAGGGCATTAAAAGATGGCACAGACCAAGATGGTCTTGTTCTCCCCTCATCCCTCCGCAATGTGCAGGTGGCTCAAACACATGGGTCCACAGATCATTCCAGGAGTTTTTGTTCTGTGTCTCAGCAGTCCCTGCAGCCAGGCTGCTCTGGGGCCATGGCTCTTCCCTGTCTCACCAGACTTTCTAAGGAGCAGGAATGTGCGGGTCTGTCCCGGTGGCAGAGACTCAGTTCCAACAGCAAATGCATCTGCTGCATTCACTTTGGGAGCAAAGAAGGAAAAGCCCATTTCCCCACATGTAACACACCACACAGACACAAAACTGCAGACACTGGTCTCGGTGATCTTAGAGGTCTTTTCCAAACTTAGAGATTCCATAAAAGGACAACAAATCTTCCCCATGTGCACAGGAGACATGGCATGAAGCAATGGACTGAAACTGTCATGAGGGAGATTTAGGCAAGAGACCAGAAACACTTCCTGAGGCAGTGACAGCTTGGCCTGAGGTTATGAAACATCATTCATCCATCAGAGGGAAGGGGCTGCAGCGAGTAGTTCCTCTGGAGCCAGGATGGCTGATTTCTCATGATCTTGCGCTCCCCTTGCGCTAGACTGGAAGCATTTTAGGGCAGCACTGTGGGTTTCAATCCTTGCTGGGCATGGCAGCATGCTTGATATCCTAAAGGGCAAGAAAGTCCTCAAGAAAAATGCTTGGAAAGCACAAAAAAACCCTTTTCTCCGTGTGTGGAACAGCTGGAGCCACGCTGCAGGATCGCTGCCCAGCCCTGACTCCAAACACACTTCTACAGCTAAAACTTCATGGTCACCTACGTAACTCACACCAGAGGAGTTTCGTGTGGAATCAGGCAGTGAGCTTCCCTGGAGTAATAATGCTCATTTTCCAGAAACAGGCAGCTGGAACAGTCCCAGAGTGCTGCAGCAAAACAAGCTGGCAGATCCTTCTGAGAGGTGATGGGCTGCAAGGATAGTCAAGGCCTCAAACGGCCACTGAGCAAAGTGAGAGCTGCTCAAGAATTCAGGAAAAAATACCATTAGTGGCAATCAATATGGATTTGTGTTACCTCTGTGCTTTAATGGAGAGAGAAGCCTGCAAAGAGGCAGCAGTGCTGGTGTGCTATAGCACCTTCAGGAGGCATCCAACTGCTACCTGGCAATTTACGTAAAGAAAATAAAAAGGAAAAATATGGAATTGACACTTGGACCATAAAAAAAGGCTCAGTGTTGGAACCATTGAGTCCCTCATGAACAGGGGACTCAAAAAACGTTCTGGTGAGTTATTCCAAGATGAGTTCCCAACTTAAAGAGAACACAACTCCTCCCCTTTTGCAGAAAGAGGAACCAAGATTCCAGCTGGGAACATCACCAGGTAAATTGGGAATAACTGGTATAACAGAACTATAGTTCTCAGTGTAACTCTCCACATTAATTCCTCACAACCTTTTGCAGCAGCTGTCAAAGCACATCAAATCCCTCCACCTTCCCCCACAAAACCTGCTCCAGCTGCCTGCTCCCACTTCTTGCAGCAGCCCTCACGGAGGGCAGATCCCACCTGTGCACCAAGCAGGCATTTGCTCCTTTTCCCTCAGCCACCTCCAAACCTCATCAAACCCACAGAACTGGATGCTCAGTATCCAGTGACATTGCCCTGTAAAATACTGCTGTCTCACCTGGTGTTTTTAGGTTCCTAAATGGTATGTTGATAGGTTTATTGAATCTAAACCCACCCAGCTCTGACTTCACTGACAAATGAATCCATGCATGTCAAGGCAGAGCCAAGTAGATCTTATCCAGCCAGTAAATAAAGACAGACTTGGGGTGTATTGGTGTATTTTTTCACAGGATTTTAATTTGCATCTCTTCTTTGGACAGCACAGGAAGGGCTAGGGGCAAAGGACATAACAGAAACAATAAATGGTGAGAAAGTATTTTAAAATATAAGTACTTACACTGATTTCAATCAAGGCCTGTAAAACTTCTATGTTCAATACATGGAGTTTTCATTTGGAGATCGAGGGAGTGTCAGGATGATTCCGGCATTTCCAGAGACAGCCCAGATTTACACATGTTACAACATGCAAGAGACCCCTCCAAATGGTGTGGACAGACAGGTGTGAGTTCAAGGTACAGGCTTGATTTATTGGATATGTAACTGTAAAATGAGTTGCATATTTATAGGACAAACTTTACTAGGTAAATCATAGCATTATTTTCAAATAAAAAAGATAAACCTTACAGAATTGCAGAATCATTTAGGTTGGAAAACACCTCTAAGATCGAGTCCAATCATTAACCCAGCACTGTCCACTGACCACTAACCTTAGTGGCCCCTTTCAGCCTGAGAGGCTGGAAAAACTGTTTCTTATTTTAATGAGTAAAATTTTAGTAGAATAAGTACTGTAATTCTAGACTACAAAACAATTCCTGTATTAATTTATCAGTCAGAAATTAAAAACATTAATTATAGTAATTTTGACTCTAAAAAGGGGAAAACTAGAAACAGAGAAATGTAATATGTCGGCACCCTGGATGATTTTTCTCTCTTAGTTCCAAGGCCTCAGGGTGAGGGGGGTAGAGCCCGGCTCGCTCACACCGCACAGACCCGCAGTTCTCCCCCGCCACCTCCGGCCGGGCCGCGACGCTGCCATGGCAAGGGGGGCGGGGGCGGGGCCGCCCCCCTCCCTCCGAGAGCCGCGTTCCTGCGGGTGTCCGCCACCCCGGCACCCTGCGGCCTCTGTCTCCGCTCCTTGTCCGCCTTCCCCCCTCCGTGCCGGCATGCAGGGCCCGCCCTGCGAGTCCCTGCTCGACTACAAGACGGCCAAGTTCTCGCTGACGCGGAACCGGCGGGTGGGGCTCCTTCACCGGCTGCTGCAGCTGAGCGCGCTGGGCTACCTGCTGGGGTAGGGTAGGGATCCCTGCCCTCGGGGGCGGCCGGGGGTCCTGCTGGGGTAGGGTAGGGATCCCTGCCCTCGGGGCGGCCGGGGTCCTGCTGGGGTAGGGTAGGGATCCCTGCCTCGGGGCGGCCGGGGTCCTGCTGGGGTAGGGTAGGATCCCTGCCCTCGGGGGCGGCCGGGGTCCTGCTGGGGTAGGGTAGGGATCCCTGCCCTCGGGGGCGGCCGGGGGTCCTGCTGGGGTAGGGTAGGGATCCCTGCCCTCGGGGGCGGCCGGGGGTCCTGCTGGGGTAGGGTAGGGATCCCTGCCCTCGGGGGCGGGGGGGTCCCTCAGCGCTCCCCCCCGCAGGTGGGTGCTGCTGCTGCGGAAGGGGTACCAGGAGCGCGACGCGGCCCCGCGGGTCGCCGTGGTCACCAAGGTGAAGGGAGCGGCTCCCGCCGGGGCCGCGGGCCGGCGGCTCTGGGACGCGGCGGATCTCACCTGGCCCCCGCAGGTACGGCTGGGCCCCGGGCGGGGGCAGGGGGGGCTCCCAGGGGGTCAGTCCCCTTGGCAAGGGAACGCCGCTGGTACCGTTGGCCTTCCAAAGCCCAAACATGGCCATTACTGCCTGTTACCCCCGGTAACAGTGTCACAGGGCGTCCCCTGGGGTCACTCCCCAACTGATGGTGCCTTCTTGCTTCCCAGGGAGAAAATGTGCTTTTTCTGGTGACCAATTTCATTGCCACAGCCCAGCAGGCCCAGGGCACCTGTCCCGAGGTGAGTACACAGGGCTAGCCCAGCTCAGCCCCCAGGGAGTGGCGGATGGAGCCATCCATCCTGCTCCTCGGTGGGACCCAGAGGAAGACCAGATAAAAGGGAAAAATGGATTTATAATCCCAACAAACCTGATTCCCCTCATTCTCACTGCTCCATAGCTCTTCCATGCTCATCTGCACTTGCTCTGTCATGCCTGCATGAGCTAAGGTGTGTATCCAGATGCTCTGGCTAGAACTGCTTATGGTGACTAGGACAAGGCTGCTTGTGGTGACCAGGATAAGGGCCATTTGGGGCCTCACCAGCTTTGGGCTCCTTGGGTGGTGGCACTGTATGACCATTCCAGGCTTTCTGCTGCCCTCGGACAAGGGGACACTTTGACACGCAGTCCATGCATATTTGTGTCATGTTTCCTTGATAACTCCTTGCTGCAGGACTAATGTCCATCTTAGCGTCCTGTTTTTAGGAGGAACAAAACACAAGGTCTAGGTGGTTTCCCAGCCAGCCAACACTTAGTGGTATATGTTCTCTGGGAGAAATCTTCCCTTGGATCAGGCCAGCCTCCTTCGCTGAGCTCTCCCAGGCTGGACCTGGCTTGGTAGATGGGAGCAAATGTCCTTAAAGCTGAGCCACTGCTGGCACCTTGTGCCTGAGCCAAGCACTGATTGTCCTAATGGTCCCTTCAGCTCCTGCTGTGGCCAGATGCTGTGGGAGAGGAGGAGCAACCCTGGTTTGGGGTCATGGAAAATGGCACTAATGATCCATCTTTAAAATGCTGATAACTCCTAAAGTCTTGACGGGGAGGAATACAAGGGCTGTAAGGGCATTTCAGGGCTCTCACAGGCAGCCACAGACATCTCTGGGTGCTGGTTTTGCAGTGTGCAAGCCAAGGACACAGAGAGCAGAGGATTTCGTCCTGTTCCAGTGCTGGGGTGTGTGTGGGTGCCTGTCCCAGCCTGCACCTCATGCTGATCTCCTCAGTTCCTGGCTTTGGGGCTGTAGGTGACATTTATATTTGGAAAGCTTTGAAGATTTAGCAGTGACAGCTTTTGGCTCTTCAGGAAGTTAGAGCAGCCTGAATATTCTCTGACTGTTCTCGATGACCCAAGTATTCAGTGCTGGCAGGCCAGAGAGTCTGGGGCCAGAAGCAGCACCAAACACAAGCCAAGCTGTTTTAGCAGCTGTACATGCTCCTTGCATCCTTTTATCCCTCTATTTTCCAGTGTTTGTTTCTTTTCAGACTACGTAGTCCCCCTCCTTTCCATGCCTTCTCTTCCTTCTCTAAACAATCCATCCCCTATACACCCTGTGCAATACCCAAATGTTCTCTTGCATCCCATACTCCTCTAGGCAGTGACTCTCCACCCAGCCCAAAAGTGCTGCTCCTCTCGGCTCATGTTGGTGGGTTTCACACCTAAACAAGAAACTGAGGCTGTCCTGTGGCAGCCCTGGGAAGGTCTGGACAGACACCCACTTCTTCTGACTCCATAACTGGGGATTCCCTCTCTGCCTTTGAGCCTCTGTGCCCCCTGGGTCTTGGGGACATGGGTTTCTTATGGGCTGGCAACTCCTGCCATGACCTGGGGTAGCTGGAGAAGGTGTTACTGGTGTTCCCCCACCTGTCATCATCTCCCTGTGTTTGAATAAGCGTTTTTTACTACTCCTGGGAACCAGGTGGGTCCAGAGTGAGCTTTCCCTGTCTCTTGTAAAACTTGTGTCATGCTGGATTTAGGATCTACTAAGCTCTTCCCGAGGGGGTTTGTCATGGTGCTTTACAAGGCGCTTAATGGGCTCAGTCATTAAGACCCTCCTGAACCCCCCTGTGCTGGTTCCCAGTTGCAGCTGAAAGGTCTGAGGTAGCTCTGGAGGCTTCCTCTGCCTCTGAGGAGCAGGAGGCACGTGCTCCCAAGAGCATGGAGACAGGCGGGAAGGATTGTCCTTCAGACATGCATCTCTCCTTGCTGGCTGGAGGCTGTCCAGGGTGTGGACATGGTGAATGTTCTCCTCTAACTGTTTGGGAAGTGCTTGGAGAAACAGGAGCAGTAGCACAGCAATGGGGGTGAGTGACAGCATGGCCTCAGGTGGCTGCACAGCCAAGTGACAGCACTTGTCTCTTGTCCCTCCCAGAGCCCCTCTGTCCTTGATGCGACGTGCACAGAAGACGCAGACTGTCCCGTGGGAAACCCCGTGGTTCGTGGCAATGGTACTGGGGAGTTTTGCTGAATAAACATAAAACCCTAGAATGATTTGGGTTGAAAGGGAACTTAAAGCTCATCCAGTCCCACTCCCCTGCCATGGCAGGGACACCTTCCACTAGACCAGGTTGCTACAAGCTCCATGCAACCTGGCCTTGGACACTTCCAGAGATGGGGCAGCCACAACTGCTCTGGCCAACTTGTGCCAGAGTCTCACCACCCTCACAGGGGAGAATATCCCATCTAACCCTGTCCTCTGGCATTGGGAAGCCATTCCCCCTTGTCCTGTCATTCCAGACTGTTGTCCCAAGTCCCTCTCCAGCTCTCTTGGAGCCCCTTTAGGCACTGGAAGGGGCTTTAAGGTCTCCCTGGAGCTTCCTCTTCTGCAGGCTGATGAACCCCAACTCTCTCAGCCTGTCTTACATTCTCTTTAATTTTTAGGGATAAAAACGGGGAAATGTGTGATGTTCAATGCCACCCATTCCACCTGTGAGATCTATGGCTGGTGTCCTGTGGAGAACAGTACCCTGCCCAGGTAACGATAGATGAGGGGACAGCAGGTATTGGGAGCTTTGGTTTCTTCCCTGTGTGTAACCAGGAGCCTGACCCTGACAGTTGCCCAAAGGCAGCTGTGTTCAGGGAGACCTTTGACATCAGACTCCTGGTCAGTTAAGATCAGAGAACTTTACACAAGAGCGTTTCTTGCACCTGTCCATTGTGGCCAAAAGTTTGGGATTGCGGACGAGACTGTGGAGCTTGTGGAGTGGGGCTGTGCCTTGGCCACTGTGCAAGACTCGAGTTCATTGGTGGTTGTTTTCCAGGAAACCTCTTCTGGCTGAGGCGGAGAATTTCACTCTCTTTATAAAAAACACTGTCCACTTCACCAAATTTAACTTCTCCAAGTAAGTACAGTGCTTGCCAGCCAGCCTGAGCCTGGTCCAGCCTCAGCGCTGAGCCTGTCTGTCATGTGGCTGAGCACCTGGGGCCACGTGCCATGTGCCACTCAGGACAGGTGGTGCTGGGCAGTTACAGGCAGGATGGATGTTCAGGTGAACACCCTGTGTGTGCAACTGTGAAAGCGATAGGATGGGGACACCTCAGAGAGAGGGACTGGTCATGCCCATGTAGAGCACTGCAGAGAGCTGGACTAGGCCATCCAGGGAGTGCGACTTATATTTTTCCTTTTAGTCCTTGAAAGTGGTTTCACAGAAGCCACGTAAAGGGCTGCACTGGCCTCGCAGCCCCAGGCATGCTGACTGTGCTGCATTACCTGGCAGAAGATGCAGTGTGGGGCAGCTGAACTGTCCCTGCTGCCACCCCTGGAGCACTGAGTTGAGCTGGGTGGGAGCTGAGTGCTGGGGGAGAAAGAAGAAACATGGGAAGGTGGAGGGGAAGGCTATGGCAGATGCTGTAAAGTTTGATAACTCTGTGTGATTACCCTGGGATGGTTTTACTCTGCCCTCTCTCCATCTGAGGCTTTAGGCAAGGCAGTGACTTTTCCCCCACTGAGAGAACTGGGGGGCCCGCTCCAGCAGGAGGGTCCCCTTTTCAGTTCCAACAGACAGGCTCCATGACCTTCCACACTCTGTCCCCCTGACCCTGCTGTCTCAGGTGCAACACTTTACAAACCAGTGACCCCAGCTATTTCAAGAGCTGCACATACGATCCAGTCTTCAACCCCTCCTGTCCTGTGTTCCGTGTATGTAACATGGTGGAGGCAGCTGGAGAGAACTTCAGAGACCTCGCACTGCTGGTACTTGGCTTTTATAAAAGGATGGAAAATGACTCAAAATTCCCCAAGGATGTGAGCAAGAGGCAGAGGACAGGACTGACCCTGAAATGCTAAGGGAATGTATGATCTAGGAATGCCTGAACAGTAAAGAATTCAGCCAATTTCTGACCCCATGCTTCTCCTGGAGTAAAAATGTGTTTTGCAGGGGGGGAGCATTGGAGTTCTCATCAAGTGGGACTGTGACCTGGACCACCCTGCTGCCCAGTGCCAGCCACAGTATTTCTTCAGCCTGCAGGACACGAGGTACAATTTCAGGTGAGGATGCTGGGATAGTGGCCACACGGGGCTGTGGGATGAGCACACTGCAGTCATTTGAGATCTCAGTTCTGATGGGTACTCTGAAAGGACCAGCAGGGGCATGAAGTTTGCAGGTGTCATGTGCAAACTCACCTTCAGTCGATTCACCAGTCTGGGTAGGAGTGTTGGTCTGCTGGAGGGCAAGAGGCTCTGCAGAGGGATCTGGACAAGCTGGATCCATGGGCTGAGGCCAGTGGTGTGAGGTTCAACAAGGCCAAGTGTTGGGTCCTGCATTTGGGTAACAACAGCCCCATGGAATGCTAAAGTCTGGGGGCAGAGTGGCTGGAAAGCTGCAGGCAGAAAAGGACCTGGAGGTGAATATGAGCCCAGATGGACAAGGCCAAGGGCACCTGGACTCTACCAGCAATGGTGTGGCAGCAGGACCAGGGCAGTGACTCTCCCCCTGTCAAGAAAGACATTGAGGGGCTGAAGCATGTCCAGAGGTGGGCAGGGGAGCTGTGGAAAGATCTGGAGCACAAGTCTGATGAGGAGTGGCTGAGGGAGCTGAAGGGGCTCAGCCTGGAGAAAAGGAGGCTTAGGAAGGACATTCTCACTCTCTACAACTCTCTGACAGGAGGGTGGAGCCAGGTGAGGGTTGGGCTCTGCTCCCAAATAACAACAGATGGGGCTAGAGGAAACACCCCCAAGGTGTACTAAAGGAGGTTTAGATTGGGTATTTGGGATAATTTCTTCACAAAAAGGGTTGTCCAGCCCAGCAGAGGCTGCCCAGGGTGGTGGTGGAGTCCCCATCCCTGGAGGGATTTAAAGGCTGTGGCACCTGGGGACATGGGTTAGTGGAGAACATCGTGGTGCTGGGTTAGGGGTCAGACCTGATGATCTTAGAGGGCTTTTCAACCTGAATGATTTTGTGATTCCAAGACAACAGGAAATGGTAACTCAGAGTAGGGTCTGTTAGTACCAGGATGCTATGGCAGATTCGCTGTGTTTGGAGCTGTGCATGGCATTACCTGCCTGAGGCAGGGACCTCTGGCTGTCTACACCTGAACTGGGTGCATTGGGAGCTGTGTTTTCCCAGACTGGGTGCTGAGGGGATGCAGATGCCCCACTACTGATGCCAGCCAGCGAGTCGTGGCAACACGTATGTCACCCAGGTCCCAGTCTGGAGGACACCAGCTGTGCACAGGCACCCAGTAGCCCCAGCAATCCTTCGGCACTGGCAGCCCACGTCCCTCACTGCTTTCTGAGATGTGTCCAATGTCTCCCACAGAACTGCCTCTTACTACTGGGACTCCCAGCGACAACTCTACCGGAACCTGCTGAAGCTTTACGGCCTCCGCTTTGACATCTCCGTGCACGGCCAGGTACCATGTCCTCCACAGCCCTGGTAGCCCCCAGGGCTGACTCCTTGCACCAATTCCCGCTGCTCTCCTGCAACCACCCCTGTGGCTTCCTGCTGCCGTTGCTTCTCCCCATCCTGGTGAGCTCTTCACCTCTTTGCAGAGTTTTCCAAGTAGAGTGGGAGAAAATGATCTCTCCCATTTAAAGATAAACCTCTTGGTTATTCCCTGAGCAGGGAGGCTTCCCTCCCTGAGGGTCTGACACAGGGGCTGTGAAGTGTTTTGTAGGCAAGGTGAGCTGGTCTGGGTCTGTGGGCATCTCTGAGGGTTTTGAGGGGGAAGCACCCTGGCAAAGGACAACCTGAACTTTTCTGAACCTGGACAGTTAATCCCCTTTTGATTAATTGTACCCTCAGGGACAAAAGGTGTGGGCATGATCATGGCTGGACATGCCCCAGCCATTTGAGCTGAGAGCCCTGAAACCTCTAGTTTCCTGGGCTCCTCCCACAGCATGGGCAGCAGATGATGGGAAGACTCTGCCCCTCTGCCCTGCTCAGGTGAGACTCCACTTGCAGCATCACTGACACACGCAGTGCTCAGCTGTGCAAGAAGGAGTCTGTAATGAGAGCTCTTGGCACCCTGAGAGATGTCCACAGCTGGCCTGTCACACTCAGTGTGCCATTTGCACCTGAAGAAGGTGAAGGATGCAGCATAGGACAGGGAGCACCACTTCTGGGTAGTGAGGGCAGGTCCAGGAGCAGGAGAGAACAGCCACCACAGAGACTGTAACCCCAAAATCTCTCCCCACAGAGACCACCAGACTCATTTGAGCAGAGAGGGACACATTGCATCAGGGCCATGTTTGCTGGGATGTGGTTCCATGCGTGGCAGCTGCAGCAAGAGGGAGGCTCCTGCCATGCCTGGGGGAGTAGGTGGGTCACAGTAACCTCTGCTGCCACCAGATCACCAGCTGTCAATTCCTCCTTTGACAGCCAAAGGGGTTTAGAGTCAGCGCAACAGCAATTCCTAGAGTTGGGCATGGAGAAATGTTCCTGGATCCCTCCTGCACCCCCCATCTTTAAGCACACTGCCCCACTCCCCTCTCACCACTCTTTACTCACTGTCTTCCCTCTCCACTATTTCTCACCAGGCTGGGAAGTTCAGCATCATTCCTACTGCCGTGAGCTTTGGCACAAGCATTGCCTTCTTTGGTGCTGTGAGTACTCCAGATACACTCTTTCCCTTCAATCCATGGCTTGGGATTTGCCGCTCATGGGTTGTTTCCCTGCCTGCCTGGGCACAAGGTTTCCTGGGTGCCAGTCAGCATGAATGGGAGATGATCTGGCAGGCTGTCAACTCCTGTTTCCCTGTGACCATTAGCAGTAATGGCAGCACTGGGATCCTGAGCACTGTCAGGGTCATGTCTCATGGGGGCCAGGTGTTTGTGTGGGCCCTGGGAAGGGGCATTGCTGGGGTGCTGCTGGCAGGAGAGAGCAGCTCCACTCTGCTTCTCCCCTGACTCTAAAGTGACTTGGTGTCCTGTCACCACATGGGACAGCTCCTCATAGAGCCCTTATGTGGCTCTTCCCTTCCAGGTAACTGGAAGGGAGCCTGAGGTCTCCCACCTGCTCCCTCTTTCATCCCTAACATGCCCATCCCAGCCCATACAGAGTTGTGAGGGCACTGGAAGAGCACTCCCTGCATCCATCCATGGCAGCCCAGGTGATCCTGTCTGACCTCCTATGCAGCTCATGGGAGCCTGTTGGGTCAGAGAGGAGCCATTGGAGTTGGCAGGTGACCTGATTGGAGGCAGGGCCAGCTCACTGCCCTCAGCACTGGCCCACAGCCAGTTGCGGGACTCACTGGGAGCTGTGGTGGAGGGCCAGACGTTCCAGCAGGAAGTTTCCCTGCATACAGTCTTCAACATTTGTCTGTCTCCAGGCTACAGTGGTCTGTGACCTGGTTCTGCTCTACCTGGATGCAAAGGCTGACCTTTATTGGAAGGAGAAGTTCGAGGAGGTAAGGGTGGGGCCACATGGGAGAGAGAAGGTTGGAGTGAAGGTTTTTGGAGTGAATCATTTTATGATTTTCTGCCCCTTGGTTAAAACTCAGTTCATAAGATCTGGGAAGATCCTGGTGGAGCAGCTCTTAGTCTCCAGCTTTTGGGCTTGGTGGCTGGTCTGAACTGGGAGAGAGATGCAGCTGATACCAGGAAAAGCTGCATCACAACTTCAGTTCCTGTTAGACAACAAGGGGTCCCCATGGGGACCGTATCTGGAAATGTGACCCAGCTCCACACTTATTCATCTTCTCTCAAAGGGAATCTGGCTGGACTCCATGCAGAGAGAGGGCAGCTCTTCCGAGCATGTCCTGTGCTGCAGTTCAGTGACAGGTTTTCATGCCTCACATGATTCCTGCTGTGGGAATTCACTTCCCTGGTGAATCAGTGAGTCACAGGGAGGGCCCCACAGAGGAGAAGAGCTGCCAGCCCTGCCTCCAGCTTTGTCTGGCCAAGTCTTTGGAGCTTCCAAGGACTGAGATCCACCAACTGGTGGTGAACTGTGCCAGGGCTGCACCATCCTACAGATGGAGAATGTTCCTGATGCCAGATCTCAAATCAGGAGCAGAGTGGAAGTCTTGGACAGTGAATCTGTTCTCATAGGACCAAGGAGAGCAGTGCAAGTCCACCTGGGCCGTCCCTATGCCTGTTGTACTGTTACCCCTGTTCATTTTCCAGGCAAAACCCCCTAAAGGTAAACCTGAGGCCTCAGCTTATGGACATCGGGAATGCTCCACCACAAGCACCCTTCCTTCTGGAGCCACCTCCAGGTAGATGTGATGGGGGCATGGCTGCGGCCCAGGTGAAGGTGGGCCAGTCCTGGCCCAGGTGGGCACTGCTGGGGTTAGGGTCTGCCTTTCCTGGAGAAACATTGGCAGCTGCAACAGTTCTTGGAACACAAAGCCATCCCAGGTGCCACTCCCAGCACTGATAACTGGTGCCGGACAAAGCTGTGCTTGCCAAAAGACGCTTAAAGCACTATATGTTTCTCCACATTATGATGGCTGTGGGCTTTGATTTCCCATGAAAACCAGAGATGCAATGGAATAAAGCTGTTCCAAAAGTGGGAGGTGACTCTGCTCTGTCTCAAGCCCTGCTGGTGGCTGTAAGGTTTTGGGATGCTGCTCTCGCACCACCCTGCATGCTTCCAGCTGGGATGACTTCACGTGAGCTGCCCAGATCCTCGGGAGGTCCCTGGGAAGCTCAGAGAGGATTTAAGATCCCAGCTTAAGGCTCCAGTCCTGGGCTGGTACTTCCTGGGGGGTGCAGTGGTTTCCGCACCCCCACTTCCTGCCTTCTTCCAGGGCTGATGCTCAGCAAGGGCAGGCAGAGCCCTGGGGCAAGCCGGAGTGTTTCAGAGGTGCTGACCCCTCACTCCCACCTGCCCCAGGCTGTATCAGCCTGGTGCAGGGCAGGGATTGTCCAGGTCCGTGCCCAGGGACTGCTCTGTGAACTCCACAAGGCTCAAAAACACAGTTTCTGTGGCTTCAAGCACCATTTAATGCTCCCTACTGGGACTGACTGTGTGGTTTGGAGGGGTCCTGCAGCATCACTGCACCTCAGCTGCCTGTCCCCCTGTGCCCCCTGGCCGGCCCCTCCTGCCCTCCTGGAAATGCTGCAGGTAGAACTGTGCCGCCAGCTGCTTGGTCATGGTCTTCAGCGCCAGGAAGGCAGCCACGATCTCGGCAAGGAGGAAGGCCAGGAACAGGCTGTGCATGGGCATCTCCAGTGGCAGGTGAATGACCTGGCTGTCTGTCAGCAGGAAGAGCAGGAGGGGCAGCTGGATCAGGAAGGAGAGTAGCAGGAACCCAGCCAGCTCAGGCACCTGCAGGAGCAGAACCTGCTGAGATGGGGTGAGGAGGCAGCGGTGGGGTCAGGGGACCCTCTGCGACCCAGGAGCTCCTTGCATCGGCCATTGCCAGCCTGGGTACCGGGTACTGGGGATGTCCCTGCCCACAGAGCTGTGGTCAGATGTGGTCAGATGCTGTCAAACCCAATGCTGGAGGATTGCACCCACAGGAAGGATAAAGCAGGAGGGTGAGTCCCCTTAGTCTCCTGCCTTCAGGTCCTTCCTGCACTCATGATTCCCTCTGGAGACAACTCCTGGCAGAACTCCAGGAAGAACAGGGCAGTGATGGGCACTTGGGTTCCAAGGGAGGGCCCATCAAGCTCCCCCAGCTGGGCTAACCCTCACTGAGCAAAAGGGGCTTGTGTGCCAGGGCAGGTGGCGTTTACCTTCTCCTGAAGATTGCCCAGGTAGCCCAGGTAGAGCCGGGAGCCCTCAGACAGTGAGAGAATGAGGAAGGCTGTGACCAGCAGGAACTGGTAGTGCCAAGGCAGGAGGTGGTACTGTAATGTGAGCACAGCCTTGTCCCAGTCAGCTCCAGCCCCTTCACCCCAGTCCAGTTGTCCATGCCTAGTTTCCCATATCCTGTGCACCATTCCCTGCGCTCAGTTCCCAGATACCTGTGCCCTTCTCCCCATCCTATTTGCCCTGTCTCCTGCACCCCATGCCCAGCTTCCTGTGTCCTCCTCCCCATACCCAGTGCTCCATGCTCTGCCAGTCCCACCATGCTGGTGCCCAGCTCTGCCCATTTTTCTCTCCCAGTTTAACCTTTCCTGCCTGGAAAGTTCCTGATTTCCACTTCTGGCAGCCAGAGATGACCCGTCTTGACTCATGGGAGTCAGGGCATTTTGGAGACCCATTAATTCTGAAGAGGCTCCCGTCTCTGTTTCCCCCCTGTTCACTGTTCCCCCCCTATAACAAGGGAGGCTGGGCAGGAGCAGCTCACCCATGTGCCCCATGGGACAGTACCTTCAGCTGCAGCATCATCCCCTCAGCCAGGCACCAGACAGGGAAGTAGTAGACGTTGAAGTAGAGCATCACCTGGAGGGGCAGGCTGGCCAGCACCTCGTGGGCTAGGCAGGATGGGCAGGAGTGGGCAGGCTGCCCAGCATCTCCGGTGTCCCCCTATTCAGAGGGACCCCGACTCGCAGCTTGTGGAGTGGAGCAATAGCCCACAAGCACAAGCAGCTCTTTGCAGAGTTATTTTTGCTCCCCTCCTTGGTGGGGGTGGTACAGAGATCCTTTGGGTGCTCCTGGCTCAGAGGCACCCAGGTGATGTGCTGAGCAGGCTTATGGTGATAACCCCCTCCCCAAACCCCCCTCTGCAGAGCCCCACTGCCCATACCTGGCTGGTAGAGGTGGGCAGTGCCGCTATCCTGGGTCTTGTTGGTTATGAAGAGGGAGCCACTGAATGCCACCAAGCCCCGGCGCAGGTTGGGGGGCAGCGGGGTATGCGCAGCCATGGCTGACAGCCGAGCCCTGCTCGCTCCAGCCCGGCTCAGCCAGGATTAGCCGGGAGGGAATCAAGGGGATGACAGGTCAGGCTAATATGCGGGGCCACCTGACCACTGGCTCCCCAGGAACAGGGCCACTGAGATGGGAGGGGGATGTGGGGAAGGAGAATTGCCACCTTGGAACATCAAGCCTACGTGGGAATCACAGGACAGAGTTGCAAAGGAGTCACAAGTCAAAAGCATCTCCCCTCCACAGCAGCAGATTGTACCCATCACTGTGACGGGGACCCAGTGGTAACCTAAGCAACTGCACCCTCTCCCAGCCAGGCTATATCAGCATAATTACTGCTCAGAGCCCCCTGACAGAGGAGGATGTCCCATGAAAGAATGATGCTCTCCACCTGTAATGCTGCTTCAAGGCCTCCAGGCTCACGGAGCATTTACCCATCCCTGTGAGCTCCCCTGCTAACAGTCTGCCCCTGTGGATCTCCACGCTGCTCAGTGTCCCAGACTCCATCCAGGCTCAGGCAGTGGGGGATGGTGTGTGAGGGGTTGGTTGAGCCAGAGGTGAATGGCAGGGAAAGGGGATGGCACTGCGGGCAAGTTTAAAATAACAGAATCATTAAGTTTAGAAAAGCCCTCTAAGACCAGTAAGTGCAACCAATTAACCCTGCACTGCCAGGCATCCCACTAAACCATGTCCCCATGTCCAACATCTACACATTTTTTTAACACTTCCAGGGTTGGAGACTAATCCACTGCCCTGGGCAGCCTGTGAAAGGGCTGGACAACCCTTTCCATGAAGAAATTTTCCCTAATATCCAACCTAAACATCCCTTGGTGCAACTTGAGGCCATTTCCTCTCACCCGGCCAGTTGTTATTTGGAAGCAGAGCCTGACTACCACCTGGCTCCATCCACCCTCCTGTCAGGGAGTTGGAGAGAGCAAGGTCACCTCTGAGCCTCCTTTTCTCTGGGCTGAGCACCCTCAGCTCTCTCAGCCATTCCTCCAGACCCTTCAGCCACTTGCGCTCCAGACCCTTCCACAGCTCTAAGGAGCAGGAGCTGCTGGAGAGCTCACATCTGTGTAGGCAAGCAGGGTGAGCAACCGAGAAGATACATGGGCAGCCTGGTGAAAGTAACTGTGACAGGGCAATGCAGCTGGGGGGTCACTAACGAGCCTGTGCCCCAGCCTGATTCTCATTCCTCATGGGAACGGGCAGTTTCCTAAGAAGAGATGGAAACTTTCTGTCCTGGTGTGAGAGGTTGCAAGAGGTGGCAGAGAAGACAACCCAGCCTTGCCCAGCTCCAGGACAGGCTCACAACCAGGAAGCATTTGCAGTGGACAAGGAGTCCCAGGTTCAACACCATCCCACACCATTGCAGAGTGGAAATGTCCATCTTTTGTGGATCCAGCAGACACACAATGGTCCCTGTTCATTCCCTCCAGCTGTATGCTGGAGCCTGCACATCCTGCCTACCTCCCCCACCCCGGTCATTCTGCCTGAGAAAAGCCTTGCAGTGAAACCAGAGAGATAAACTAGAGATGTGATAGACACTGGTGACATTTCTACCCAGCCAAGATCTGAAAGACTGGAAATAAATAACTGGTGAGCTGAACACAGATGGAAAGCCTCCAGAGAAGAGGTACTTGAAACTCCTGGCGAACCTGCAGAGTTGACCCAAGGTCTTAGAAGGAATCAGAAATTACCCAGATCCCAAAAACAGTATTGCTTTAATTCATAGGGGGTTAATCAAATTAAAAATATAAATCCTCTTGTTTTGGATTCAGGGTAAAACACTGACTGCTGGGGAAGGAGTCACCCCCAAGACAAAGCACTGGAGGCTCTCCGAGGGGATCCTCACCCTCCCACTTGTTAGGTTGATAGACACAGGGCTGTGGCTGGCCAGGTCCACTCCTGAGCTGGAGACATGGCTCTTCTTCATCAGGGGCAGGAAACAGGACATCAGAGCACTTGCATGGTGGGCTAAGAAATGCAGCCTTGTCACTAGACGACAGGACAGACGATGGATGGCTCCTCCAGCTACTTTTCCTCAAGCAGCAGCACCAATCCCATGATGTCATTAAGGAGAGACATCCATCCCAAGGCTGGCTGGAAGGGTGGCCACCAAGTCCAGGGCTGCAGCTGAGCTGTCCCAGCTCTCCAGGGACCCCTGCTCCACACCCTGGGGATGGACCAAGAGCTGCAGGTGCTGGGATGGGACCAGTGAGCTCCAGAGTCCCTCAGCATAGGCAGGGACCCGCCTGTGCTGGGGTGGGCTGGGCAGGACCAGCCTGGACCACACAGTCACAGGCTGCACAGAGACCACCCGCTGTGACCCCATCTCCTGGCCCACCCAGATGCCCCCTGGAGTGGGTGAGCACAGGGAGAGCTGTGGCAAACACTGCAGTCATGCAAAGAGGGAGTGGATGTCAGGCTCTGTGGGGATGCGCATCAGAACTCTGCTGGGAGTGAAGAGAATTTGGGAAGGAGCATCATGCATGAAAGCACAGGAGCACCCAAAGGCACTCATGCTGCTTACAGAGGTGAGGGATGTGCATGGGGCAGACCCACCTGGGGACCCTCAACCCAATGGCAGCATCTGGAGCCACGCCACACCAATGCCCATTGCCACAGCCAAACCCCACGGTCTCTGGGGGCTGCTCTTCCAGTCCCATGGGAATTGCAATGGCAGAACCTAACCCAGCAAGCACTGGGGCAGAGATGCCATGGGAGGTCCTCCTGGGAAGGTCAGTGCACAGTGCCAGCCATGGGTTCATCCAGGTCTCAAAGGGAAATGGCTGAGCCATGGGTTTTCCACCGGGCCATGGAGCTGCTGTCCTGTCTCCACACGGCAAGTGCAGCATCAGGAGGGCACAGCCACCAGCATATTAGGAGCCTTTCCCTGATAGCCAAGACATGTCTCCGGTTCTAAAAGAGGGAAAAACAAGATGGGGTGTTTCTCAGCACGTGTAAGCAAATGCTCTCAGTGCTGTCTTGGTGCTAGTCCAGACACTGTCATTGGTGCCCATCCCCGCACCCTGCTGTGCTGGGCCCCTCCTCTGCCCTCATTCACGTCATTAAACTGTCCAAAAAGTCCGTGCAGATCCTCAATTCCACATAAAACGGAGATAAAACTTTTCTTTTTTTACTTAAACCCAGCCCTTCTCGCATTCAGCTGAAAATTCATGGAAGCACAACAAACCTCCAGCCAAGCAGGGTCCCAGCCAACAGGCAGCTGCCCATTTGCAGCAGATCTGTGCCTGATGTGGCTCCTGGCACCCCCAGCCCTGTCACCCAGCACAGCAGCATCGCTCCCCTGCGAGAGGGATGCAAAACATGGATGCCCACCATGTAAATCAGTGTCCCACATGGGAATTAGAGATGTGGCTCAATCAGGTGGTTGGCTGTCCCTCCTGCCAGCCCCTCATGCCCAGCACACCCAGGACCCCAAATCAAACGTACTTGCCGTGACGGACAAACAGCCTAAAGTTGTGAAAGCAGCAGAAGACAGAGAGAGAAAAGACATTCAGGTTTAGGTGGTCTGGTTTCCTCCAGGCCCCAAGCCCCACCACAGGGCCAGCAGCTTCCACCCGCCACTGGGATGCCCATGAGATACCACCTCCCTCCCAGTGAGCAACCATTTCCCCATGTACTGGGGATGACGTCACAAGAAATCCTTCCCTGTGAGGGTGGGGAGGCCGTGGCACAGGTTACCCAGAGAAGCTGTGGCTGCCCCATCCCTGGAAGTGTTCCAGGCCAGGTCAGACAGGGCTTGGAGCAACCTGGTGTAGTGGAAGGTGTCCCTGCCCATGGCAGGGAGTGGGATGGGATAGGTTCCTTCCAATCCAAACCATCCTGTGATTTTATGAACCCTGTCTCCACTAGGTGGACCCATGACATTCTCCCATACCAGGGGTGCCCAGGGAGTTTGAGCTGGTTCAGACCTGCCTGGGGGCTGGGAGTGCTCCTCTCCCTGAGCTTTTAAAAGATCTGCTTTTATTCCTCATGTGGAAACACCCCTGGAACAGGAACCCACATCCCCTCAGCAGCTTTGGTTCCCACTCTAAAATCTCCCTCCCAGCTGTTACCACCTCTCTGGTATTAGCCTTCCAGCACTCACTCTCAGCACAAAGGGCTCTTTCCTCTGCAAGGTCTTAAAAACAAAGTGAATGAGAAAAATGCCCTCTGTCTATGAACTCTGCTCCAAGGAACTGGAGGCTGAGACACCACAGGCCGGCATCCTGGTACCACCAGCTCTCTGGGCTGGGTTGTGCACAGAGGGTTGCACACAGGCTTTACACTCAGCCCCTCTCTGCAGATGCTCCTGACTGACTGGGTGCCCAGGGGCACCCCAGCATCAGGCAGTGCTTCCTTGGTGATGTGCCAGTGCCCAAAGGCAGTGAGTATCCCCTTCCCATCCAGTCCGTGCAAGGATTTGGGTCCTGGTGTTTCAGACAAACCCCATATGTGCAGGATGCCAGAGGAAGCTGGAGGAAGATGGGAGGCAGCACTAGGGGGATGGAGTAAGCAGAACAGGAAGGTTGATGCAAGGATATGCAGAGGGAGTAGCAGGAAAGAGCTGCCTTTGGGTGCTCAGCCCTGCCCTGCACTCCATGGCTGTGCTTTGCTGCTGCCCTGGCACTGCTGGTTCCCGCCGCATGTCTACTTACTCCACATCGCGCTTCCGGATGGTCCTGCCAGCAGCCAGGACCTCAGCCACCTTGGAGACAATTGGGTCATAGTTCATGCTGGCCACAGCCACCACCTCATCGCTCCTAGGGCCGGGGCAGAGCAGAGCAGTTAGGGCACCCTGGATGGCCACAGCTCCATCACCCAAAATCCAGCATGCTGGAGAGAAGGGGGAAGCAAAGAGAAACACCCACTCCAGAGCCAGGCCCGATCCCAAGGTGTGAGCACCACAAGGACTGTGCTAGTGGCATGGGACAAAGGTCAGGAGAGGGCTCAGAGCTGACATGGCAGGCTGGCCCCAGTGGTCCCACCAATGCTCATGTGCTGGCATGGTGAGCATCATGAGGGTGCCTGGGGGACAGAGACAGCTCTGGCACCCTGGCATCTGTGGGAAAACACCACCAAAGGTGGATCTGATGGTGGATAAAAACCTGGACACCAGCAAGGATGCCCAGTGGTTGCTGCAATCCCTGGGCTGCTGCCTTGTGCCAAAGGAAGTGCAGAGGCAGGTGGTCAGGATTTCCTGCAAATGTGGGACACTCGGTTGGAATGCTCCACGTTCTCTTCCTGATCCCCACCTCCAAGTGGGCTGAGTGCCCACCTCTGAGCCACTCCACAGGCACCAGGACAGGGGTGTCCAACACCAGGGTCCCACAGCCCCAGTGACAAAGCCCCCGTGTATATGGGATGTCCAGGCCTGTTCCCCACCAGGATTGCAACACAACCCCAAAGGTTGAGTGGGAAACCAATGAAGTGGACGGAAGAGAACGTAAAAATGCTGGAGGAGCTTGGGCTAAAGGTCACAGGCAAATGAGAAGGATTCTTCTACTTTGAGGCTTGTTGGAGTCAACCCAAGCATAAACCTTCAAAGACTGGCCCATGAGACCATTCGTGAAGAGATAACTGAATGGCCAAACGATGTGAGATCAGGGAAGGCGTGTGGGTAAGATATTAAACTCTGGTGATATTGTTGAGTAAACTGAAGCATAGAGGCACCCATTAAACCAATATCTGCTCTTCAATCTCCTGCCAAAGAGCTCTGTGATCAACAGAGCAAAGGACAGTCAGGGTGGGGGGGATGTATGCCTAATTCCCAGGAAGAGGAGAGCAAAAGCCATGTTTCAGAGGACACTTTATCCCTGCACAGCCATGGGAGTTAAAGCCATCTCTCACAGCTGTCCACAAAACCACAGGGCAGTTCCATTGCAAACTGTTTCTCAAGGCTCCTATTCCTAAATAAGTTCACTGCAAATAAAAGAGAGCAAGTTTCCTGAGCACAGCCAGCTCCCAGCTAGGCAACACAAAAGTGGTTGGAGAGACCTATCCATCAAAACCAGGGGGAGATGTGCTGTTCCGAGGCAATGAATAACTAAGGTGTGTAAGAGAACTGAAAGGAGGACATACTCCACCAGTTGTCCACCAGCTCAGCCTCAAGCCCAGACAGTGCCCAACATGACCAGCTAGGAAGGTGGATGCAGCCCAAACATTTCTATCAGCAAGACATGGGTCAGCTGCTCCTTTTAAAAGATAACCATGGGATCCCGGTGAGCTGGAGCATCCCACATCAGTGGTGGCTTTTGAACACTTTGTCAAACAGATGGGGAGCCTGTAGGAATCCTTCTTTTTCAAAAGGCCTTCAGAGGCAACAAGAATCAGAAGTCTTGGTGTGGAAGCTGAGGTAAAGGGAGCATAGTGGATGTGTCTACATGGTCTTCCCTTCTTTTGCAGGGTTAAACATAACAGAAGTAGGGAATCATGAAGAAGACAGCCACAACAATTCCCTGGTCTCCCTAAGGTCTTAGGGGTGTGATGACATCAGTCTGTTCTGGCTGAAGTGCTGCAGTGAAGGCAGTGTCCCACGGGGACACCTGCAGAGCGCTGTCCTGTACATCTCCCTGCACAGGGCCTTTCACTGACCTCTAAACAGCTCTGACCAAGAAGAGGTGAACAGCTTTCCTCTTCAAAATCTGGGTCAAAAAGAGCCTTATTGTGAAAGTCAGTGCTGAGGACGGGCTGCAGGAGTGGGAACCACCAGTAGTTCCTGCAACAGCCAAGGACAACCAGGAGAAGAGTCCAAACCATGGGGTGGGCACAGGAGAAGGAAGCAGAAGAAAGTAGGTTTGGGACTGTCCTCCGTCAAAAAGCACTAGCACCAACCGGAAGAACCATCACCAAATCAGAAAGAGGAAGAAATGCTCCAGTGGCCCCTCACAGAAGCACAAATAGGGACATTTGTGATGACAACTGAGCAAAGCAGCGGGGGACACACTGGCCGACCCCTGCCAGATGGTGCTCCCCAGTACCTCCGGCTCTCAGCGTGGAATGCCATCCTGGTACCCAAAAGCCATCTCTGGGAGCACCTCCTGGGTAGCAGAACAACACAGCATTCAGTGGCGGACCCCCACTGCTGCCCACTGGGCCCAGCTCCCCTGTGTGCCTGGGCAGACCCAGGCAGACCCCGCAGCCACTGCAGCACACAGGGAGCAGGGCACAGAGCAGGGATTCTGCACCTCGCTCAGGGCATTCCCTTTGAACAGGCCCCTCAGATGTTTAATTAAAGCAACCTGACCTTTCCTTTCTAATTAGGGTGGGGATAAAGTGCTAAATGCTCTGGTATGAAAAGGCTGCAGGAGGGGAACGTCTCTACAGCAGCTCTCCCTAGCACAGGGAGTGCCTTGGCACAAACATGCCCCTTTATGCAATTTTGGCCAAGGTGCCAGCACACTCTGAGCTGTGTCCAATGTGCTAAGGGCCCCAGGTGCCAGATGGAGCCCCATCCCCTGCAGCAGGTGTTTACCTGACATGTTCAGGCACCAGGAGGAGGAGGGGGAGCATCGGGGACCCATGGAGTGATAAACTGAGCCCTGCCTCTCCAAGCCTGAGGGACACATCCAACTGCCAGGTTCCATTCTGGAGCAATGTGGCACCCTCAGGGAGGGAAGGCATGAGAAACAGTGGGGAGGGAACAGAGGGGCAGTGAGATGATCTCTGCAGAGCCACAGCTGGCTCCTGTCCTGAGCTCCCTCCTGATGCCTGCCTGGGTGCTGCTGCTGGTAGTTTGATGGCAGCCCTTTGCTTCCCTGGCTTCCCTCTCCCCATCCGTAATATCAGAAAGCACTTGGAAAAACCCCTTTGGCTCCAGGCATGAGGAGGTTCTATGGCCACTGTTTTCAGACTGGGATGGGACAAAAGGCAACAGAAGAATAAACAGTAGCAAATATTTTGGGGATAAATTCATGGTGCACCCAGTCTAAACAGCTAACATGGCTCCAGAACAGATGAGACAACACATCCCAGCTACCAACACAACTCAGGAATGCATTCCCAGGTAGGGTCCTAGCCAAGGGGAGAGGTGGGCTTCACTACAGGTGTAACAAGGTTCCTGAGCTGTTGCAAACGTTCACAGTTTTTATAGACAGAAAAGGCTTTTGAGCTCAGTCTGTCAAACCAGAATCAGAATTGGTGATGCCTGAGTGCCCAGTCTAGCCCTGGTCCCAAACCATTAACATGGTGATGAGATGGGAAGGAAATCTTTGATAGGAATTGCCACTAGAAGCCATCATCTGCTCCCAGAGATTATGTGAACAAACGGCTTCCATCTGGCAGAGACAGCAGGTCCACAGACCAATTAACTTGTTCTACAATCAGCACATCGTTTCTCCAGTGCCTTTTATTAGTGTCCCACAAAGCTGAGTGTCCAGAGATGAACAAAACTGGCTGACAGAAACTCTGGTAAAACTATTTTCCAGTCTAGCAGAGAAATCTCAGATGAATGCCTGTGTAGAAAAATGAAGAAGAGAAACACTTACTTGGTATAAAATGCCACAAACTTCAGTTCATCTAAATCTCCCTGAATGACAACATCATCGAATCCCTCTGCATGGCCTGCAAAGCCAAGAAGAAGAAGTGGATTCAGCAACAATTCTTCTGGATCCAGCTCTAAGACAGGGTGTTTCACTCCAGAGCTACACGAAGAACATCCTCCAGTGACCAAGAGACCAGCACAGGAAGATGTGGGCACCAAAAATCACACAATCACAGGACAGTTTGGGTTGGAAAGGGCCTTAAAGATCACCTTGTTCAAACCCCTTGCCATGGGCAGGAACACCTTCTGCTAGACCAGGTTGTTCCAAGCCCCATCCAACCGGCCTGGAATACTTCCAGGAATGGGGCAATCTGTTGAGACCTGTGAGGGTCTCAACACCCTCACAGGGAAGAATTTCTTCCCATTATCTAATCTAAATCAACGCTCCATCATGTTTAGAGAAGTGCACCTCATGGCAGACAGAGGAGACACCAAACCCCTCAGAAGCCAGGCAGGGAAGCAGACCCGCGGCACAGTCAGTGCGGAGGGTCCACAGCAAGGGATGTGGTTGTGGCTCCTCTATCCCAGGACACCTCCACCAGCACAAATGTCACAGCAGCCTCAGAAGCCCCTTACCTGCATACCGGATGCTCTTCCCAAACATAGCAGTCCACAAATATGGGACGGTGCTGATCTCTGTGCCATGGGCCAGCATGTTGAGTGCAGCGATACGGCCTGGAAGACAGCAGCAGCAGAAGGATTGAGGAATTCCCACACCAGGGCAAGCAGCGTGGTCGGCCTTCAGGTCACAGCACAGCATCAACATCCCCAGTCACAGCATATAGGGAAACCAAGAACTGCTGCTGAGAAAACCCCACACAGCAACAAAGACCAAGCAGGAACCACATGACATTGTCCGAGGATGGGCTTGGACTCCTTCCCATGGTGCAGCTCCTACTCATCACCTCCACTGGCATGAGCGATATGCCCGTGAGACGCTTTTCCCCCAACTTCTAGACCAGTGACAGGGCTGAGAGCACACTGAGCTCCCACCTAGATAGGGAAGGGATGGACAAATCCCTGGAGGCACAGTGACTGTTGGGATACAGTCCCTGCTGCAGAGGCATGTCTGGACCAGGGGGCTATGTCCAAAGGTTGACTTTGGAGCTGTGGTTCCAAAACCTCTCACCCAGGGCACCCAACCAGAGGGAAACCTCCTTGAGGGCAGCTGATCACACCAGGGGTTTCAGGCTGACATGGAGAAAGATCCGAGCTCTGTGACATGGTCCTGGGCCAGCCTGGCAGTGTAGGCAGCCCAGCTGGAAACATGAGCCTGGGCTGACTTTAGGATGTGAGCTCCTAAGTGTCCCCAGGTAAGGAGAAGAGCAGGCTCCTGCAGCAACTCAGATGCCAGGGAACAGAGGGCATATGGGAAAGCCTGTCCCTGGGCACCTCTGCGCTTGCAACGAGGCATTGTTAGGCAAAGCTTGGCACAAATGCTGACAGACTGGGCATATTGGGCAGGATAAAATATACATGCTTCAAAGTGTTCAATACAACCACCCAGTCTCCCTGTTGATAGTTGTTTCATTCTCTCCTTAGAGGGTTTGGAAATTTCCCGGGAATCTATAGAAGTCTCTTTTCTGCTCAGTACCTACCATGCATGTGGGCCATCTGCCAGTGGGGGACATTCACCTTCTTGTTATTCCTCAAGGCCAGTGGGAACGTGACAGCATCTCCAGCAGCAAAAACCCCAGGGATGTTGGTCTGCATCATCTGCAGGGAACAGAGGTGTGCATTAGTGGGGTCTGCACCACACACAAACAGAAACAGAACTTCTCCAGAGCTGCCACATCCCCAGGAACACACAGACAATCTCTGCTTGCCTGTGGGACCCCCACATGGGATTTCATTCATCCTTCTTCACTTTCAAAGGAAAACACACGGGAAGGGAACTACAGTATCCCTCTGCCAGTGGGTTATCCAGTAAAAAGAGACATGGACTAGGGTCCTGGAGCCCCTCTTAGAAGTCTGAGGTCTGTCAGTGTTTGCAGACAGAGCCCAGCTTATCACATGATGAGCAATAAGCACAGGGTGGGTTGCACGGAGCGCCAGCTCCCTGACAATCCTCCCCACTCACGGAACACACCCATCAGCACCAGCACCACTCCCACCGCAGGCACTGGTGGTGGGAAGAAAGGATGAGATCCTTTAGGATACTTGGAAAGATAGATCTTTCTCAATCTTTCCCCATAAAATATCCACACCATTCCAGGGCAGCTCAGAACCAGACCCAAGCCAGAGCATTCAGGGCTGGGGTTTGCAAATCCCGCACTTGCAGGGGCGGCTCCAGGCACTCCTGGTAATGCTCCCAGAATCTCAGCATCTCATAGAATATCCTGAGATGGAAGGGACCCCCAAAGATTGGGGCCCTGCACAGGCCAACAATTAGAATTCCAAAATTCCAATTCTGTCAATCTTGACAGATAAAAAGCCATAAAAAGCACCTGTGGCAGCAGCTTGGAGCCCCCACAAAGCTCTTCTGTGAGGAGAGTTGACCCAGCTCCTCCTGCTCTCCATCCCACAGGGGCTACCCCTGGGCTCACCTTGTTGACCACAATGAAGCCCTTGGAGTCGATATTGATGCCACTCTGCTTGAGGAAGCCCGTCGCTGGAACTGCACCTGTGGGAGAAGGCAAAGGCTGCTGCTGCAGTGTCTGGGTGTCCCACAGCCCTGGGGGGCTGACCCCAAGACCAGCAGAGCTTCTCATGCCAGGACAGTCAGTCTGCCCAGGGGAAGGCAATAGCTGCCCTGGGACCAGGGCAAGGCACCCTACGAAGACCCCACTGGATCAGCCCCTGCCTCCCAGGATCCTTATGCTTCCCTAAGCCATCAGTGTAATCTGCCCACCACCCTTTTCTAGTGCTTGCAAGTAATTTTCAATGTAATTTGCCTTTATTTTGAAAAAAAATTATATTTAAAAGGGAACCTTTGAGTTTCCAGACAGGGCTCCTTGGCCTCCCCCCAGTCTGTACCTTTCCTTCACCCTTCCTTTTCCTTTTTTAATCTTTTTTTTCCCTCCAGACTTCAAAAATCAGAGTAGTCAAAAAAAAAAAAACAAAATGAAACTAATTCTGTGATTCTTCCAGTCCACATCATTTTGAAAAGTTACAGAGATGGAGGGAAAGGGACTTTTTTCCCTCCAAAATGTAAAGGAGAAAAATATCCTCCTCTATGGAGTATTTTTTTTTATTTTATACTAATGGGGCATTCTTTTATTTTATAATAGAGGGTACATTTTTTGTTGCTGGCAGCAGCAATTAAAAACAACAGTTTAAAAAAATTGAGTTTAGGAAAGTTTTAATAAAAAACAACTTGAGGGGATGAAACTGCTTCGAATTTTTTTTTTTTCTGGAAAAATCAAACACATTACTATTTCCCAAATATATTTTGGGGCAGAGGCTCTAGAAAGGCATTTTTTAGTTACTCAGACTCATGTGTGGCAGCCAAGCAGGGCTGGCCTATCACTGCCTGGCTACCCAACCACAAGGAGTCCTTGCTGCCACATCCCCTCCAGCTTCTCCTGCATCGAAGAGAGCCCCCCAGCCCCCAGCTGAGCACCACACAACCCCTTACCAACACCAACAACACACACGTCGGCACGCAGGACCTTCCCACTCTTCAGCACAACCTCCTTGAGCTGCAGGAGACACGAGGGGAGGGGGGGGCATCACAGTTATTTTAGGGCCAAAACCCCCTCAGTAGCAGCAGGAAGCCAAGCTTGTAGCTCGCCTCCTTTGTGACATGCAAGCTGACCATAATTCCTTAGAAAAGCAGCAGGAGGAGGGTGGGAGCAGTGAAGCCACCTCACACACCACATTGGTACACTTTTGCTCCTGGGGGATAAATCCAGGAATATGAATTTCAGGGACAAGGAAAGAGGGGAGAGCAAAGCCCCAGCAGAGAATAGAATGGAAGCCCTAAGGGATGCCACAGCAGTGCCACCGGGGAGCCCCTGCTCACACCCTACCTTCCCCTCCTGTTCCCGCAGCTCTGACACTTCTGTCTGCATGTAGAACTTCACCCTGTTGCTCTCGAACATCTGGAGGAGGGACAAGGGACAGAGCAGGGGACATCAGGACCCTGAACCACCCATGGTCCTGGTGTCCCTGTGTCCCAGTACTGCCCTACCCATCCCCTGGGCTCCCCTTGACCCGCACTGCAAAGGGGGTCAGCACCCCTGCCCCTCCAGCACGAGTCCAGAAGAAGGTGATCTACAGCACATGGACCATGACAGGGATGATACAGTCCACTCTTCTACTGACCACTGCCATCACAGCTTTGTCAATAGACATCAAGTAAATTAATTAGTGCAATAAGTGATACAAGCAGAACCCACTCTGTTATCAACCCTCCCCTCCAGATGGAAAAGAGAGGTCACCTTCATGACAGCACGGCCAACCCTCTCCCCAAAGAACTTCTTGAAGGGGACTTCCTCCAGCTCCACCAGGGACACCGAGTGGGCCCTCTCCGCAAGGTAGGCGGCCACCTCCATCCCTGGGGAACGGAAGCAGGTCTGAGTGGCTGTGGGAACCGCCCTGGCACTGTCCTGCATCCCTGGAACTGGCTGGAGCAGAGGAGCTGCCTCACCCACTCTGACTGGGGAGGTTGGAGGTGTGCTACTGGGAGAACTGGGGAGGCACTAGACCTGGTCAGGTCTTCTTTAATTCAGGCATTCTTTAATGTAGATTTTGAAGATCAGAAGGAGGAACTGGTCATGACGAAGCCCCAAGTGCCCTGGTGTAGTGGTTTCTGTGGCTACGTTTGGTAGCAGGGGGGCTGCAGGGGTGGCTTCTGTTAGAAGCTGCCAGAAGCTTCCCCTGCCCAGGGTGGAGCCAATGCCAGCTGCTCCAGGACGGACTTCCTGCTCCTGGCCAAGGCCGAGCCCATCAGGAGCAACAGCAACACCTTTGGGATAACATATTTAGGGACAGAAGGAATTGCAGCCAGGGAAGAGCAGAATGGGAACATGGGAACAACTAGGCAGACACCAAGGTCGGTGCAGAAGGAGGGGGTGGAGGTGCTCCAGATGCTGGAGCTGAGGCCCTGCAGCCCATGGTGCAGAGCAGGGTGGGGCAGCTATGCCCCTGCAGCCCCTGCAGGAGCATCGGGGTGCAGAGACCCCTCTGCAGCCCCTGGGGGAGCATCGGGGTGCAGAGACCCCCCTGCAGCCCCTGGAGGCTCCCACGCTGGAGCAGGGGGATGCAGGAAGGAGGCTGTGACCCCGTGGGAGGCCCAGGATGGAGCAGGTCCTGGCAGGGACCTGCAGCCCGTGCAGAGGGAAGCCCAGGCTGGAGCAGGTTTTTCCCAGCAGGACTCGTGGCCCCTGTGGGGGACCCATGCCGGGTCAGCTCATCCCTGAAGGACTGACCCCGTGGAGGAGGGACCCACAGGACAGCAGGGTGGGAAGAGCTGCTGCCAGAGGGATGGACTCACACCAGAGAGGTCCATCAGTGACTATGTCCCGTGGGAGGGACCCCACGGGAGTGACCATAACCCCCATTCCCATCTTCCTGCACCGCGGGGGGCGGAGAGAGAACATGAAAGGAGGGGTGGAGGGAAGGTGTTTTTTAAAATTATTTTACTTCTCGCTCTTTTTCTCTGACCCTGTTAGTAATAAATTCAATGAATATCTCCACTTTGAGTCTCTTTTGCCCGTGATGGTGATCAGTGTGATGTCTCCCAGCTCTTAACTCATGAATCCTTCACCGTTTTTTTTTCTCTCCTCTGTCCAGTTGAATAAGGGAGTGAGAGAGTGACTGTACCTGGCACCCAGCCAGAGTCAACCCTCTACACCTGGGAAGCCATAGCACATGGAATGATGGACCTCAGCCAAGGGAACTCTCAGCTGCAGTCTGAAAAAAGCCCTTGGGAGTAGCTATTTTCTCTGATCAGAATGGGAGAATTCTGCTGCTAGGAATTGCATGGGAACCTCCACCAAGACATTTCCTATCTATGGGATTTTTTGTGGAAATGAATTTTTTGATGACCTGCAGTTTGCAACTGGCTCCCCACAGCACATGCTTTTCTGTAGATCATATTGACTGAACCATTAAAACAGATTTATCTTTTATAGAAGAAAAAGAAAACAAATAATGAAAAATTAATAATAAATTCCCTCACTAATAAACATTTATGCTTAAGGCTTGCAGATCCCCCTATTATTTTGTTAGAACCATGTCAACCATAAAGAACAACCACCAAAGAAACTGTATTTCACACATTCACTGCTCTGCTAAAAAGTTAAAGAGAAATAAACCCACAGGCTCCCTCTCACCAACAAGACTCTCTTGACTGAAGCCAAATCTAGACACACCAGATTTGAACCCACTTGAGCACCAGTACTGGCCTTGTCATGTGCTTTTCAGTCTGGGACAGCAATATCTGTGCCTATGCAAGCCCAGACTCCTCGGAAAATCAATTTCTTCAGCAAGGAGATGTCCTTACATGCACCTGGGGCTGGAAGTTGGACTACCCCAGGCTCAGTTTGGTGGAGGATTACCACTAACTGGGCAGTGACAAACTGGGCAAGGGTTTGGGATCATCTGCAGGAAGAGGTGGAGAGCTGGGATGCAGACACTGCCTGAGCTCACCCAGGAAGGATGCTCCCACAATCACCACGTTCTTGCTCGTGGCCAGCTTTACCACATGGTTGGCATCTTCGGGCGTCCGGATGTTGAAAACGTTTTCCATCTCCTTGCCTTTGCAGCTGAGAGCTTTGGGCCTGAAAAACACTGAGCGTGATACAACTGCTTTTCTTGACCCCATGGTGGCTGCAGTGCCCAATCAGGACAACAGACACTCCTTCTGGGGCTCCAGCAGCATCCCAGACTTTCCTTTTCTTCACCTTTCTTTGGGTTGGAGACATAACATGGAAAACCACAAAAGCTGGTGGACAGTGGTCAAGCAGCGGGTGCTGGGCAGCCACCACAGACCCCATCGTGTACCCACAGGGCCGGGGGAGCTCCTTCCTGGGGCAACGCAGCACAGGACAGATACAGCTTTACAAGCCTGTGCTAAATGCTGGCACACCCTAAAATTTTCAGAAGCTTAATGGGACACAGAAGACTCATTCTGTCCTCCAGAAGTGCTTTGGAGCCAGATATTGAAAGTTTAATAAGGCTCTGAAGATGCAGGCTCCAGTCTCCATTCCAGTGGGCACACTGCTAATGCTGTAGCAGCTTAATCGTGCCTTCCCCAGGCACTTACTGGAACCTATGTATTTTTAAATATCTGACCCCTGCATACCTGACTCACATCTGGAAATGGGACAGATGATCCTAAAAACTTTAGGTACCTTAAAAAACATTTACCCTGTGTACCTGCAGCTTGTGTATGAGGATTTTGAAATTATTGCCAAAGGCTTAACCCTCTTTTGAACCTAATTCAGTTTCTGGTGCAGATGGCATTTTGGCTGCAGCACTGTACACCCCAACATCAACCATTCACACCTCTTGGAGCTGTTGCTGTGACTGGTGCCATACTGGCTCTCAATGTGAGTCCCTGCTCTGGCTGTTCTGCAGCATCCCTTCCTCAGATGATAAATTATGCAGGGACTGTATTTCTCATTCTTTGTTTTATGGCTTGATATAAAGAGCACAAGGAAGGAGAGCCAGGATGCCTTATGCTCCCCTTAAACTGCCAATTTTGACAAATCTCCTATTGAAAACAAACTGACCCACTACTTTAGGTGTACAAGGGACAATGCCAGTCTGGGATGATGCTCGGCATCCCAGCACATCAATACCACCTTTCCTACGGCTGGATGAGGTTCAGTCCTGAAAACTGGGGGCAAGGCTCCAAAAGCTGTTAGGCTTGGACAACAGCAACACCTTATCAGGGCTGCAACAGTGAAGTGTTAAGCTCTAATTGCTGAGAAAGATCTTAAAGGTTGGCAGGAAGATGAAATTCAGAGGGATGTTAGGGTTGAGTGTTATTGAAGAGCAAAAAGAGCAACGTGGCAAAAATGACCTCTAGAAAAAATAGAATACTTCCACTTTGGAGGCTTTAGTTAAAGAAAATATGTTCAAGATCCTGGGGCCACCATACTTGGAAGTGTTCAAGGACAGGCTGGATGGGGCTTGGAGCAACCTAGTCTAGTGGGAAGTGTCCTTGCCCATGGCAGGGGGTCGGAACCAAATGAGCTTTAAGATGCCTTCCAACACAAACCATCCTCTGATTCTATAATTTTACAATATATGATGTAGGTGTATATATATGAAATAGATGATAATATCTAGATATATAGATGTAGATGTAGATGCAGATACACACAGATATATCCAATATCTTTGGTGTCCCCTGATTTTTCCACACTCTTGTAAACAAATTCAGTGTCTGAATTCACCTGCCATATTTCACTCCTTATCCCCAGGCACAATCTCTTCACATTCTCAGATAAAGCAATTTCTCTTGATCTTTAAGATTTTTGTCTGTAGCTTACGTGTTTCCAGTCGCTATCAGCAGCTTGTTGTATTCCATCTTAAACCCATCTTTGAACACGGCTATCTTGCTCTTGATATCCACAGCTGCAACCTGAAATCATTCTTAAATAATGTTAAGGGATGAAATCCCAGACGTTCACCGAGCTCCCAGCCCAATGAATTCATCTGTCAGGTTTTAGTCCTCTATGTTAATTTATTAGTTTTAGTTGATTAGTTAGTTGCTTTTAGTTAGTCTGTTTTAGTCCTCCCAGTCCACAGCTTGGCCAATCCAGACCTTAAATATTCCTTGTTACCTTTTCCCAAATCCTTGAAGATCTCCCAACATAAATAAAATAATGGGGAGAAATGTTTAAGCCATCGTCTCCACTGCTTGAAGGGTGATTATCGTAATCAGAGGGCAACTGGCCACTCCAGATCCACGTGAGGGTGCTGGCAAATGGCAGGTACGAAATTATGGCCACACCACAGTCACACCCAGGGTGTCCTTCCCGCCACGGGAGTATTGCATTAGCTGTGCTTTGAACAACCACAGGCAACCTGCACTCTGGGGCACGGTACAGGGGGCTGGGGTAGACCAAACATTTATGCAATGGCATCCAGTAAGCCAGGAACAGAGACACGTTCCCTAATTATGGTCTTTGAGTACCAGCACTTGCTGGCAATAGCCTGCAGGAACACACAGGACTCTCCTTACCTGCATCTCAGTCAGGACTTCAATGTCATAGGTGCAGAAGAACTCCTTGGGGCGCAGGGCGATCTGCTCGGGTTGGGAATCCATTGACTGCAAAAAAAGTCACTTTTCCATCAAATGCTGGGGGTTGAACAGGTGAGTGAAGAAACGGCTGTTACCAACAAAAGTCAGCAGTAGCCTGAAGTCAGCACTTATGGCACAAGTTAAGGGAGTGGCTCTATAGGCTGGAATCAAAGCCTGTTCAAGGAAAAGTTACCACAAGAGGCCGATCTGGGCTCCGGTTCCTTCTCTGCTGGCTCAGTGTGGGGCTGGTACTGACCAGCTGAGGCAGTAAATGCTTCTGAGAGTTGGCAAAGCAGCCATAACTGCAGCTCCTCACAGCACAAGCAGGTTCACAGGAGCCCTATTTTATAAAAAGGATGGTAAAACACTGGCACAGGTTACCCAGAGAAGCTGTGGCTGCCCCATCCCTGGAAGTGTCCAAGGCCAGGCTGACAGGACTTGGAGCAACCTGGTCTAGAAAAAGGTGTCCCTGCCCATGGCAGGGGGGCGGACTAGATGACCTTCAAAAGTCCCTTTCAATCCAAACTGTTCTATGATTACTTGGAAAACAACCAGTTACCAGAGGAAATGGAAGGTAGAAGAGCAATAAGAACAAGCAGCATTAACATACGAGGACACACTTTCAAAAGCACCCATGTAATGTTGCACAAGTTCTCTCAAAAGTTGAAGCAGGGGTATGGGGCCTGTATCTGCTCATCTTCAGCTGTAAGATAAAGGTTCTTGCTCTTCCCAGCCTTCCCTGATCACTGCAGTGAGATGTACACCATCTTTACATGCAGGGTTGAGCCCAAGTTCATCTGCCCTTCTGACTCTGTGGAGATAAAGTCAGACTTGGGCTGAGGACAAGCTGAGCATCAAGTGACCTGCTGGATGTGCAGGCTGCTCCCTGCTCCAGTGCAGCCCTCCCTGCCTGCAGCATACCAGGAACGGTCAAGCCCTTTATCACACAGCACTGAGCAGCAGCATCTACCTGTGTCACACAGGCATGACATTTGGCCTTGACCCAGGAGGGATAAGGGATGCAGGAATCAAGGGATTTCCCATCTGCCCATGGGGATGGATGTGCAAGATCCTTATCCCCAGAGGTAGCTTTGATGAGCCTTGCAGGACACTCCCTTACTCTGACTTCAGACAATACTCTGCTGAGGAGAGACCTACGTTGAAGAACTCGAGGCAGGGGCAGGGTCATAAAGGTTTTACGGCAAATTTTTTAAATGCTTCATGTTTACAGCGGAGAATGCCCGACCCCACTGTGCCATGAAGTGCAACAAAGAGCAGTGCACAACCACCACGGGTTTTGCTGCTGCTTAGTGCTCTGGAGATGGCAAATGAGACATGGCAACACACCAGGGAGAAGGTCGTGGTGCAAAGGGACAAAGAGAAACAGTTCGGCAGGACCTGGGGACAGACTGGTAATAGGCTTTCAGCAGGGCAGAGGAAGGGCAGTGCTGCAGTTTCAGGGAGCAAGAAGTCTGCTGCTTACAGCACTGTGTGCTCCTCCTGTAGTAACTCTGTACATTATTAGTCCCACTCACAAGAGGATTAAGAAAAATCCCATTTTTTTGTTCCCAAAAATTCAGCCTTCTCTTCCATGGGTTTTGTGCACCTTCTAAGAGCAACTACAGCCAGAGGTGTTTAGTGAAGAGTCTAACAAATAATTTACAATACCTTCAGCATGCAAAATGTTCTTACTATTCAACAGAGAGAAGAAAAACTAGTCTAAGACTCCCACGTGGGGATAAGTGTTTGGGGAGAGCTGACTGGCTGGGACAGGGACTCCATGATTCTCTGAGCTCCCCAGCACAACCTCTGTGACTCTTAGATGCAGGCTTCAGCCAGCTGCTCCTCACCTTGCCCAAGTGCAGAAATAGCCTGAATGCTCCCAAAAAAGCCATGTGCATGTTTGCCTTTCTTTGAAAATCCCTTTTTTTTCGCTTCTGGAAGCAGAGTTAGATGTAGAGTACCATCCCCCACGGATAAACATTCCTGACATAAGGGGGAACACATAGTCCACCTTATTTTATCTCCAAGCTCCTAGGCCAAATACTGCTGTCCAACCTGATCTGCTGTCTGACATCAGAGAAGGCTCAGGAATCAGCAGCAAGAAACATGACTAGATCATCCTACATCTACAAATTGGAATGCAAAATGGAATTTGTGTCAGAAAAAGTGATGTTTGCACTGCCATCAAGATATCAAGTTGTGATGATGATTGAGAATAATCATAATTATGGTATGGAGCATCCCTGGCAGCAAGAACCACACACTCATAAAAAAACATGGTCAACAACACCATTTTTCCACATGCCTCATTTCATTGCCTTAAAGATTTTGATCCAGACACACATTAAGAAGATCCACCCAGATAGAAGTTGGCTAGACCTGTGAAGAATCATCATATAAATCCTTGAGTGGTTTGGCTTGGAAGGGACACTAAAGCTCACCTTGTTCCAGTCTGCAGGGACACCTTCCATTAGACCAGGTTGCTCCAAGCCCCATCCAACCTGCCCTTGGACAATTTCAGGGATGAGGCAGTCACAGCTTCTCTGGGCAACCTGTGCCAGGGCTTCACCACCCTCACAGAGAAGAATGCCCTTTCTTCTGTGGTGGATTACTCTTAGTTCAGAGTTTGAACAACTCCTTTTTCATGTTTCGTATTTTAGTCACAAACAGGAAAGAAAATTCAAGGGAAACAGAGAAATTATGAATAAGGAAAGAGAACCATGCTGCTGCAATGAATAACGGTGGGGAAAGGTCCTAAAGCAAATTTTAAAACTGGGGAGCAATATGGCATATCCAGAGTGATACAAACCTTACTGAGCTTTGGTCTGTCGTAGGGCAAGTGTCTGTCCATTGTGCACATCACAATCCGGTCAGAGAAACCCTCCTGGCGCAAGGTCTCTGCACAGACCAGCCCAGCTGCCCCTAAGGGAGAAGGAGACCAATGACAGCCACATGTATGGGGCACTGGGAGATCTGAGCCCTTTACTGCTAAACCTGCTGGGGCTAACTCCAGAATCACCATCTCCCCCAGCCCTGGCCTCACCTCACCGCCCTTCCCAAGTCAAACAGCTCACACAGGAGGCCAGTCAGGGCAGATGCACCAGGCAAGAAAAGGGACCCTCTGTCTAAGAAGTGTGACATTAATCCTCTTGTCTCTCCCTAAACTGTCACAAAACCACAAAGAGCACACCTGAGGAGTGCTAATAATGCCTACACACCTCTCACAAGCTCCAGGCCACAAGCAGCTACTCAGACCCTTGGACTTCTTTAGTCAGGGAAGGGTCTGCACACCCAGCTCCTGGTGACTTTATGGCCAAGCATGGAGGGCAGAGAGCCCTCCCTTCTCCACAGCCAAAGAGTTGGTTTTGTGACTCACTGCAGAGCATTTTCCATGCTATTTCTTTAAGGGTTTTTTGTTTGCTTGTTTCAATCACAGAAAAAAAAGCATTAAATCAAACAAAAAGCTTCCTAGGGGCATGTTGTTCCCCTGCATCCAGGCAGCCTGATAGGCACATCCCTTCTTCCTTGGCCTAACTGTGAGACTGGAGAGCTCAGGTGAGAAACCTGGAGTCTCTTCTCAGCCAAGGAAGCCTTGCTCAATAATAAGTGTTTTTAGGGACGTGGTTTCTGTAACAATGAAGAGAGAAGATGAACCTGGACAGTATCATGGTTTTTGCTCCATCAACAAGATGCTCCCATTGATGGAGGGAACAGCAGAAGAAGAGACAGGTGGGTGGACATCCTGTGCATGCAGCCAGTAGCAAGCTGAGCCAGAGCGGATGCTGCACTGATGCCAGGATGACTCTCACATGAGCAAGGGGGGGCAGTCAATTGCCCTCAGCTCTGATGGGCATGGCTGGATCTTGATCTTTGCTGTAGGGCTGGATGGCATTCTCTTACCAACACTCCCCACAACCCCAGATTTGAAATCACCTTCCCATCCACCAAAACAGACTTTGGTCTTTAACAGAGCTGTGAATTTAGCTGGTAAAGCCTGAGAAACTTCCTTCAGCAGTGGCTAATGTTGCCTGTGGAGTGACCTCACTGAGACTGTGACGATTGTCCAGCCCTGCCACATGCCAGGACATTCCAGCTGACCTCAGGGAGCAGCATGTACTTTACACCCCACCTTTCAGGCAACAAGGGCACAAGGAAGGAAAAATGTCACCCAGCAGCAAAGGAAAAGCCAGTTAGGCTGGTTTTCCCCTTTGCTCAGGCTGTGATGATGATCCTTAGATGCTTCCAATTTCTACAACTTGGATCTCATGACCTGGGGGTTATAATGGCCAGTCTTCGTGAGCGAAGATCCGAGGAAGGTCTTTACACCTTCCAGCCTGCACATTGGATTTTTTAGGTGAGACACAGTGTGCGCGGAACTGAGCCCACCCTTTAATCCTAAGGTTCATCTGCCGGGGCCAAGCGAGCTTGGACGGTGGCAGCGAGGTCCTTAGGACGTAGAGTGGGTTGCCTTTTAAGGGCTAACGAGCTCCATCTGGCCCAGGGAGTGTCCCTGACTGGGAATCGAACCCGGGTCTCGGCGGTGACAGCGCCGCGCCCTTGACCACTAGACCACCAGGGGCTCCCAAAAAAAAAAAAAAAAAAAAAATGGCAATACACAAATGAAGAGAGGACAAGAGAAAAGAAAAGATAGATTGGCAGCTTTGCTATTTTGGCAAGGATTTGATATTTGTTGAGAAGGTGGAAGAATTTATCTTCAGAGAAGCACCTTGAGGTGAGAACTTTGGAGCTATAATCGAATGAGACGATGTACAAGGTCCAAGAGAAAAAAGTGTATCCACATCACAGGGACATCTGAGAGGACTTTACACTTATTAGCTGTGGAAATCTGGGATTGCTGATGTACTTGGGAAGGGTGTAGCAGGAAGAGGGTTCAGGGTACCCACTCCAAAGGACAGTGACAAAGCTTCACAGACCTAAGCACATGGCACCTTTGGATCACCAGCATGTAGGACAAAATGGCTCAGGAAGACCCTCTGGTCTGACCTTTTGGACAGCAGGGGAACAGGAGGGCATGACACAGCACAGAGACTCTCTGCTCCCCGCACCCCTGTTGGGAAGGAGACACACACGGTGGTCCCAGCACATGCAATCCTTACCTGCACCAATGATCAGCACGTTGGTACTGCCCAGGTTGTAGTTGCTCAAGGAAATGCATTTTGCCATCATCTTTGTCCTCCTCTGTGTCTGAAGCGCCTGTGCCACCACCAAGAAGGAAAGTCATTATCTTTGCTCAACATTAACCTGAGCAGCCAGGCAGGGATGGGGACAACTGCAGTACTGTCATAAACCATCTTGGATAGGAAGGGAACAACTGTGCCCTCGTACCGAACAAGGACTCATCCAAACACAATTCCAGTGTCCAGCGTACTACCCTTTACAAGTTACTAGATCCACCATCTTCTGCAAATCCATCCAGCTACACAGAGCTGGGAGAGAGAGGGAACAGAAAAAGCAGCCCAGGTATGTTCTTGTGCAATTCTGCACCAACAGATGAGGTGAGAATGAAGAAGTTCTATCAGGAATTTCATCCTGCACCTGAGCAGAGCTTGTATACCTGATATCCAAAGCTGATGGACTTGTCCAATTCCCCAGAGCACACCTGTGGACCTGTTCCACCATAGCCCTTGCTGCACAGACCACCTGTCCCCAGCTATCGGAGGACAAAATCCATTCCTGGTAAAGGGAATAGTCTCAGTCCCCCTCATCACATCCCTCCATAGCTGAAGTGCTACCATTCAGGTGACCTCTCTGGATCTAAACCAAGTGCTAGCAGGGTCCACTAGGCTCTGAGCCACTGGATTTGCACATGTGTACATGCCAATGTGCACCAAAAGAAGGCTTTTCATGGAAAGAAAAATGGCAGTGGCCTGAATGGGTTTCATTCTGCATCCTGTCAGAGGATGAGAGCCCTTTCTGCCTATGCACCAGGTTCCTCCCTAGCAGGAGCTGATGCCTGGGTTCAAGAGGGAGCACAAGTGGCCTCCGGCATCACTATGCCACATTCAGACAAGGCCAAAAGACTGGTGGAAGAGGCCTGTTTCCATGGGCCAACTAAATTAAAAGTTGCTTTGAGCTTAAGGAAACATAGGACAAGTTCAGGACAAACACTGTAAGACCTGAAACCTTTGGTTGACCCATGCTGGATATCACACATCCCTCTGCCCAGGCATGGCTTTCCTGCCACAGGACAAAAGGAAGAGCATTTCCCTCCACCCCCACGCACACAGAGCAAAACCCAAAAGCATTTGCCTTGTTTCTGGGCTGTCAGTGGCCCATTACCTGCTTGCTTGCTCGGATGTACACCTTCTCCTTCTCAATCTTGACCTGAGGGTGACAGAACAGCAGCAGTTTGCAGGACAGTGAGGGCTCCCTCAGGGCAACAGCGAACAAATGGAGCAGCGATGGCAGAGGGTTGCCTGCCAGAGCAGCTGAGGCCATGACAGGGTTCATCCCAACTCAAGGCTGTGGGATGTCTCCTGTCTCGTATCAGCTCTATCCCAGGCTTACTTATGGTTTCTCATTCCCAGCCCACTCCTACTCGAGACTGGGCACCTACTCCCCCAGGCTCCCAGGAGGTGTCTGATGCACACGGGTGGGTGCAAGGGAGGAAGAAACTAGGTGAAGGTGTTGCTCTCCACTACCCACACCAGCACATTTTCCTTGGAAAACGTTTGCTCCATGCCATAAAGAACGTTGCTTATTCCAAAACAAAGAGACATTTTTGTGGGTGACACTAATCTGAGTGGTATGGTTGATGCTCTAGAGGGAAGGGATCCATCCAGTGGAACCTCATGAGGTTCAACAAGGCCAAATACAAGGTGCTGCACGTGGGATGGAGCAATCCACAACATGAACCCAGGCTGGGGGATGAAGGGATCAAGAGTAGCCCTCAGGAGGGTTGGGATTGTTCAGCCTGGAGAAGAGAAGGCTCCAGGAAGACATTAGAGCTCCTTCCAGTGCCTAAAGGAGCTCCAAGAGAGCTGGAGAGGGACTGGGGACAAGAGCCTGGAATGACACAACAAGGGGTAATGGCTTCTGATTGAGACAGAGCAGGAATATTTGGAATAAATTCTTCCCTGTGAGGGTGGGGAGGCCCTGGCACAGGTTGCCCAGAGAAGCTGTGGCTGCCCCAGCCCTGCAAGTGTCCAAGGCCAGGTTGGACAGGGCTTGGAGCAACCAGGGCTAGTGGAAGGTGTCTGCCCATGGCAGGGGATGGAACAAGATGGTCTTCAATGTCCTTTCCAACCCAAACCATCCTGTGATTCTGTGTTTCCTCTGCTGCTGCAAGGACAAGGGTCTCACCTGGAACCTGGGTAAACTATCCAAGCCAGGAAAGTCCTCAATGTCACCTGTGCCGATGTTGAAGCAAGCTCCATGCCAGGGACAGCGGACTCTTCCTTTGGACAAAACCCCTGCAGGGAACATAGCAGAGCAGGGTTGGTGCTGCCCTGCAGCTGCCTCCCATTCTCTGGGATGGCACCTCTCCTACAGGACATATCAGCTGATGTGGACCTGGATGGGCAACACTGGAGTTCTCTCAACATGCGCGTTGGACAGGCTCAGCTGTTTGGGACCAACCGAGATCCTATATGAGCAATCCCTTCCAATATGCCCTGGATGGCAGTGTCCCCCAGTGTCTCTGGGCACAGCTCCAAAGTTGTCTGCTCTGCCTGGGACATAACCTCGATCTCCAGCCAGGAGGAGGCTGCTATCTCCAGAGTCTTGTCATCCTTTTAAGCCCCAGTAGCACCCAGAGCACGCAGTGCCTCCAAGTGTCACTGATTTAGAGCATATGTGTTCCAGGGCAGACTCTGACACAGCAAGGTGCCTGCACACATCTGCAAGGCACAGGCATGCCCAAAGTCACGCGTTCATTTCTCCAGGTGTTTGCTCAGAGGCTATTACCTTGGACTTTAACTTTCCCTGCTACAGTGCTGGGGCAGAGCATTGGCTACCATGTGGCCATAGACTGGTACTGAGCTTGTGCCTGAGGCACAGCAGTGCCATGTCTCATCATCATCGTGTGTGGAGATGGAAGGGCAGCCCCTGCACTTACTGCTGCAGCAAATTCCTCCAGTGAGATCCCTGTGTGACAGCCAGTTTGAGGAATGCACCCACAGGTCTCTGAAAGGGCAGGTAAACTCACTTCCAGGGCAGCATGGGGCTCTTCTGCCCTGCTCAATAGGCTCTTGCCCCAGCTGAGGGGATGAGAGCATGGCTGCTACAGCCAGCACTGCTGCTGGGCCAGTGCTGCCCAGAAGACACACAGCAGGATGCTCCACTGTCTTCCCCAGCATCCCACTTCCAGTAAAGTGTCCTCCCAATCCCAGTTTGGGTGATGCACTTTCACACACAGCCAGGCCAGCACTGTCTGATGCTGCTGCTTAGGTTCTGGGCAGGGACCTGCCTGAAGCCCATGCTGAGAAAGTGCCAGGATGCATATTTTTAATGCCAAGATGGGAAACCCCCACACCTCATCCCACTTCAGTCAATAACATGAGCAACATTCTTCTTGCTACTGAAAGGATCTCATTAGCCCAAACAGATTCCTCCTTTGGATTTACAGTCATGAGCAGAAGCCCCAGTGGCAGCTGGTGTCAACTGCAACCAGAGCTGTGGCAAAGTGCTCTGGGGAGACTTGTGCAACCCCAGCTTGCTGCCCTGTGCCCAGCAGCACAGCTGGGTGAACACTGGGCTGTCCTTTGCCCACTCTGTGATGTCCTCAGTTGCTCTCCCAGGACAGGATGCAGACTGACCTTTGACCAGTGGAGCCCCATAGTGGGGACACTTGTGTCCCACGGCGTGGAACTCGCCACTCTCCTTGATGAGCAGAGCCTTCCCGCAGCCCAGGTCCACTTCCCTCATCCTGGGGAGGAGGAGTATGGAAAGAGATGGCAGAACACGCACCTCACAGCAGATGCCACCCCCTCACCCTACAACCCAGACCTGGTCCTGCCAGCTCCCTGTCTCCTTCAACTTGCTCACCACTGGCTCCAGGTGACCACAGGTGTGGGTCAGTCCTTGTTACCAAGCCAGTTTTGCAGGTGGCTCTGTTGACCCCAGCCTGGGGCACATCCAAGCTGGGCCATTAGTGGCAGCATCTTAATCCATCACTGTGTCAAGAGGGGGCCCAAAGCACCTTCCCAGCTGCTGGGGAACCTGGTAATGGGAGTAAGAACCCAAACTGGTTTTACTGCAACCTCACCTCCCCTCCTGCCCCAAGGGCTGAGCAGGTCCCTGCCAGGCTTGTGTTCAGTCTTTCAAAGCAAATACAACATCTCAGAGTTGAAAACCAGGAGGGGTGACTCTGCCCCTTGGAATCTGCCTCCCACACCTCAGGGGTTTGTGCTCTGGTCCTGGCCACGTCACAGGGTCAACGACATTGGTCACCTTTTCCTGATAAATCCCTCAGGACAGCAGACACCTGCATGTGACCTCCTTGATGTTTCCCTCAGCTGTTTTTGTAGAGTGAAGCTCACACTGCAACCTCCTGCTGGCACCAGCTGTATGTCACCAAGGGGCTTCACCTCCTCAGTGCTGCTGTGTTCAGCCCTGCTCTGCACAGGAGCCAACAAACCTTGAGCCATTCCCATGGAAGATTCTCTTTGAAATCTCCCAGTTTTTGATAGAACCAGAGGGAACAGTCTCAAACTACAAGAGGATCAGTTTACTTTACATACAGGAAAGAAGTTTTTACAATGAGCGGTGAGGCACTGGCAAAGGTTGTCCAGAGAGGTGGTGGATGCTTCATCCCTGGAAACATTCAAGGTCAGGTTGGACCCTGGATTCAGGTTAGACCTTAGACCTTCATTTGTTTTTTCCAGCCTGGAGAAGAGAAGACTGAGGGGAGACCTCATCACAGTCTGCAGCTTCCTCATGAGAAGCAGCTCCGATCTCTTTTCTCTGTGACCAGTGACAGAACCCCGGGGAGTGGCTGGAGCTGTGTCAGGGGAGGGTTGGGTTGGATCTCTCTTGGGCTGGAAAGGTTCTTCCCCCAGAGGGTGGTTGGGCACTGAACAGGCTCCCCAGGCAGTGGTCATGTCCCCAGTGCTGCCAGAGCTCAAGGAGTGTTTGGACAACACTCTCAGGGACAGAGTGGGATTGTTGAGGTGTCTGAGCAGGGCCAGAAGTTGGTCTAGCAGAGAGCCCTTATTTTGCAGGGAGCTCGACATGGAGCACAGAGCTGCTGTCCCCTGGAAACTTCCCCTCTTCCAGCCAGAAAGCCTATCCCCACACAGTTTGGTGTTTATCTGGAAATCCTGCTTGCTCCCATTGCACAGAGTGGGCCACCTCATCTACAGCCAGCCCTGATGTTGCCTCTGGGCTACCAAACACACCACTGTGCCCAGCAAACCCCCCCTGCTCAAGGTGGCCACTGGCCAAGTGTGATTCCGGAATGCTGTTCATGCATGACAAGTTCCAGGGTCTTGGAAGAATGGGACTGACTTTGCTTGCTTATTCCTTCCTCTTCGGGTAACATCCCAACTCCATCCCACCACTTACACCCAGGCTACAGAGACACTTGTCCCACTCTCTGTTTCCATGGAGATGGAAATGGGGCTCAGCCCACCAGCACTCCCGTACCCCTTCAAACACATCTTGGACAAGACTTTGGACAGGTGCCTGCTCCACCTGCATCAGCTGCCTAATGACAAATGCTCAATTTCCCGATTTTCTTGCCAATTTCCTGATTTCCTTTCCATCTTGGGTGAAAACCAGCAGAGTTCATCACACCTGCCCTCAGGAGCAGTTTTGTCCCAGTAACTTGGCTGCCTTGCTCCCTAGTGATGCAGCTCTGCCCCCTCCCCATGCAGGATACTTGACAGTTGGAGCTCTTCCCTCAGCATAAGCAGAACAGAGCAGTACAAGTCCTGCTGCATTCCTCAGGTGATAAAACCTGTTCAATGACAACCCTGGGAAGATAAGATAAGTGAAAGAGTTTACAGCTTACCCAAGGAGCTGTGTGAGCTGAGAGAGTCAAAACCAAGACCTGGTGTCTTCAAAGCAGCACACAGCCACCGGCAAGGCTCCAATCCCACACTTACTCCAGAGAGACGCAGAGAATTATTTACACTGTCCTGCACTCTGCTAAACTGTTTACTCAGTTGGGAATTTGTCCTGTTGCCTCACTCCACTCCCCACTTGGGAAGCACAAGCTAAAACTCAGCTCTGGCCAGCAAAGAACCTTTGCTTGAGAGCTGTGGGAGCACTGGGGGCTGTTTTCTGTCCCCCCACTTAGGCTGCTGGGACGCTGGCTGGCTGCAGCAGCAGCACCAGTTTATCCACCAGTATCTTTTACTGGTTCTGCTGAGGTCATGCTGGTACCAGAAAGACAGAAAGCATACCCTGTGCTTGCAGACTCCACTAACACAATGCAGTGGTGCCTGAACCCTCGTGCCAGTGCTGCTGCCATGCCCTCGCACACCCCTGCCCAGTACACTCCTTGGGAGAAGCATCCTGGAAAATCCCTCTGGGTACCAAAGCAAGAGGACTCCTTTGGCCTGGCCCATTGCTTTACATGAGTTGTGAGACCCTCTCACAGCACCTCTCTCTTAAAATGGACTCAACCTGCTAGAAAACAGTTCTTCTCAACCTCAGATGTCCAGTGGTGCCACAGCTACTGCCATAGTCAGTACATGTTTCAGCAGCTGATGGACATGAGACTGAAGTGTGGGCCTGGTTCCCAGACCACTGCCAGTTCCTAGCCCAGGTTTTAGCTGAGGAGCTCCCTGCTATGGCCACGTGCACCATGTGTGTTCTCATGGGCTGCAACCAGCTCCTCCTCACCTTCCCTGCAGCCAGCAGAGCTCTCCAAATCTTTTCATCTACCATACTACCTGCTCCCCAGTCAATCTATTCATAGAACTGCAGAATCATAGGATGGATTGGGTTGGAAGGGACCTTAAAGACCAGATAATTCCACCACCCTGCCATGGACACAGACACCTTCCACTAGCCCAGGTTGCTCCAAGCCCCATCTAACTTGGCCTTAGACACTTCCAGGGATGGGGCAGCCACAGCTTCTCTGGGGGACCTCTGCCACAACCTCACCACCCTCACAGGGAACAATTTCTTCCCAAAATTCCTGCCCTCTTTCTCTGTAAAGCCATTCCTCCTTGTCCTGTCACTCCATCTCTTGTCCCAAGTCCCTCTCCAGCTCTCTTGGAGCCCCTTTAGGCCGTGGAAGGGGCTCTAAGGTCTCCATGGAGCCTTCTCTTCTCCAGGCTGAACACCTCCAGCTCTCCCAGCCTGGCTCCAGAATAGAGGGGCTCCAGCCCTTGGAGCATCTCTGTGGCCTGCTCTCTAGCAGCTCCATGTCTTTTTGTGTTGAGTACCACAGAGCTGGAGGCAGCACTGCAGGTGGGGTCTCACAAGGGCAGACCAGCCTAATTTTCCTACATCCTTCTTGCCCTGGGACACTGAAGCAGAGTACACTCTTCTAGTAACACCCCAACACGAAGTCATCAGACATAGAAGCCTCCATGACACTCGGTGTTCTGGCATTAGCCTACATCTTGTCCCTGGAACAGCACCATCCCTGTACAACCAGTATTTCCCAGGGTAGTCTCCCCTTTTTGCTTCACTCCACTTTTGAGGCAATCCCAGTTGCTGCCTGTGCTCTGCTCTGGGTCCTCTTGCTATCATTACTCACCTGGACAGGAGGCAGCAGGTCATCCATCATCTCCCAGGAGAAACACTTTGCTTGCCCTCCATTCCAGAGCATCTCCACTGACTCCTCATCCCCACCTCTCACTGGAGGAGGACATTTGCCTCTAGGTCCCAGCGGCCCTCCAGCACTTCTCCAGGCTCAGCAGAGCTTGAAGAGTCATAGAATCCTGAATTGGAAAGGACCCACAAGGATCATTGAGTCCAACTCCAGGCCCTGCAAGCAACAGGACACCCCAACAATCCCATCCTGAGCCTGAGAGCATTGTCCAAACACTCCTGGAGCTCTGGCAGCCTTGGGGACATGACCCTGGGGAGTCTGTTCAGTGCCCAACCACTCTCTGGGGGAAGAACCTTTCCTGAGATCCAGTTTAGATTCCTAAACCTCCCCTGACACAACTCCAGCCATTCCCTGGGGTCCTGTCACTGGTCAGAGAGAGAAGAGAGCAGTGCTGCCCCTCTGCTGGCCCTTTGGAGGAAGCTGCAGACTGTGATGAGGTGTCCCCTCAGTCTCCTCTTCTACAGACTGAAAAAGCCACTTTTTAGACTTCAGAAAACTCTTGAATCAGAGCAGTGAATGTGCCCAGCTGAAGCGTGTTCTCATTTGCAAAAGATCTGAAGAACTGCATCCTTAGTGAAAGAGCAAATTGATGAGCTCAGCTGGAAGAGCCAGGCACTGCAGCCAGGACTGAGCACATGGCCTGCCTCATCAGCTCCCCCCAAGCACTTCTTGTGCTGCTTTGTAAAATCATTAAAGCTACAAATTTATAAAAAATTGTCTGGGTGGGCTAACACAAGCTGAGCAGAGCCTCCTGAGAAATTCTGCTACAGAACATCAGTTTTTTCTGAGACAAGTCCCAGCACAGACCATGCAGGGAACAGCAGACCTTCGGGTAAAACACAGTTTTCACTTGTCCATGTTATCATTTTTTAAGATTAAAAAAAAGTTTATTTTACTGTGTTCAACTATCATCTCCAGAAAGTCCAAAAATGAGACAAGGTGTTCGGATTGGGTTATCCGGTCTCTCAAGTTTTATCTGCAACAAGTTTAGGTACTTACTGTCCATTCTCCAGGTCCTTCACGTGGCAAACGGATGCTTCCACCATGTCCTTTGGGTTGTGGTAGGGACTGCTGGCAATTGGATGCTCCTCGAGGTGGTAGTGCCGGGCTGTTCCATTGACTTTGTAGATCAGGGGGCTGGCTTTCCCATTGGGTGACATCTCCTCCTTGCTTCTCTCCTTCTCAGGTATCACTACTTCAATTTTCACTTCAACTGCAGGAACAAACAGAAACCTGCATTAAAATGAAGCCAGAAGTTTTGCTGCCATTCTGTCTCTCTCTCCTCCCTTAAACTTGGAAAGGAGCTGACAGACATCAGAACAGATGTTTTTTGTTGGCTTCCCTGAGAAGATAAAACATTTAATATCAAACCTGGCTTGACTACCTTAGCCCATTATTCCTCTGTTCTTTCTGCACTGGGCACTTTGTATTCATAAAGTACATATTCTTGCAAGCAGAGTCATGAGTCATCGGTGCAAAACAACCCCTCAGCCACAGTTCTTGTTCTGTTTAGTGGAAAACAGCTTCAAGCAGCTCTGTGTGAGGCACGCCAAGGCCTCTGGGGCTCAGAGAGACTTCAGAAAACCCTTTAATTGTTTGTAGGTAACATTAACTGAAAGAGAAAGCCAACACTGCATGGTGCATAAAGCTGCTTCATTAGATGAAGACCAGTTAATAAAGAACTAGAACTACCAAAATCATTTCCACATGAGGTTTTGAGTTTAGAGTGACTCTTCAGTATTAGGTAACAGAAGTAAGGATGGTCCACTTTTCTCATGTGTCCACCACTGAACAAGTCTGACAATAAAACATCCCTGTCCTGGGGACCAGGGTACCCAGGGACACGTGGGAGAAGGGACTGTAGGGAACAGAGGAGCTCTTCTCAACCACCCAGGTGAGGATATGCAGAAGTTATTGTGAGGGTGGTAAGGGCCTGGCACAGGTTGCCAAAGAAGCTGTGGCTGCCCCATCCCTGAAAGTGTTCGGTGTCAGGTTGGAAGGGACTTGGAGCAACCTGGGATAGAAGGTGTCCCTGCCCATGCCAAGGGGCTGGAATGAGATGGTCTTTAAGGCCCTTTCCAACCCAAACCATTCTGTCATTCTATGCTCATCCAAGTTCCCTGAAGGGCAGCACTCACCCATCCTCCCCGCTCACCAACCCAGCTGCACCCCCACCCACTGCCCCATGCCTGGGGTAGGCAGGCTGGCACAGAAGGATCAGAGGAAGCCACTGATGAGCTTTCATATCACAAAGTGGAAAACATCACTTTATCTCCTAGGGACTTCATAAAGCTGAAGCCATTAATATTAATAATAAACCCTAGTGAGTTCTATAGCTAACCAGAGGGAAGTGCCAGAGACTGGTAAAGTGTCTCAAGCACAAAGGTGATCATTGAGCTTTCCCCATCTTATAAATGTCATGAACAGGAAAAGCTGTACAGAAGATAAAAATTAAAGTTCACAAACTAAACAGGTTAAGGAAAGGCCAAAAAAAAAGGGTAAAAACAAGCCCTACAGCAAGAGAAGGGCCCTGAGTCTTTCCAGCCTCATCTGTTGTTCCAAAACTTTTATCACAAGAACATTGAGAGGACAATGGAAGAACATATCAGGGGGAAGGTCATTTATTTTGGAAGAGGGAAAACAAGTGGCCATGGCCACCCAGGTGCTGGAAGCAGGTGGCTATCTCAGGAGTCCTGCAAGTTTCTGCTGTTTGTGCCAGCTCAGCAGGGCAAGCGATGGTGTAGCTTTTTGCCAAAAAGTCAAATCTCTGCACTCACCAGGGCACGATTCACTGGGGGCACTGATCCAGGAAAGTGATTTTCCATGTATGAATGCTGAATTAGCAGAAAACATCAACTTCTCTTGCTCTGTTGCAGCTTCAGGAGTTAATGCAAATTAACAGGGCCAGCACCATGCATTAAAAAAAAAAATATTGCTATGTGCAAATCTATCCCTGGAGCTCTAGAGAAGCAGCCCAGCTGCTGCAGGTACCCAGTGAAGAGGTAGCTCTCCATGAGAACTGCTTTCCTAGCGCACTGGGAGAAGCAGACATGGATTTTTAAAGACAGGAAATATAACGAATGCCCATTTATACCAGTCCCAGTGAAATACTTTTGGCCAAAAAATCAGGAGGCTCATGTCATATAATTTCATAATCAGATATTTACCTGCAGCGAATGAGGCTGAGCATCCTTGCAGCCAGACTGCAAAGCCAGAACATGTCTCAGGATGAGACCAGGCTGGCACCAGCAAAGCCAGCAGCTCTGAGCCCTAGCAGTGACATTGATATCAGTGAATTCACCCTGCAGGAATCAATCTCCATGTCTCACTTGGCTGATGCCTCAGGGCTCTGTTTTCCGGAGCACATTTGGGTCAGGTGAGCACCTGGAGTGCTTGCTGATCCATGGGCATGTGAACCTACCGGGATGAAGATGGAAATGTAGCTCTGCTCTCTTCACTTCTTCCTCAGTCAGAAAAACATATGCAGGAAGTAGCAAGTCTGGCACCAGCATGTGACTTGGCATTGCTTGGGACTCACTGACACTGCTGGACAAATGTCCAGAGGAAAAGAAAAAGAGGTATAAAGCCTTCTCCCTTCCTGTTTCAGGCTCCATACTTCACCACTTGCCTCTCTGGGAGGCAATTCCCACTTGCCTCTTGCCAACACCTTATCCCCCCATCTCCTCCTTCTCATCACTCTTGGCCCCTACCTGGGGTGTCCCTCTGGCCTGAAACCTGCATTCCCGAGAGAATGCAACTGAGCTGATTCAGTAAACTGCTTCAGTTGCCATCAGGGAAAATGACATTTATATCAAATATTTATAAATCCAAGTCTAATTCTGAAATCTGATTGGTACAATGGGGTAGGGGCCAGCGCACTCCAGCCCTTTGACAGTCATATCCTGTAACTGCTAGAAGAGAGTCTGGACCTTAAAGCAAACTGTTTGTAAAGTTTTAGGCATGTGACTACAAATCTGGACAGCGGACAACTCCTCAGGGACACAGAGATATATGGAGAGAGAGATAGATACAGATAGAGAGATAGAGATACAGATATTGATACAGATACATAAGTACGGGTATAGATACAGGCATAATTATGGATTATTTAGATAAAAATATAAAGAGAGATATGTATAGATAAAATAGATGAGAGAGAGACAGAGAGAGATGCGCCATCAGCATCACTTATATACATATGTGTTTATGTACACTTTTAATATATACCCATACATACACACACATTATATATATTAAGGACTAGGAGGCCAGGACTGTAAGTATTGTATAAGAATATAGAAAAAAGCAGAGGAACCAGTTGAGCAGGGGCTCATACCAAACATCCACATAGGTCTCAGCACTGTTAGCTCTTGCTATTCAAAAATCCTGAGTCAGCTCCCCAAAGTCACAGAATTGTTTAAAATAGAGTCTTGACAAGACTATGAATTTTAACCCATTCTTTTTTCTGCCGGGTTTTCAGCCTTTAGGTCCACCACTGCTGGGACCCTCCACATACACTCAGGAACTGTGTCCCAACCCTATTCATCACAGTTGGCTCAGGTGTTGTTTTCACACAGTGGGCACAATGCTCTTGTGCTTTGCTTCATATCATGCACATGAGTAATAAGTCCTTAACACCCTACTACATTTCCTGCAAATTTATTCCTTCTCCATCACTATTCACAGCCTTGTGGGACAAGTCAAAGCCTCTGCCTGCTTTTCGGCAGGTACCTGAGACGTGAGGCTAGAACTGTTGGCATAGACCCCAGAGCAGGAGCTGGCAGGTGGTTGGGAAGCAGTGCAGGGTCATGGACATTATTTTAAAAAATTAGGGTAATTAAAAGACTTCTTTATCACAGGACTGTGTTTCCAATATGGCTCAGAGCCCTTCTAGAGACTAAATTTAAATTATGGATATCAGATCATTGAAAGTGTGCTACTTAAAATGAGAGAAACCAGGAAAATACTGAGTCAATATGGGAAGAGAGAATTACCATGCACCAAGAACTAACTTGAACCTGGGGGAGTCTGGGTAAGATGAAGATGTGTGGCCACAGGGGATGGAGGAGCTGAGCTGACAAGGGGAGAACTGTGAGTGTGCCTTCCCCAGCCCCAAAACCCTGAGATGCCTCAAGGTGTGCTGCTCAGGGGCTGGAGGCACAAGGCAGAGGAACACTGAGGGCAGGGAACAGCCTGGTATGTGCTATATGGTGCCAACAGTTCCAGGAGCAGTGGAAACCAAAAAAGCATCAAGGGATGATGCTGGAGGGATCAGCAGGGTACAGTGAGCACAGCCAAAAATCTCAGTTTACCCCATCAGGGTTTATTTTCCCAAAGCCAACACAGAACAAATCCACCACCATGGGACACACTGGGGGCTCACACACTCTGGTGCCCTGCCAGAGCTGTGCTTTCCAGACATTCCCCAGGCATGTTCATGCTGCCTCAACTACAAACCACAATGAGAGCAACTTCAGGTGGTCTCAAAGAGACTCCATTTCTATTGATCATTTCTTCCCCTCCTTCCAAGGTAAGGTTGGATGGGGCTTGGAGCAACCTGATCTAGTAGAAAGTGTCCCTGCCAACGGGAGGGGATCAGAACTAGTTGGTCTTTACAGTCCCTTCCAGCCCAAACCATTCTGTGATTCTATTGTTCTCTTAATAATGAGAGCTCGTGACAAAATCACATCAAATGTGCCTGGCTCTGCTTTCCTTCTCCAGATAATGTGTCAGCAAATGACACACTCCCAAAAACCAGGATGTAGGACTTGCCAGCCAAGCCTGGGTGCACCCTCAGAGCCAAGCTCAGGTCACACAACCAACAGCACCCTCTCCAGTAGCGTGCAGCATCCCTGGGAATGAAGCATGTTCCCTGCTAAACACATTCTCTGTGCAAGGGCAAAGCCCCAGACATTCCACGTGCAGTGGAGTGGCTGCTTTGCCCCACCATCAAGCACTGAGCCCAGCAGGAGAAGGATAATCAAAATTTATAGGTTTTGAAGCCACTGTTCCACACCCTGCCCAGAGATAGTGCTGCTGCAGCTCACACAGAGCTGGTGCACAATGATTCCTGTCACCCGTCATCCCGCCCAGGCTGTGCTGCAGGAGCGGGTGCTGGGATACCACACAGGCTGCCAGCTCATCCTCAATGTATCACACACTCAAGACAAAACACAGGAAAAAATTATGCAGAGATTGAGAACTGGGTCTTCAGAAGAGGATCTGGCATCACGGGACTGCAGCACTGGAGATAACAGCAGATTACTTCATTCCTTGAACATAAGCTCTTAATTAAACACTGAAATATCAGGACAGGGACAAGCACTGCAGCAGCAGCCAGATCTGGGGGCTGGCCAGCGCTACAGTCAGCACATCTATTTAGGGATCCAGGACTCCACTCCCCAAAGCTCTTGTACCACTCATCTGCTCCTCAAAAAGTGAGATGTGTGCAATGCCAAGGTTATCTTGAGAGTGTTAAGTGACTAAGGGTCTCTCTTGGATATAAGGAGATTAAGCAGATAAGGACCTTGTGTACATCTTTAAAAAGTGTCTGAATCAATTCCATTGGCTTCAGACTGCATCTGAAATATGCCCTTCATGTGGATACAGCACTGATGGAGCAAGTAACTCTATTCTGTCCCTGCTTCTTACTTGGATAGGAAATAGGCAGATTCTTAGAAATAGTAAAGACCAGTACTCAGCTCCAATGGTGTTAAATTCCCACACAAAATGGTTGTAAAACCCTTTTGCTAGAACAATTAGTATCCTCAAATGCCTCTGTTTACCTCCCTGCATTTGCAGGTTTTATAACTCCGAGATGAAGCCCTGCAGTCGATGCTGAGCCACCCCTGGGCTGCAGAAGACTTGTCCAAAGCCTTTTTGAAGATGGCTAATCCAAACCAGAGCTGAGGGACAGCAGGGTGGCATTTTCAGGCATTTGGCCCTGCTAGGTAAATACAGTTCTCCATGAAAATTTGCAGCTCAGAAAAGATATCCACAGTGTGATGGTCTTCCAATACCAGTCCAAGATTACCCACAGCTTTGCTGATGGGATACAAAATAAAGTGGAGTTGCCAGCAGAGTTTGTCACAAGTTTACTCAACAAAGGCATTTATTCCTGTATGCATTTTCACTCCTCAAGCATTTAAAGGAAAAATATAAAAGGGTTTTCATGAAGAAAACTTACAGGTCCCAGTGTCCAATGCCCTATTACCTTGGTGATGACCCATAACATAATTCCAGTACGGGTCAAGGGCAGAAAATCACCTTTATTTTCTCCTTGTGCCTTACACAAAGGCAGGACCTCACTCCTTGAATGTTCAGTGGGTCACAACTCCTATTGCCCTTCTGACCTTTTGAGTTCTTCAACCTGAAATCTCCCCTGCCTGAAGCAGTGAAGACAAATTGCCAAGAAAAGGTCCCCAAGAGACATTTGTCCACCCACAATGGCTACACAGGCACCCGCCACTAGCTGATTCCCCTTGCCCTGTGGCACAGGGAGCTAGGAGCTCTCCTCCACGGCAGCTTTGGCAACACTGATTGGGCCAGTCCCCCATGCACCAGCACCACTCCCTGGGGTCCTGCACTGGGGTGATGTGGGTGCTGCCGGCTATGATGAGTGTGGATGACCATGTGGTGCCTGCTCATGCCCAGCCTGCTCAGTACAAAGCTGAACACTGACACTTCCACATCACCCCTCAATCTGCCAGTTTGCCTGGGCAGGTGGCACCACAGCCCCTGCCCCTCCCACATCCACTCACATTCCCCAAACCACACAAAACAGGGAGCTCACCCAGCCCAGTTGTGGTGGGACCATGCCGGGCAAGGGGGGCATCCTTGATGTCCAGGTGTCTACAACTGCTTTCCCCACTGGAAGCAGTACACATGGACAGGCTTGGCCAAGATAATAAAATCCCAACAGCAGAGCAGCTCCAGGACTGCAGGGAAAAAATAAGGGCTGGCCAGTGAGTGACAAAGCTGCAGCAGAAGGAAAGTGCTGGAGCCCCAAGTGTCTGTGGGGATGGCTGTCACACAAACCTGCCCTGGGGCACGAGAGGAGCAGCTCTGCCCCAGGTACAGCAGAAAGGCAGAAGCAGGAGGGTAGTGAGGTACAAGGAGATGGGACCGGGCAGAGCTGCCCCCCCTCGTGCAGGGTGAGTTTCCCTCCCACCCATCCACCACCCCCCTAGCACCCCCTATCACCCCCTGGCTGCCCCCCGCAGCTCCCTCCCTGGAGTGAGAGAGCCAAGGAATCTGGGGGGATTAAGAACCCAGTAATCCTCCCTGCGGGAGCCGAGCATTAACATTCCCCCGGCCAGCGTCCACTGCTGACCTACTTTTCCCACGGGGACGGCGGGATGGGGCCTCGGCGTTGGAGGGCAGTCACCTGGTTTGGGCTTGGAGAAGCATCCTCCCATGGTGCCGTGCGGGAAAAGCAGCGGGGCCAGGGGCGGGCAGGTCATCAAGGGCGCGGGCACATCCTCGCATCGCACACGGCGAGCTCGCGTGCCTCGGCTCCGGCGTCGATCCCCACGTGCCCTGGGTAGAAAAGCACTGTGAGCCGGTACCGGTTGCTGCAGGGAAGGGAAGGCAAACCCGTGACAGCGCTGCTGCCCACAGCCCACAGCGGCACCGGTACAGTGAGCACACACAGCATGGGGGCAGAGTCCCAGGCACCCCCAGTGACCCCAGGGACAAGCGGACAACATGCTGCTCGGGTCACCATGCTGGGAGCCGCTGGTAAATTCAGTGATGAAGTTTATAAATTCAGTCATCAAAGTCGATTACAAAAACCCTCATATCATTTATGGTCAGACTTTAATAACTTTTCAAAGCCCTGCCTTTGGGAATTAAAGCTCTAAGCACACAGGTCACAGCCTAAATACCATGATTAAACCATAAATACATTTCAGTTGTTTTTTTCCTGTTATTATTAGGTATTCCAGTTATGCTCATTCCTGCAGAAATGCCCTTGGCTTTGGAACTAATTAATTAAAGAGGTTTTTATATCAGACCATTTTGCATCAACCTCCTTTTTTTATACTATTAAAACCAATTTTTTTAATGTTTGAAGTCAAGTTGTGTTTTTCTTATTAGCTTTGACTTGGAGTGCTCTCAGATTTGGTACAAAGAATTCAGATAAACCTTCTCGGTTACACCGCATGACTGAAAATAGCAAAGACTCATCCAACACAGTGGCAATAAAATAGTATATTTAATTCATTTTACCCTTTCCTACCTGAACTGAACCAATTTACTATGGGTTTGCCACATATTCAAAAAGCCCTCTGATCTGGGCAGGAAATTAAAAACCATTCCCAATATATTTTAATATATTCCCATATATTTTAAGACAGACAAGGTAGGCTTTTCTGTAGCTTAGAAAGTGCCTCAAGGTCTTTACGATGAGAATTAGAGAAGTGCCAAGAGACAGATAACAAACCCTACACCTTCTTTCCTTTGCTTAAACAGCAACTCAAAATATCAGATGTATCCCTCTGTTTCCAGAGGGATGCCATGCATGGCAACACCTCCACCAAGCCCCAGGTATGTTGCAGAAGCACCTTCAGAGCCTGGAGCATGTTGAATAAGCAATCCAAGCTATAGGGGAACAGGAGCCTGGTGCCTTGCACACGGTGCAAAGCAGACACATGCTATTTGATGCTGAGCACTGAGGGTACCACTTTGGAGCAGACTATTAACACAGCAAAACCAACCCAACATTGCCCACAAAGAGTGATCAAATGTGTGTGGAGCCACCAAAAAATTTCATGTGCAAAGAGGGATCATTAAATGCAGAAGGGAAGAGCCATTAGCTCTTCTCCGAGAGCATCCCAGGGAAACAGCATGACAATGTTAATGCAAGAGTAAATGCCAAAAAATTGCCACATAAGAAAATGCACAAATGCAGAGGAAGACTGTGGAGCAGTGGGGAGAAACAGAGTGGAGACATCACATGCAGTAGCTGCTATACAGCCCTTTGCCAGAACCAGCAGGAGAAAAGGAAAATAGCTTTGTACCAGGCAAACCAAATCTCAAGCTTCTGATGTATCAGTGATATAGGACAACAATTTAGTGTAAAACACATAATGAAATATTGCCACAGCTGCCTCAGGAGAAAACCAACCCTCACCCCCTCCCCCGCCTTTCCAACCCAGAGCAACAATTTGCAGTGGGTTTCCTGCAGCAGAAGTGGATGTTGTGGTGGCAAGACAGGGCCATGCTCCAGGTAGGCAGTGCCCTAGCAGCATCCCAGCATTCCCTTGGAATGCTGTGCACGTGGATGAGCACAGCAGAGAACCCCAACTACCAGGCAGGCAGTGGGGTGGACAGCAGAAGGGTGGCTCCCAAAGGTGCCTCAGGAGAAACATTCCAACTTCTCCAACCCCTCCAGAAATGCTGATGTAGGACTGGTTTCCAGCTGCTCTGGCTGGTTTTAACAGGGAGGCATGTCAGAGTTCCTGAATGTCAGGCATTCATCTGAGATGCCTTTACTTTGTTTGGACCTTAAAGATGGCAATCTGCAGCCATGCCCTCAGGCCCACTTCACATCTCCCCACTGATGGTCCCCCCAGCCCTTCAGAGGCACAGAGACATTTGCACCTCTCAGCACAGGTGAGAGAGGTTGATATCTGAGGTGTCCCTTCTCCACTCCTGGTGTTCACTGGGCAAAACCAAAACGGTTCTTGGTAGGATTTCAGCTGATGTCACCAGAGGAGAAGCCACCTGGCTGCCCCCAGCCTCAGTCCCGGTAAGGACAGAGATGCTTCAGAATCAACTGAGACCCAGTTGGTTACAGAAAGGCACCAGCCTGCCCTACTGACTCAGAGGATACAATATGGTCATGTCACTGCTAGTAGCATCCAGAGGCACCAATCCAGAGCTGGATCCTGCAGGAGTCATGGCCAAAATCTCCTCTCTATTAGAAGAAGGAAATAAGCTTATATACAACACCATGTAGCTGAACCCAGGATACCCCATAAAACCTTGCTAAATCCTGAAGGGTAATGGCCTGACCTGCATAAGATGTCCATGCCTCAGTAAACCAATACATCACCTGTTCCCTGAAGAAAATGACACTCTGTGCCACACAGTTGGGCAGGAACACCTTCAACATCTGCTCAAAGAGGCAGTTGTTGTGGTGCTGAGGAACAAACTGCCCCATCCCTAAAACTCCAGTGTGAATGGGGAACCGGCCCTGCACCAGGCTGTCTGCAGAATTCCATCACCCACAGAGAGCACTGCCTGAGCACATAACCGGGGACACCAGCCTGCTCTAAACAGGAGAAATAGGGAAAATAATCCAACAAAGAGAGAGAAATAATCCAGTGCTCCTGACTCTGCACAACTCCCCTGCACGGCAGTAGCATATGTAAAATACGGCAACATCAAGTTTCAGTGCGGGTCAGGGATATCAGACCAGACAAACCACATGGCTCAGCCCAGCCCACACTTCCCACCAGGCTCAGACAGTGTGCTCGGAGCAGGATCCAGAGCCTGCATCACTTCTGAGCGGTGCAGTGCTGGCAGAGCTATTATTAGCACTGTGCTTCTGCTGGCTGCAGCGCCCCAGGCTCCTGTTTTAATCGAGTACTCTGCTGTGACTCCAGAATCTTTTCCAAGAGCTAATGTGGCAACTATATAACTATATCAGTATATCAGCACACTGTAGGTATAAATAACGTTTTACCCCCGAACATCAGTTTGTGTTTATTGCCGCAGTATCATTTCCTCACCTGGCACTCAGGTCCTTCCCATCCAGCTGCAGCATCTGCCAGCATCTGCCCTGCTGCTGTGAATAATCCTGCATTGCCTGCCTAGAAGTCTGGCACAGCTCTGAGCACCAAGCTGTGCCCAGTGATACGAGTATCTCCCCAGAGACATCAGTTTGCAATCCAAGGTAGTTCCAGTTGGAGACCTCCGTGGAGCACTGAGCATGGACACACTCATGACACTGTTGATGGAATTCCCCTGGCCATGATTCACCTGCTGTGGGAGGGGGCCCTAGTGTATATGGACACCACCTGCCTCCATGGCCTCTTCAGGCTCCTCCAGACCTTCATGCCAGCCCTGGGTGCCACCAGAAGGAGAAGAGCGGAGAGAGCTGTTCCCCCTCCCCTTCCCACTCACCCAGTACAAGTCCTCACGGCTGGTCCCCTGGCCAGACAGAGGAGCGTCCTGCCACCTTCCAAGGCAGCTCCATCCCGTCCCCACACCTGAAGCCTTTCTCTAGCCCTGGACCCAAATCTCCTCTCCCCAGTGATGTGAGGGCTCCCAGTATTGGTGTGAAGATGACTGATGTTATCTCCTGGCACCAGGGGCATGTGAGGTCAGAGAAAATAGGGGCTTGGTGCCAACCCACTACATGATCCCAGAGAAAAAACTCTGCCCTGGGGCTGCAGGATAGAGAAGACAAAGGTGCTGGAGCAGTTTCCAGATCCCAAGGATCCTGGTTATGGCTACCAGAACAAGAAACATCTTAATCTCTAGGTTTTATAATCCCAGATCCTCTAGGCTTTGCACAGCCCTGGTCCCCCCACAGCTACATCTCCTTCACTGCCTCTCCTTCTCTTGGGCCAGATCCAAGCCAGCCCTGGGGCTGCTGGGGACACAGTTCAGGTTCCCAAGGATCAGCAACACAACCAGCAGTCCAAGGAAACCAGACAACAATGAATGCTCCCACCCTGCCACCACCAGTAACCGACATCCATTCACCCAGGGAGCTCAGGATCATGTGCTCAGCCAGCCTTTCTCCTCTCTTGATTTCCACATTTCTTGATTTTCAGATCCATAGAAAGCCAAGGTCCAAACAAGTGAGGATGAGGAAGGTCTCTTCTAGGACACACACAAGGATCAAAAAGCAGAGGTGAGCAAGAGATACGTCCCAAGGAAGGCATTCCATCACGATAAGGAGGAGACCTTCCCATGCTTTGAGGAAGAATTTCTCAGTATTGGAGGACTAAAGAAAACAATGGAGAGGCAGGCAGTGTGGGCCATGGGATGGCTGTTTCCCAAAAAGAGTGGGATCAAAGGGCCAAACAAAGAGACAGGAAGGGCAACATGGCAGCCCCAATGCAGTTGTGGTCATGACCATGCTGGCCTTCATCTCCCATCAGGGCGGCACCTCTTGCTCTGCACCTTCTGCCCAGGTTCATGGATGAATTTAGGCTAAAAGAGGTCTCTGGAGGTCATCTGATCCAATTCCAGCTGTGAGTAGGGTGACATACCCACCTAGATCAAACCTTAATGCTGTCTAAAGCTTTGGAGAATGGACTCACCCACTAACACCTGAGGGTCCTCAAAGATACCAGATCTTTTCAGATGGGTATCAGTGGAAAAGACTCAGTGGTCTGCAAAGAACAAGAAAATCCATCTTTCGCATCTGGAGACCAACCCAGAGCTCCCCATTCACACCACATTTGGCAGATGCAGCACTCCTTAGAAATGGGAAGAGGAGATGTTAAATGATTTCACTTCCTCAACACTTTGAAGCATGGATACTAGGACCAGGAATGACATTTTTGCTCCCAGACATATCACTTCTGGAGTATTTTGTAATGCTCAGACTCCCCGACTTACATCCAGTAGAGGAAGGGAAGGGTTTGGGCAGTCATGCTGTCCCCTAGAACCATAGCAGCTCCAGGGGACTGGGCGCACGGCTTGCTCACATGCTCAGGGAACAGCTCATAGCCAGTTTGGGGGAAGAAAAAAGTTTTTTCCCTTGGAGATTGGCACAGGTGCCTGGGGGCTTTTGCCTTCCTCTGCAGCTCTGAGCACAGCCCCTTGCCAAGGTTCCTTGGGGCCATTTTTGGTCAGGGATTCCCTGCTGTGGCAGGGCCAGGACTCCAGCTGTGTCTGTGATCTCTCTGCCTCTCTTCCCCATGGCAGCTCTGTTTTTCTAGTTTTCAGTCACCTATAGCACACGTGACTTCTAAGGCGATGTCAAACAGCTCTGCACTCAACAGGAGCTGCTGGTTTTCAACAGCCCCTGCATACAATGACATTTTCTTTTTATTGCATCTGGGTTCTATTGTCTACAAACATTTGCCCATTTCTGCCCAGAGAACTTTGTCCTTCAGAAGCTTTATCAGTTCCTACAGAAAATGTTTGGACTCAGAGCAGTGTTACAGCCATTTGAAGAGCTCAGCACTTTCTTCTTGGAACATCCTTCATGGATGTGTCTGAAGGGTCCACGTCAGTCATTTCTTTCCTGCTCTGTGTAAGGACTGATCTCCACACCTCTTGGAAGACTTGCTTGTCTGCTTCGCAGAGTGAAGGAGACCATGTTCCTGTTCCAGCCACTGAGATCTGGTTCTGCAAGTTGTTTCCTACACCTCCCAAGCAGGAACACAAGAGAAAGGGGCAACTGGAGGCTTAGATCATCTGGTGTCCTGTCCATGCTTGCAGGGAAGAGCTGGCTCTGACTCTGGTCCCTGCTGTGGGAAAAAAACAACCCCGATCTCAAACCATACACTATCCTCTGCAGCACTGCCAATTCTCTGCACATGCAAAATATTGTTTTAGCACATGGGACAGCGGGAGCCATGGAGTAGTCTCAGCAGCAGAACTGTTTTGGTCACACCCTTGAAGCAAAATGAAGCACAGACCCCACTACAACCTCTCCAGCCCATCTCACAAAGCACAGCCTATCCCACAGGGCAGCCCAGGCCCTGTTCCCTGGGTGCAAGGACTCCATCCCAGTTGGTCCTGAACATCAACAGGACCCAGAGCCCTCATGTCCCACCTAACTCCTCACCACACAAAACGGCACCCAGCAACGGACCCCATCTCTCAGCCCTGCCATCACCCTGTGTGGCTCCATCCCAGCCAGGCACACATGCACCACACACCCACCACCACACACCAGATTCACATTCCTGCTGTGCTTTCAACAAGGGCTGCCTGTTTCTCTCAGTTTTCTGGGGATTTGCTCTAGTTCCACTCCCACAGTGATTGCCAGAACTATGCAGTGGGCCATCACTCTTACCGGCTTTCCCAACTCTTGGTGCAGCAGCATTAGAAAGACTTAAGAGTGGTGACTTCACATCCCCCTGTCCTTGATCAGTACACTCAGACTGTCCTTCTCCATCATCTCCTGAAGGTCAGCTCTTGTTTCACTCAGTGCCACCATGTACAATCTCACACCCCACTTCTCCTCCATCTCTGCTCAGTGGGGCAACTCCAGCCACCAGTGATGCTTTTCACCACCAACTTAGCCAGTTTCATCTGCTTTGCAGGCAGAAGGAATTAATAAAAATATATAAGGTGCATCCCAAGAGTCCTGTAGTCTACCAGGCAGCATGCTTGCCTCTGTCCCTGGCACGACTCCCAGTGACCCTGCCAAGGACCAGACTTCAGCCCAGAGGCAGACCAGCAGTCTCCCACAGCTCAAAGAATCACTGAATCAATCAGGTTGGAAAAGACCTCTCAGGTCATCGAGGCCAATATAAAACCACTATGTGCCATGTTTCCTTAAAAACCTCCAGGGATGGTTACTCCACCACATCCCTGGGCAGCCCATTCCAATATCTAATCACCCTTTCAGTGAAGAAGTTTTTCCTAATGTCCAACCTAAACCTCCTCTGGCACAGCTTAAGCCTATGTCCTCTCATCCTAATCACATCCATTCCCTCCCCGAAATCAGCCAGTCTCCACAGGCCACTGGTGTGGAGTAGCCCCAGTACATCTCCGCACGGCCTGTCAAAGCAGGAGGCAGCACAGACCCCAGAGTGCACAGACCCCACAGTGAACACACTGCATTTCCCACAGTGCAGAGTGGTGGTGTGACAGCATTTGGGCTCTGGGTGTTGTCCGAGCACAGCTGCACCACCAGTGTCCCACAGCCCAGAGGTACCTTCCTGCCATCCCCACCACCCTGCAGAGCACAACTGCCCCAAAAACCACAGCAACCACTGGCACAAAGTCCTGCTGACACCCTGAGCTGCCTGCAGCCTCCCCCTCTGCACGCTCTGGGGTCCATTCTCCACCTGCTGCACTACCGTGGGTGCCACAGCCTATGATCCTGAGGAGGAACCCCAGTGTTTAGGATCTCCAGTTCCTGTAAAGGTCTGGCTCAGCAAAATCAAACTGCCCCGTCTCCAGGATAAGCCGGGCTCTGCTGCCAAAAAAAGCAGCTCTCGCCTCTGGATGCTGAACTCTGCGCACAGCCCAGGCATGGTTAGAGCATTGGGGGGCCCGAGCCTCTTCCCCCACCCCATGGATCATGCTGTGCACTCTGTGTTATCAAGGCAACATGCAGCAGCCCTGCTCCGACCCTGGTGAGATGCATAGGGCTTGCCCACCAAGTGAAAAGGAGACAGTGGGAAGAAAATCAAGTCACACAGAAGAGAATGTGACAGGGGATGATGTTTTTAGGGCAGGAAGAACTTGTATTTCTAAAATAATATGGGTATGAAAACAGGTGGGTCTCCATCCTGAAGTTAACACTTCTGTCAGGAATCACACTACAAAGGATAGAGTTCCACAATGCTGTGGCTCCCAGTGCTCACACAGACCAGCCTCCCAGAATGGGGTACCCAACTGGGTGAACATGTCTGTGTTCATGTCACCGCCTCTTGACTCTCCTCCTTGAGGATGCTGCATCCAGGACATTGGATCGTGCAGACTGCTTGTGCAGACACACCATGCACTGCTGTCCAGCCTCTGTCTACACAGCAGATGAGTCAAACTCAAGGGGGCTGGCATACAGGAACCCCCTTTTTCTCTTCCTGGCACTCTAGCCTTCTCTTTACCTCTCCAGCTTTTCAGCCCCTTTCTTCCCATTTGATAGCCCTTCAGCCAACTCGCCCTTCCCTCTACCCAGTGCTCCTGCTTCCTGCCATTTCCATACCCATCCTGATCCTGTTGCCTGGCCTCTGCTCCAGGGTCCCCCAGATACTGACACACAGTGACTGACACTCTCAGAGCCCTCCTTCCTCTCCTACTCCTTCCTCCACCTTGCCTGCCTAGGAGCCCCCAGTCCCTCATCATAGCCCTCCCTGACAAATCTTATCTCTGTAGATGCTTCCTGATGGGGGCCAAGATTTGCTTTACACCCACCTGGAGAAAGCAGCGGGTTTGGCTTTGCCAGGTGATTTTCTTTTGGATGGTCCCAAGAAACAGAAGCAAACTCACGCTGCAAAACGCCGAGAGCAGCTCAGGGCCCCAGCAATGGGCCGTATGGCCCCATCTCACCGCGGGCAGGGAGAGATGAGGGCAGGGAGTGACGTGCGCTGCTGCACTTCACCTTGTCACCAGGAGTTTGTGTCAGCGGCAGCACAGAGAGCTACAAAGTTGCCGGTTAATGTCCCCCGCTGGCTCCTGAAGGAACGCAGCGGGAACGCCCTGTCGGAGCACAATCAGACAGGATTGTTTTCCTGGCTGCTGCTTCAGCGATTTAGCAGCTCCAGGTTAAAGGCTCATTCGACAGCGCTGTCACTACCACCACTCCACACGCCTTCTCCGTGAGCTGGACTGGAAACCATTAATCATGAGATTTGGTTCAGATCGCAAAGGTTTGCCAATAAAAAGCGCAAATGCTGGAAATTCTCCCCAGGCGCACAGTGCACGATGCACAAAACAAATCATTTCACAACACGAGAGAGTTTTAATTCTCAACCACTCCACCATAGGTAGCCGAGTCCCTGCCGTGCTGTCCCTGCCAGGTCCCCCTTGCACAAGAGCAATCTGTGTTCCCCACAGGAACTGGAGCAGGGCAGAAGGAGTTTATCCCAGCAACGTTTTCCAAGACCAACAGCTACAGCAGAACACCACAGTCCAGCTTCCATCCACCACAATCAGAGGTGGATGTTCCCTCTCGAAGGAGACTTTGCAGTTCACAGAATCACAGAATGTCCTGTTGGACAGGGACACACAAGAATCATGGAACAGTTTGGCTTAGAACAGACCTTAAAGCTCATCTCATTCCATTCCCCTGCCACGGGCAGGGACACCTTCCACTACACCAGGTTGCTCCAACCCCATCCAACCCAGCCTTGGACACTTCCAGGGATGGGGCAGCCACAGCTTCCCTGTGCCAGTGCTTCACGACCCTTACAGGGGAGAATGTTTCCTAATATCCAATCTACCCTCCTTCAGATTAAAGCCATTCCCCCCTGTCCAGGTGGGATCACTGTTTCCTGGAACAGGAACAAATAAACTTGGAGAACACGCTGGCGCGGGGACACGACACACCACACAGGGACCCAAACCCGCTTTTCCCCCGCGACCCATTTTTTCACTGGTTTGACTTCCTAGGCAGTTGCTGCATGTCACGAAAGATGCGGACACGCGACGCTTCCGCACCGGCTCCGCCGGCAGCTCCGGCTGCAGAGGAGCCCCCAGGCCCGCCGCGCTCTTCGGTACCCCCGGTACCCCTACCCCTGGGTGAGCAGCAGCGGTCCCTATTGCCCATTCCCTCTGGCCGGAGATGCGGTGAGGTCCTGGGCAGCGGTCTTGCACCGGGAGCCTCACTCCCTTCTCATCCTCCCTGAGCCGGCTCCCCACCTCCCCCCGCGCTTACCTGGGTAGCCGCCGTTGTGCCGGCGCTGCGGGCGGAGCGCGGCCGGGGCGGGGCGGGGCGGGGCGGGGCGCGGAACACGCCCCCGCCGCGGGAGCGGAGTGGGAGGTTCCCGCCCGCCCTGCCCGCTACCGGGAGGACCGCGGCGCGGGGTCTCCGCTGGCCTCGGGCACCCCAGGACAGTTCGGCTCCGTTGGGTCCCGCGGGGTCGCTGCTGTCGGGGCTATTCCTGCCCGGCTGAAATACCCTGTCCCAGCGCTTCCCAGGTGTCACTTGGTTTACATTTTCCCTCTGGATTCACAAGTCTCTGGTTCCCCCTCGAAGACAGTGATCTGCGCCCCCCTCTCCCCCCTCCCTTCCGCCTGGCACGTCTGGCAGTGTCAGCATCTCCCTGCGCCTTTTCGTCTCACATGCCCCAAATCTGTCCTTTATTTTCACTCGATGACTTTTGAGACCACGCTGGGTACAGAGAAAGGTTTTTTCTCCACCAGATAATTTGTCTCAGATCGCTGCTGTCTTACACCCTGATTATATATACAACTCCCTGAGGTTTTGCAGGGGCAGTTCACTGCTCTTTAATGTCCAGCTTCAGTTCCCTGCTCCAACTGGGAGCAGGAACAAGAGGCTTAACTGGACTGTTCAGCTGCAGTTCTCACTACTGTTAAAAATCCTCCCCATGGATGGAGTGTTCCAGCATGGAAGCTCCAGGGAGCCACATCCCTCCACAGCCTTGTGAGAAAAACTGTGGGTCCTCATGGAGCTGCCTCAATTTTAAGGCAAGAGAAATGACCACAGCTTCACTGTCTGCAGGCCATGGAGCAGGAGGAACCCTGCATGTGGTGCTGCATCTGGCTGGGACATGGTGCAGAGCTCATCCCACAGCGTGCAGGGACCCCTAAAAGATCCATCACCTCCATTTCCCTACACGGCATGCAGGATTTTTGATCTGTGGTGTGGAAAACTGCTCCTATGCAGCTGCCAAGCAAACAGCAAGGATTCAGCCTTGGAAGGAGACAGTAAATGGCTTTGCACGGAATTATCTCAACAGCAAGCCATGAGTGGCCATGCTTTAAGCTGAAGGAGGGTAGATTTAGATTGGATACTGGGAAGAAATTCTTGGTTGGTGAGGCCCTGGCACAGATTGCCCAGAGAAGCTGTGGTTGCCCCATTCCTGGAAGTGTTAAAGGCCAGGTTGGATGGGGCTTGGAGCAACCTGGTCTAGTGGAAGGTGTTCCTGCTCATGGCATGGGGTGGAACAGATGAGCTTTAAGGTCCCTTCCCAGCAAACCAGCCAGTGACTCTATGCTCAGCTGGCAACATAAATGTACCTTGTGGGGCTAAGCACCTCACAGGGGGACAATGAGGCACCAGCATCACTGTGGGGCTGTGCTGCCCTGGGAACAGTGGGAGATGCAGCTCTGTCTGCAGTGGGGTGACTGGGCAGGGACCCAGAGGGAGGGATGGCTGGGAGTCCTCCCTTCCCCATAAACCCCACAGAGCTGCTGGGTAGTGTGTGCCTACAGTGGCACTCAGATAGTGAAAGGTGTCCCTGCCCATGGCAGGGAGATGGAATGAGATGGTCTTTAAGGTCCCTTCCAAGCCAAACCATTCCAGGACTCTGTGATCTTCTCTGCTACTGAAGGGCAGTCATGTTTACCAACACCCAAATTCTGATCTTTCCACGTGAAATTCAAGGTGCATAGCAGCAATAAACCCTCTGAACCACCCGGTCTCAGCCCTGTCCTGCTTGGCTGATTCAGATGCCAGCCATGCACAACCAGTGTCACACCTGGTGAGAAGGTGCTGGAACAAGAGGCCTTGGTTCACAATCCAGGGCTGATGCCTCAGACCTGTCTGCCCCCCTGAGGGAGCGTCTGCTGCTACAGAGCTGCCTATAAAGGCTTGTTCTCATGCATAAGCCACAGTAAGACATGGATGTTGATGTGAAACCATCATCAAAACTTGCCCTCCTTTCCCTCCAGCCTATTTTACCCAAAATGACCAACATTCACTGAAGGAGCAAACAAGTAACTTCACCACCACAGCAGCCAGGTGGCAGAACCACAAAAAACAGCAAAGAGAAGATGCAGGTTCCTGCATCTTCAGGGAAAGTCTGACTCAATAGCAGCCACTCCACATTCGGAAGAAAGCCAGCAGGATCTTTGTAAATTCCATTCTTCACTGCCACAAAGTCAGTTCCTTTTTGGACCATGAGAATGATTTCACTGATCCCAGTCTCCCACTACTGGACACGCCAATCAGGGCAGGACAGTCTGCTGGGGTGTCCAGGATCTACAGAGATTTTTTTTGTCAAACTCAGGTGAAATTCAGACTTTCCTAAGCAGAGGCAGCAACTTCTGGAAGCTCAAAGGAGCTTCTGGGGAGTGCTGAGTGACACAGTCCCCACCACATGCTCCATGGATTTGTGGGTTGGGATGAGGCCTCTGCCTTACTCTGTACCACCTCATATCATGTGATGGGGGGGTGGCAGGGGGAGAGGAAAGAGCAGGGGGGTGGGTGTCCCTTCTGGTCAGGCAGTAACGAAGGTTAAGGTAATGTCGGGTTCTGCATGTTGAGCATGCATGTCGAGGATCAGCCTGGGCTTTGCCACTGCTGAATGTGTGAACTGGGGGGACCCCAAACACAGGGAGGGGTGGGGGAATGGACCCACAGGGATGAGAAGGGGAATGAGGAGGAATAAAACAGGGGGCATAAACCGGGGCCAGTTTGGCTAAGCCCTGTCTGTGGTCACCACGGAACTTTAATATTTCTTATTAAATGTTTATTGACTATTTCTTTGTGTCATGTCACTCTGACATGGACGAGTGTGTGCTTCAAGGAGGGTTAGTGCCAGCTACTGATGGGGCCTGTGTGTGCACCAGGGGATTTGGGGTCACCTGCTGGATGGAGTGGGATCTCAGTGCAGCCACTGGCGTGACTGAAGGGTCTTTAACTTTCAGCCACGGTGTGTAAGTGGTGCCCCCAAAACTAGCTACTGGGGGCAGAAGAGCGGTGTGAGGCAAATGAGGGGCTCCGTGCAGCTGGAGCTGGACTCTGTCACTGTGTCACTGCCTGTGCGTCTGTTGGGTTGAAGAGTATCCCCACACACACACCATGGTGGGGGAGGGGGGTGGTGTCTGTGCACTCATCAGCAAAATTCCAGCTGGGCTAGCTGGTGAGGCAAGGCCTGTGGGCTGGGGCTGAGGGCCGGGGTCCAGGCAGGGCTGCCGGGGGGACACTGGGCCCATGTGGGTGCTTGGGGGGCCCAAGAGTGTGTGTGCTTGTGAACCTCGGGGATGTATGTGACCAGTGGAGCCCCTGGTGCTCTAGTGGTAAAGGCGCGGCGCTATCACCGCCAAGACCCGGGTTCGATTCCCGGTCAGGGCCACTCCCGGGCAGGTGGAGCTCGTTAGCCCTTAAAGGCAACCCACCTACGTCCTGAGGACCTCGCTGCCACCGTCCAAGCTCGCTTGGCCCCGGCAGATGAACCTTAGGATTAAAGGGTGGGCTCAGTTCCGCGCACACTGTGTCTCTTCGCTCGCGAAGACTGGCCATTATTATGTGACCAGTGGCTTCCATTCTATGCCAGCCCAGAGGAGGAGAGGAGGGGGCTGGAGTGTGGTGAGGCTCCTGTGCAGGATGCTGAGGACAGCAGCGTCTTGCAGGAGGCCGTCTGTGTGTCCTGTGCCTGTGAGTCCTGTATCTGTGAGTCCTGTGCCTCTGAGTCCTGTGTCTGTGTCCGTGCCCATGCGTGTCTCTGGGACCTGTGCTCACCGTCGCTGCTGTCTGAGTACCCAGCGGGGAAAGCAGCAGCCATGTCCTGGGCCCAGGCAGGACCCGGCTCTGCCGGCCGGGCAGGGGTTGCCGCTGGGTGCGCCCGAGCGCTCTGCCATTCCCGCTCTCCGGAAGCGGCCGCGGCCACAGCTCCCCCCACCGGAGCCGTGCCGGGGGCGGGGCGGGGGCAGGAGCCCTCGCTATTGGTGGGATTTTTCCGCGTGGAGGCGGGGCCTCGTTCTGATTGGTGCTCAGGCGGGGGGCGGGGCCCTCTCTCTGGCGGGATCGCGGCGCGGGAATCGCTCCGGGCGCTGATGGGGCTGCGCGGGGAGCGCCGGGCGGGCGGGCCCCGGGAGGCGGTGGATGGCGCGGGGTCCGGCCGGGACGATGCCCCAGCGCTGTCCGCGATCAAACGCCTGGAGCGGGCGCAGCGCACGGACCGGCTGGACGCGCTGTTCGGCTTCGAACGGCCTGCGGAGCCCGGCGAGCGGACGGGCTGGCTCATCAACATGCACCCGGTACGGGCCGACAGGGCCGGAGGCGAGCAGGCAGCAGATGGGGGACCTGTGGGAAGACCCCCGATAGGGCCTAGGGAGGGGGTTCCCACAGAAAGACCCCAGGCGTACCAGGAATACCCCGCATAGGGCTTGGGGTAGACAGTCCCCCGGGGAGACCGCCGGTCGGACCAGGAGAGCAGGTTCCCAGAGGAGACCCCAGCCCTACTCGGCGGGAGGGGTTCCCATAGCTGTAGTGGTCCTCCCATTGTTCCCGGGCCCTAATAGGAGGGAGGTCCCACGGGGAGACCTCCGGCAGGCTCCAGGGTGGGAGGGTCCCACAGTGGGGTCCCGGGCGAGTTTCATGAAGGGACTCCTTGAGTCTTGGTTCCTGTGGGCAGACGGAGGTGCTGGATGAGGACCGGCGGTCCATGAGCGCGGTGGACTACTACTTCATCCAGGAGGATGGGAGCCGCTTCAAGGTGGGTCGGCGGGTGGGGAGGGTTGGAGTGTGGGGTCTCAGGAGGGAACCTGCTACCATCAGCCATCTACTCTCTCCTAGGTGGCCCTGCCCTACAAGCCCTATTTCTACATTGCCACCCAGAAGGTGAGGAGGGGACCCTGGCAGAGCTGAGGTCCTCAGGGGAGGAGATGGTGTCCTGGGGAGCTCGAGACCTCCTGGGCAGCCTGCTTTGGGATGGTCTCCTCCCAAGAGACAGAGGCACACTGCTCAGCCCCAGGGTCTCTCAACAGGGCTGCGAGCGGGAAGTGTCCTCCTTCCTCTCCAAGAAGTTCCAAGGGAAGATTGCAAAGCTGGAGACTGTCCCCAAAGAGGACTTGGACCTGGTCTGTATCCCTCTGTGCTCTTAATTAGTGTGTTATTTTGGACCTTGCACAGCTCTAGTGATGTAGGAAGGGATGAGTGGAGAAGGAAAGCTGCACACTTGACTTCAGTCTGCTGGTGCTGCTGTGGCACCAGAAATGTGTTTGTTATGGCTAATTGCTTATCAGTGATTACATTTCTGTAGCATATCAGCTCTTTCACAGTGCGTTCAGCACATTAGTTGTAGAAATTCAAGTGGTTGGAGGAAGAAGGATAGTATGGAAGAGGGATGCGTGCTTGATCCACTCTTCCTCTTCTTCCCTGGGTGAATCCCGCTCTCAGATGCCTGCACGAGCAGTGGGACTGGCTGGGCCTTTGCTCTGCTGCTCTTGACATGCCCAGCAGAATATCTTCTTGGTGCTTTACGCTCCCACCCATCAGCACCTCTTTTTTGGCCAGGTTTTCCACCTGCATGAGTCTCGTTGACCTTCCCCCATTTCTCATGGTGCACCAACTGCTGTTCTTTTGCTGCTTTGCAGCCAAACCACTTGGTGGGCCTGAAGAGGAACTACATCAAGCTGTCCTTCAACACGGTGGAGGACCTGGTGAAGGTGCGGAAGGAGATCTCTCCTGCAGTGAGGAAAAACAGGGAGCGGGACCAGGCGAGCGATGATTACACAGCCATGCTGTCGAGGTGGGAGCTCCCTCTTAGGGGAGTCAGTCAGTCCCTCATGTTAAGAGTTCATAGAATCATGGAATGGGTTGGGTTGGAAGGGACCTTTAAAGACCATCTAGTCCAATCCACTTGCAATAAGCAGGGACACCTTCCACTATCCCAGGTTGCTCCAAGCCCCATCCAGCCTGGTCTTAAATACTTCCAGGGATGGGGCAGCCAACAGCTTCTCTGGGCAACCTGTGCCAGGGCCTCACAACCCACTTAATAATTAGATTATTTCCCAGCTTTCCTCAGAGGTGTTCTCCTGCCTGGGTCTATGGCTGTACATCGAATAGTTTGCATGTTCCCTGTGAAAGGATCCTGAGAGGCACTGGGCAACCTTATTTCACGTTGTAACTGTTTCTCTCCTATCCCCGACTCCTGCTGCTGGTGTCACCATGCCAGTGACTGTCCCTGGGAGACAGGCCCTCAAGTAAGGCTGCTGCTTCCCTCTACTCTTGCAGTGCTCTGAGTGGAGGCAGTCTAAGCATGGATGAGGAAGAAGCCTCCAGAAAAACTGCCAACCAAATGGACAACATTGTGGATATGCGAGAGTACGACGTGCCCTACCACATTCGCCTCTCCATTGACCTGAAGATCCATGTGGTGAGTAGGGAAGAGCTTTGCTTCTGAAGCAGAGAAAGGTTTTTTCTCTCCAAAACCTTCACAAAGGTATTGGTGACGATTATTCCATGTATAGAGCCTAGTCCTGTGCTGCTGGGTTTCATCTTAGTTAATGACACACAGAAAAGATAATTGATTTATGCATGGCCACAGTTTGAGCCTTTCTTCTGGGCTGCATGTGATTCCTGCAGTTCTGTCCCCAGCAGTGCCACAGGTATCTGGCCCTCTAGTGAGGCACTGCCTACCCTCCTTGTCTCCACAGGCTCACTGGTACAACGTGCGATACCGGGGCAACACCTACCCCCCCGAAATCACCCGCCGAGACGACCTTGTGGAGCGGCCGGTGAGCACTGGGTGGGCAGGTGTCTTTTTGCAGGTGTATCCACCCAAGGTACTGGTTTCTGACATGCTGCTGGTGTCACACCATGGTGGCAGGGGGGAAAGCTCTGTTTCTGGGCTTGGGTTGATAAAGCACTAAAACGATTAGAGGGGAGGTTCTGATTCTCTAGCACTGGGCTTTAACTTCAGGTCAGCTCTGGAATATTTTCTAATGGATTTGATTCTGCCCAGGATCCTGTTGTTCTTGCCTTTGACATTGAAACAACCAAACTCCCTTTGAAGTTTCCTGACGCAGAGACAGACCAGATCATGATGGTCTCCTATATGATTGATGGGCAGGTAAGGTTAGCAGGGTGGTTTCCTGAGGTGGTTTCAGGCTCCAGTAGCGAAACCAGGCAACAGCCCAGCATTCCTGTTCAGCCCCATTGGCTCTAGGCTTGCCATGTTGCCAACTGCATGGTGAGGCTCTGGAAATGGAATTAAAGTCTGGGTGACGCACATGATCCTGAGTTTTGTGATACCCAGCTGAGGTTACTCGTGCTTCTCTGAGGGTTAGAAACAAAGCTGGTGTCCCATGTTGTCTCTCTGTGCCCTCCCTTTCTGGTGGCCAGCGGATGACTGCTAAATGATTGTTCCCCCTTGACAGAAGCTCTGGCTTTCGAGAGGAAAACGTCCATTGTTTGGACAGCATTTTTGGGTTGCCTGTGAGTCCAGTCCTCCTCACTGCTTCCTTGTCACCTCCTCAGGGCTACCTGATCACAAACAGGGAGATTGTCTCAGAGGACATTGAAGACTTTGAGTTTACTCCCAAGCCAGAGTATGAGGGTCCATTTTGTGTCTTTAATGAACCAGATGAGGTAAGTCAGTTCTGCTCAGTAGAGTTTTATCTGCCTGGGGTTCTTGCTGGCCAAAGAGAGCTCATTCCCTGGCAGACTACCTCACTGTGAGTGGGTCTGGCAGGGCTGGCTGTGCTTTCAAGTCTTGGGAAATAAGAGTAAGAATGGTCAGGTTTGGGCTAGGTGCAGAGGAGAGGGGAAGGGTGTAGTAAACTGTATGGTATCTGCCACCTCTCCATGGAGGAGATGAAGTTCCTTAAAACACATATCTTTTCTGTTTCGTCCCAGGCTCATTTAATCCAGAGGTGGTTTGAGCATGTCCAGGAGACCAAACCCACCATCATCGTCACATACAATGGAGACTTCTTTGACTGGTAAGAGCAGGAATGACAACTAAGCTGGCAAGGTGTCACCTGAGCTGGATGGCAGGGTCTGGTTCCATCCTCAACATCCTTCCATGGCTGACAGTGGGGAGTCCATGTTAAATGACCACTTTGTGCACCTCACCAAATCCTGTGGTCACTGGCTTGGCAGTAGGACTTTCTGAAGAGTTCCATCTGTTTACCTGAGCTACTTTAAACCCTTGGCAATGTGGGATTGTCGGTGTATGGATGAGCCCAATCATGGGAGAACAGGAAGAGGGTCTAAAGAGACCTGAAGGATACTGGGAGAGGGGCGCAGGCAAGCCTTGGAAAGCGGGGCAGAGGGACCACATACTTCCACCTCTAGAAGCAAGTGTGCTTCCTCCTGGGTCACACTGCAATTCTGTTATAGAGCCACAGACTGGTTTGGGTCTTCTTGGAAGGGACCTTAAACACCATCCACTAGACCAGGTTGCTCTAAGCCCTGTCCAATCTGACCTTGGACACTTCCAGGGATGATGTTTCTCCATGTCCTGTAAGAAGTTTTCTCTGTGGCAAGATACACAGATATATCACCAGAAAAATTCTTTAGGCAGTTTGTAATAAAGCGGTTGTGGAACTGTTGTTGGAGATGCAGGAAAATGGCAGTTCTTCTCTTCACTCTACCTCTTTCCCCAGGCCCTTTGTGGAAGCAAGAGCAGCAGCTCATGGAATGAATATGTATCAGGAAATTGGGTTTCAGAAGGACAGCCAGGGAGAGTACAAGGCATCCCAGTGCATCCACATGGACTGTCTGAGGTACTGAATGCTGCCACGGTACAATATAGCTGTGTCTGTATCTCTTGGGTTTATATGAAATACTTATGGTTGTATTTGAATACTGTTCTCATTCTGTCTGTTGGAAGTTTTTGTGAACCTTCTTCGGCTGTGAGATAATCTGTTTCTATGATGTCTTCTTCCCTTGGCATGCTGCGTGGCACAGGAGCTGCTGAGTCTTGCCCTGAAGGCTCCCAGGGCTGGCTCTTGCTCTGCAGCCTCGAGTGTTTGATGGCTGATTTATGGGGGACAGAGAAAGAGTGGGTTAAGATCAGGCCATTGGAGCAGGGAAGGGACTGCAGCCTTGGCCACCAGCCTCCTGGCACAGCCAGAAGAGGAAATGATGCATGAGAAAGAGAAAGTCGTTTCTTCCCTTGGAGCAGTCTGGGCTCTGGAGCACATCTGGATGTCCTTGCAGTCCTGCTGGGTCTGGTCATCCTCCAGTGGAGAAATGTTTATCTTAAAGCCACAGAGTGAGCTGGAAGTTGGAAATTCTGAGCATTGGGGATGGGATGGACAGTGGGGTTTGTCCTGGTTGGGATAGCTAAAGTTGGACAATCTTGTACCCCACTGTGCATGGGGACTAGGTTGTCCTTGGTGAGAGGTCCCCATGGCAATCCACATCCTCTTCGCAATCCTGAGCCTATTTTTAAGGTCGTGGCTGGTTTCTCTGCACAAACTGATACTTTTGTGATTCTGTTCAGGTGGGTGAAGAGAGACAGTTACCTCCCAGTAGGAAGTCACAACCTGAAAGCAGCAGCTAAAGCAAAACTGGGTTACGATCCAGTAGAGCTGGACCCTGAGGAGATGTGCCGGATGGCTACAGAAGAGCCTCAGGTACTCCTTCCTTGTGCTCTATGGGAAAGCAGCCTAGAGGAGCTGCAGTATGACTGAATCTGTAAGTTAAAAGTGGATTTTGAGACTCAGTCTTTCTCCCCAAACTGCCGATACCTTAAAGGTCACGGGGAGAAGGAACAGGATTCTGCTGAAGTTGTTCTGGCCCTGACATTGCACTGTGTGTTCTCTGTGTTTATTTATATCTGTGTGAGGTGACAGGCACCACCGAAATCAGAAGCACCATTAAGAGTTGAGACCTGATGAAGGGGCAGGAGAGGGTTAGTGCTCCAACTGTCATGGGCAGGGGGTTCTGTTGAACCCTGAAGCAGCTTCCTGAATCCCAAGTAGGGTGGGTTCTGTGTCTTCAGTTCATCCTTCCTGTTCCTTCCCAGTCAAAGCTGACATGTCGCTGAGTGATTAGAGCTAGAGCAGGATGGCTTTGAAAGTAACATTCTTTACAACCTAGGTTATGGAGAAAAACACCTTTCCCTTCTTCCTGCTAATACAACCACGTCCAGCAGGAAGCAGTGAAAGGTCATTGTCACTGAGCTGCTCTGTCATAGGATTGGGATTAATTTGCCTCTCTCCTTCCCTGACAGACCCTGGCCACCTACTCAGTGTCTGATGCCGTTGCTACCTACTACATGTATATGAAGTATGTGCATCCCTTCATCTTTGCCTTATGCACCATCATTCCCATGGAGCCTGATGAGGTGAGTGCTTTCCCGAAATGATGATTTCTTTTCCAGCTATGTCTCCCATGCTACAGGGGTGCTCTGGCCGCAGATCTGTTTCCCACTGGACCCTCTGCCCGTGTGGCAGGGAGGAAGGGAGGGTGGATTTTAGAGGCTACTTCTTTCTCCCACATCTCCTGGGATGTTTGAAGAGAAGTGTCTATAAGAAGATGACACCCAAGGTTGGTAGTGCAGGGCTGGAGCTTGAAGGAAGTATGTCTAATGATGCCAAGTTCACTTGCAGTCATGGCCATGCAAAGCTAGGTCTCCTGATGGCTGTTATCAAATGTAGGGAGGATGACTGGGAAGCTGTCAGTGCTGAGCATGTAGAAAATACCCATCCGTTCCCACCTGGTTGAGCTGACAAAGCCTCTTGCCGGTGGAGAGGCGTTGCATGTGTATCACCAGCTGAAGCTGTCTGGCTCACTCTGTGGCTGTAAGGCTAATCTGGTCCCACCAGCACTGGGACAGCACTTCTACTCAATCACAGACTAGTTTCATTTGAAAGAGACCTTAAAGCTCATCTCATCTACCCCCTGTCATGGGCAGGGACACCTTGCACTAGACCAGGTTGTTCCAAGCCCCATCCAACCTGGCCTTGAACACTTCCAGGGATGAGGCAGCCACAGCTTCTCTGGGCAACCTGTGCCAGGGCCTCACCACCCTCAGACAAGAATTTCTTCCTAATATCTAAATCTACTTTTTCTGAGTTTAAAACTTGCTTGGGTTTTCCTTCTGCAGGTGTTAAGAAAAGGATCGGGGACACTGTGCGAGGCGCTATTGATGGTTCAGGCCTATCATGCCAATATCATCTTCCCTAATAAGCAGGAGCAGGAATTCAACAAACTTACAGAAGATGGGCATGTGCTGGACTCTGAGACATATGTTGGAGGCCATGTGGAAGCACTGGAATCTGGGGTCTTCCGCAGTGACATTCCCTGCCGCTTCAAAATGGTAAGGGGCCATCAACTGGCCCTTGTCCTTGTGGAGCAGCATGGTTGGGAGCGATAACCGGTCCACTAGTGTTGGCATCTCCAGTGTGTCCCTGCTGGGCTTGGGCAGCACCTAGAATCACAGAATCAGTAAGGTTGGAAAAGCCCTCTAACGTCATCAAGTCCAACTGTTAACCCAGCACAGCCAAGGCCACCACTGAATCATGTCTCCAAGTGCCACATCTACATGTCTTGAACACTGCCAGGGATGGTGATTTCACCAGGGGCCTGGACAGCCTATTGCAATGGTTGACAACTTCCAGGAGACCCTGGGCACATGAAACTGGGCTGGGAATGGATGGGAGGAGGTCTTCAAGTGGCCATCTGTGCTTCGCTGGGAAAGCAGGTGTCACACATGTCACATACTGGAAGCAAGCCAGAGCTTGTTGACAGCAAGGGAGGGTGGTGAAGTGGTGTTTTAGGTTTGTTTTTGAGCCAGTGGTTCTTGGAAGTTATGCCTCTGTCCCTTGGGGTCCTGTGCTCCCTCTGTCCTTCTCCCTCCAAAACTAAGCTTCTTCTGAACTCTTCTTGAGGATCTTTTCCCCATTTCTGGATTAGGCTGCTACCTTCATTACCTCCTGCCATGCCTTAGTATATCCCTTATAGCTCCCCAAGCCAGGCAGGGACAGGGGTGCAGGGCAGGAGCTGCCAGCCTGCAGCCAGGGACAGCTGGCCACAGCCTCACTGCCATCCCCACATCCCTGCAGAATCCTGCTGCCTTTGACTTCCTGGTGCAGCATGTGGAGAAGACGCTGCGGCACGCCATTGAGGAGGAGGAGGGTCTGCCCTTGGATCAGGTCACCAACTTCCAGGAGGTATAGCACCCACAGCACAGCTGAGCTGGGTGGGAAGGCTGGGGCTGCAGCTGTAATATGCTTGTTTTGGTTCCACTTGTGTTCTACATAGACCCAGAAGCCCATCTATAGACTGAATCCATGAGGATCCCCTTGCCTGGACACTGGAGTCCAGCCTGGGGATCAGGGCCTCTGTGCCATCTGAGGGATGCAGTTCCTGCATTCCCGTTTGCAGGTTCAACCAGGACCAAAGCTCTAAGAAAGATGGAAAGGGATTTAGAGAGAAGGCAGAGCCCTCAGATTCAAATACTCATGTGCCTCTTGTTACCCACTTTTTATCAGCTACGAAGTGCAGGTCACCCCTCTCCAAATCCAAGTCTGAAGTTCTTGGAGGGACAGCACCAGACTGGGGACTTCTGATCTTTGCTGTTGTCTCCATTAACCCATTTGCACTGAAAAGGTCCTCGATCGAGTAACATTAGGAAGCAGCTTGCTCTCTGCCTTATACCCCTACAGAAAAGATCACCTTGGAGGTCCAACCCAAAACCTAAAGCACTTATGGCAAGGATTCCCTGATCCTTTAGATCCATTCCCAGAACCTGTGGCAGGTGTCCCTGTGAAGAAATAAAGGATCAAATTCAACAAGTATTTGACTCAGGAACTCCTTACTGCCTGAGTTTCACTTGCCTTTCTCTTGCCACAGGTTTGTGATGAAATCAAGGTCAAACTAAATTCCCTGAAGGATGTCCCCAACAGAATTGAGTGTCCCCTTATTTACCATCTGGATGTGGGGGCCATGTACCCCAACATCATTCTGACCAACAGATTACAGGTGGGTATCATCAGCCTTCTGTTTCCTAATTTGACTCCCAGATGATTTTGGCCATCCCTCTTGATCCCCTTAATAGCAAGGCCTGAACTTTCTGCTCAGGGCAGGGGAAGCAGATAAGGTTGAGTGTGAAATTCACTCAAGCTGCCATTGAATTAGAGAATCACAGAATCATTTTGGTTGGAAAAGCCCTCTAACACCATTGAGTCCAACCATTCCCTCATCACTCCAAAACTATCACTAATCCGTGTCTCCCAGTGGCACATCCACATGGCTTATAAATCTCTTCAGAGATGATGTCTCCACTACCACACTGATCTCAGCCTGTGCCAGTGTCTGACCACCCTTTCAGGGAAGAAATTTTCCCTAATATCCAACCTAAACCTCCCCTGGCACAACTTGAGGCCTTTTCACCCCTTGTCTGGGAGAAGAGGCCAACTCCCACCTGGCTGCACCCTCCTGTCAGGAAGTTGTAGAGAGCAAGGTGCCCCCTGAGCCTCCTTTTCTCCAGACTGAGCTCCCCCAACTCCCTCAGTCGCTCCTCATCAGACTTGTGCTCCGGACCCTTCCCCAACTCTGTTGCCCTTCCCTGGATACCAGGTCTGCAGAGACTGAGCTACAGCTTTAGGTAGGACTCTTCCCCGAAAAAACAGTTGTTGTTTTGAGAGTTTTATGCTCTGGAAAGGCTCCAGGAAAGGGAGCTCACTGAGTACCATCTCTGATGTTCACACCTGCCCTCTCTTTCCACCTAGCACCTGTTCTGGCATGAGTTGTTGTTTGGGGACCTGTCCTCTCTAACACCTGTGTGTCTGTTACTGTGTCCAGCCCTCAGCTATGGTGGATGAGGCCACATGTGCTGCCTGTGACTTCAACAAGCCAGGTACCAACTGCCAGCGCCGGATGACATGGCAGTGGAGAGGAGAGTTCAGTAAGTACAGGAAGGACCATACAGTCCAGCCCACAGAGCCCACAGCCAAATTCCTGCTTCTCCCATGATCAGTGGGGACTGATCACTGCCCTCCTCCGCAGTGCCTGCCAGCCGCAGCGAGTACCACCGCATCCAGCAGCAGCTGGAGTCAGAGAAGTTCCCTCCTCTATCCCCCGATGGACCACCCCGTGCCTTTCACGAACTCTCCCAGGAAGAACAGGCCAAGTATGAGAAAAAGCGCCTGGCAGGTAAAAAAAAACAACAATCAAGATCATGGTCTGGGCAGTGTTTTGCAACCTGGACTGTGGTATTCAGCATTAGTGACCCCTCTTAGGGCTGTAGGGTGAGATCAGACTGAGTGTGGCCTCAAAATTTCTCAAGGATATAAGCAGACTCCTGTGTGCTTACAAAGAGGAGCCAGACACTGGTACCTCTGTCAGTGTTTGTTTCTGGAGAGCTCTGGATTTGAGCTGAAACATGAAGGGCTCCATTTTTCGTAAGGCTCCTAATTAAAGCCAGTTAATGAAAAGGAAACGTCAACGTTATCCCATCACCTGGAGCGATACTGTCCAGCAGAACCATCCAGCTGGCTGGGGGCAGAGCCTGAGTTTGCTAATGGGCCATACAATTAGTTTGTTTCCGCCTTTGTCCTTGCATCTCTGCAATGAGGTGCTGCTTCTCTCCGTGCTGGGATCTTCCTCCCGCTTTGCAGTAGGACTGTCCCCTGCTTACCAATGCCTGATGCTTAGCTCTCTCCCTGTCCCTACTGTGCTTATCCCTCTGTACCAGGGCAGCCAGCCCTGAGAACCTCCCTCTGCCTCCTCCCTTGACCAGATTACTGCCGCAAGGCGTACAAGAAGATCCACGTCACCAAGGTGGAGGAGCGAGTCACCACCATCTGCCAGCGAGAGAACTCTTTCTATGTGGACACGGTGAGAGCGTTCCGGGACCGCCGCTATGAGTTCAAGGGGCTGCACAAGGTACCAAGCTTGTGCTCGGCTGCTGGTCAAACTTGTCTTGGCATGGCCAGGGACATCTCATGTCTTGCTGAAAACCTCAAAGGATTACTCCATTGGCTTCCCACTGGCAGAGGGCAGGGTTAGATTAGTTATTGGGAAGAAATTCTTCCCTGTGAGGTTGGTGAGGCCCTGGCACAGATTGCCCAGAGAAGCTGTGTCTGCCCCATCCCTGGGAGTGTTCAAAGCCAGGTTGGACGGGGCTTGAAGCAACCTGGTCTAGTGGAAGGTGTGCCTGCCCATGGCAGGGGGTTGGAACGAGATGATCTTTAAGGTCCCTTCCAACCCAAATCACTGTAGGAGACCCTCGGACTCTACCTCTGGCAGAGTTAATTGACGAACCAGTTGCTTTGCAGTTCCTCCCAGATTCTCTTCTGCCACGAATCACAAGGCTGTCAAAGAGGCTTATTCTTCACTGATGGTTCTGCTGTTAGCCAGATGTCATGGATTGCTGCAGGCAGTGTATTGGGTTCTTCACATGTGGTGCAGCACAGCTGATGCTGGTTGCATTCTGGTGGATGGTGGGAGCTACAGGTTCCTCCCACTGAGTGACAAAGTGCCTCTGGACAACCTCTCCTGTGCTGCAAAAGAAAATGGGATGTTTAACTCATGCTACTGATCTTTGGCAGAGATACTGCTCTACAGTTGCAATACTATGCTGGGACTGAGTGGGAACCAGTTGAGTGTCACTGGTGGTGATGCGTGAGATCGTCCTGACTCTGCTTGTTACCGTGCAGGTGTGGAAGAAGAAGCTGGCAGCAGCAGTGGAGATGGGAGATGCCTCCGAAGTGAAACGCTGCAAGAACATGGAGATCCTCTATGAGTCCCTGCAGCTGGCCCACAAGTGCATCCTCAACTCCTTCTATGGATATGTTATGCGGAAAGGGTGAGTCTCCCCTAGGAGAGGACCCTTGGAAACCAGGATTGTCTTGATGAGGTATTCACTTACTTCACCTGCTCCTGAAGCAACAAGATGAGGGTGGGTGCTACCTGTACCTCTTGCTTCTACCCATGACTCCTCATCCTGAAGTGTCTTACCAGACATTAAATTGTGGGAATCTTGTCTGTTAGTGGGTTTCCAGCTTTTCTAGAGCATCATAAGTGGAGAACTTCATAGGAGAACAATGTTCCAGGGCCAGTGTTTCTTGCCCTCCTTTCCTTGGAGGTCCTCCTGCCCTTCCATAGCTGGGTTTGGGAGGAAGCGTATCATACTCTTCACTGTGACTCCTCTGCTCACAGAGCTCGCTGGTACTCCATGGAAATGGCTGGCATCGTCTGCTTCACAGGGGCAAATATCATCACACAGGCCAGAGAGCTGATCGAGCAGATCGGGTGAGTGTGTGCTGAGCTGAGGAAGGTCCATCTGCATCTAGGACAGATGTAGGAGCACCCAAGCTTTTGCGGGGATGGAACACCTTTCCTATGAGGAAAGGCTGAGAAAGATGGGGGTGTTCAGCCTGGAGAAGAGAGCCTGTAGCCTTAGAGCTCCCTCCTGTGCCTAAAGGGGCTCCAGGAGAGCTGAAGAGGGACTTTGGACAAGGGCCTGGAGTGACAGGACAAGGGGGAATGGCTTTACAGAGAAAGAGGAAAGGGTTAGGTGGAATATTGGGAAGAAATTCTTCCCTCTGAGGGGGATGAGGCCCTGGCACAGGTTGCCCAGAGAAGCTGTGACTGCCCCATCCCTGGAAGTGTCCAAGGCCAGGCTGGACAGGGCTTGGAGCAACCTGGTCTAGTGGAAGGTGTCCCTGCTTATGGCAAGGAGTGGAACGAGATGAGCTTTGAGGTCCCTTCCAACCCAGACTAGTCTGGAATTCTGTGATTCTTTGAACGTTCAGATTCCTGACACTGCTGTAGTTATTTGAGGATTTTCTTTGCAGAAAGGAACAGAGAGTGAATGCAACAGGCTGCCGCTGCTTTTGTGGGGGACACAAAGCTGATCTTCACCTCTCATCCACTTTGCTCCTGACACTAGCCTTTATTCCTTCTTTAGGAGACCTCTGGAACTGGATACTGATGGGATTTGGTGTGTCCTCCCCAACAGCTTCCCAGAGAACTTTGTCATCAAGTCAACCAATGCCAAGAAGCCGAAGGTAACCATCTCTTACCCGGGAGCCATGCTGAACATCCTGGTGAAGGTGAGTTTGGCATCTGTCCAGGCCAACTCTGCAGCTTGGGAAAAGAGTTGGAGAGCTGATGAGTGGGGAGAGCTCCTCTTCCATCCCCACTCCTCATGTAGCAAGAGGTGTCAGGGCTGATGGCCCTGGAGAGCATCTGAACGGAGGGTGAGGCTTGACATCCCCCAGCAGAGAGGGGAGTCTGTAAGAGCGCAGGTTTGGTGCGTGTTCACCTGTGCAGATAGGGAGTCCAGAGCAAGGTCTAAACAAATCCTCTGCTCACTCCAGCCTCTGTAAGACAAAAGAATATCATTTCAGGCTCCAAAGCATTTTTCTTCTTGGCAGGCAGGACAGATGTTTTGATTTTTTGAGTCCTAAGTTGTGCTGTTGTTCCCGGAGGGATCCCTTTGGGCAGGATGTGTCCTAGGGGCATCCCCTGGTGTGACCAGCCAGCTGTGGAGTGAAGCTGTTCTCCCGGGACTGTGCCCACAGGAAGGCTTCACCAATGACCAGTACCAGGAACTGCAGGACCCAGCCTCGCTCACCTATGTCACACGCTCGGAGAACAGCATCTTTTTTGAAGTGGATGGCCCATACTTGGCCATGATCCTGCCAGCTTCCAAAGAGGAGGGCAAGAAGCTGAAGAAAAGGTGAGATTTCAAAGCTTCAGATATTATCCCTTTCCCTGAGTAACAGCGTGAGGATCTTGCTCCCTTTGTGCACATGGGCACATTGTTCTTTGCCCCCGGAGCCTGCAGCACGCTTGACTCACTGGCTTTAAATGGTAGGTTCCTTACATTGGATCATCTTTGAATACAGCTGTGCACTTGCCTCCAGTGCCATACTATGGCAGTAAATTTTAGCAGATAACAGCAAAATGACATTTCTTCTGCCTGGTGACCAGACATCTCCCTCTTTGGCTCTGAGGTGTGCAGGAGAACTTTGACATTCCTTCTGAGGATTTCTAATACTGCTTGCATTCAACCTAATCTGATTAAACTCAGGAGTTCCTGCCTTCCTATCTCTCAGGAGTTCACAGACCTCCAGTAACACTTTCCCTAGGTGTTCCCCCTTCCTTCTCCATCTGTAAGAGGGACCGGATCCTGCCACTGCTTGTCGCATTATAGGATAGTTGTATCCAAACTTCACTGCTTTCTCTGCCACCTCCTAACCAGGAACTTGAGCTAGAGCAGTAGCATTCCAGTGTTTCAGGGGGCAGCCCACAGACCTGGGTCTGGCTCCAAAAAATGCTGTCACTGCCCCCAGCACTCTCTGTCCTCACAGTTATGTACTTCTTTGTGCTTAATCCCCCCACAGGACGAGCACCAGCACACACCATCCTCTCTCAGCTCCCCTTCCCAAACAGTCAGTCCCCACTGCAGGAGTCGAGGTAATGCCCAGCTCTGAGCAGGCTGTGCTTGTAGGACTCCTTTCAGGGCCTCTGGTTTCCGGTAGTTTGGGGATGTTAAAAATAGCATGTATTTCCTGGTCACTTTCCATGCAAAACAGCCTGGAGGTAGAGGAAGGAAAGGCTGTGCCCATGGGAATGTGAGTAGGTGGGAGAAGGGCTGGCCAAGCCATGTAGGTTTGAGTATTTCCTGTCTTCAGTGTTGGTTCCCATAAGGTGGTGTGGGGTTTTTTTGAGAGGTACAGATAATTGCCAGGGCTGTGAAAGGCAAAACAATGCAAGAGAAGAGGCAAGAGGGAGGAGTGTTCCTTAGGTGTGGCATGGCTACATCCAGTTTCCTCTGAAACCCTCTGCCACCACTGGAGTTGACACAGTTTCCTTCTTCTCTGTAAACCTCTTCCTGATATCTTTTCCACACCTGGCCTCTCACCTCCCACCCTTGTGTACAACTACTTGTGTGCAATTAAGATCATTCTCCACCAATTAAGATCACACCCACAGTGCTGCATCCAGGTCAGGGTTCCTCAGCACAAGAAATGAGCTTCTGGAGCAGGTCCAGAGGAGGCCACAGAGATCCTCCCAGGGCTGGAGCCCCTCTGCTCTGGAACCAGGCTGGGACAGCTGGAGGGGGTACAGCCTGAAGAGGAAAAGGCTCCAGGGAGACCTGAGAGCCCCTTGCAGTACCTAAAGGAGCTCCAAGAGAGCTGGAGAGGGACTTGGGACAAGAACCTGGAGTGACAGGACAAGGAGGAATGGCTTTACAGAGAAAGAGGGTGGGATAATAGGAATATATATATATATAGGATAATAGGTGGGATAATAGGAAGGTATTCTCTCTGAGGCTGATGGGGCCCTGGCGCAGGTTGCCCGGAGAAACTGTGAGTGCCCCATCCGTGCAAGTGTTCAAGGCCAGGTTGGACGGGGTTTTGAGCAACCTGGGCTAGTGGAAGATGTCCCTGCCAATGGCAGGAAGGTGGGACTTTCACTAAGGTTCTGTGAATCAGTGGGGATGAGCTGGGACAAGAACCGATGTGCTTTTCCAGACCAAGTTGAAGTGGTTGCTAGAGCAGCTGTAGATATTTGAGACTATCCAGATGCCCTCATGTCTCCTCTGAATGCACTGGGTGATGGCACAATGAGATAAGGGGAAGAGCCCTGGCAGGAGGGACACCAGTGGGATCCTGACTTGTCCCTTGGTGCAGGCCAGGTTTGCTCACGCTGTCTCTCCCAGGTACGCGGTGTTTAACGAGGATGGGTCCCTGGCTGAGCTGAAGGGGTTTGAGGTGAAGCGCCGGGGAGAGCTGCAGCTGGTGAAGATATTCCAGTCATCTGTGTTCGAAGCCTTTCTGAAAGGCAGCACGTTAGAAGAGGTCTACGCTTCAGTGGCCAAGGTGGCTGATTACTGGCTGGATGTACTATACAGCAAGGTAGGCATAGCTCAGCATATCTATGCTCCAAGGTGGAGGCTGGGAAGGCATGTCCAGGCTGGCTGGGCACTGTGGGGAGGGTGGACTTTGCACAGAGTTGGTGGTCCCTTGTGCCTCTTCACAGCTTTGCTCAGTCAGTTCACAGATGGCACTGAGCTGGACAGGAGTGTTGATCTGTTGAGGAGGGCAGGAGGCTCTGCAGAGGGATCTGGACAGGCTGGATCCATGGACCAAGGCCAGTGGTGTGAGTTTCAAAGAAGACCAAGTGCCAGGTCCTGCATTTGGGTCACAATGACCCCATGATTGGGGGCAGAGGGGCTGGAAAGGTGCCCATCAGGGAAGGCCCCGGGGGTCCTGGTCGACAGCAGCTGAACATGAGGCCAGGTGTGCTCAGGTGGGCAAGAGGCCAATGGCAACTAGACTGTACCACCCATGGTGAGCCAGCAGGACCAAGGCAGTGCCCCTCCCCTGTGCTGGGCGCTCCTAAGGCATCTCCAGTCTGGGGTCAGTTTTGGGCCCCTCACAACAAGACATTAAGGGGCTGGAGCATGTCCAGAGATGGGCAAGCAAGCTGGGGAAGGCTGGAGCACAAGTCTGATGAGGAGCAGCTAGGGAGGCTCAACCTGGAGAAAAGGAGGCTCGGAGGGACCTCCTTATTCTCTACAACTCCCTGACAGGACAGTAGAACCAGGTGGGGATTGGGCTCTGCTTTCAGGGAACAAGGGGCAGAATGAGAGGATGGCCTCAAGTTGTACCAGGGGAGTATAGTTTGAGTAATAGGGAAAATTTCACCCCCAAAAGGACTGGCACAGCTGCCATGTGCAGAAAGGGAGTCACCATCCCTAGAAGAATTTAAAAGCTGTGTGGATGTGGCACTTGGGGAATGGTTGGACTTGGAGGTCTTCTCAACCTGAATTATTCTGTGATTCTATGAAACCAGAGGGTGGGAAGGACAGAGAACCTAACTGGGTCCTTGTCACGACCCACCAGTCAGTGACATGATGCTCATTATAAATTCTCATCAGACTGAATAAGGAAACTGGACACGTGTCAGGGAACTCATGTTTTTATTGTACAATTGCCATAACTCCAGCAACCAGCACACTGCTTAAATTCAAAAGGTAGTGGCTAACAAGCCAATTCTTACCGTAGACTTCCACAAGAGTGGAGGCAAATGAGCCCTTAATTTTGCATGGAACATGTCAATAAGTTCTCAACTCCCACCACAAACTCCTGCAAAGGCATTGGCTCACAAGCCACAATACGCCAATCTTCAAGGGTGCTAACTAACAAGCCACAACACACAAGCTCCCCACTACCACAAGAGAGTTCAGTACAGAGTACACAGTAGAATATAATAGCTCTGTGCTTTGCTCAGGCAAAGCAAGGGAAGAAAAGAAAGAATATCACTAGTCCTTAGATCCTGTGTGGATGGTCCAGAGCTGGGGCAAACAATGAGATAAAGAAAGTGATAGAGAGGAGAAAGAGAAGAGAGGAGAAAGAGGAAGAGAAAAGAGAGAGGGGGGACCCAATCTGCTCCCTTCTGTAGTTAAACTGGTGCATACCTCTTATGTAAATCCGACTTTTCGTGCTATTTTGTTCATATATGCACAGCTAGCCCTTTGAGCCCTCCGCTTGGAAGTGCGTTGGATGGGGAAATTGAGCATGAGTCTCAAGGTGGAGCAGGACATTCACAGAATATTCTGAGTTGGAAGGGACCCACAGGGATCATCGAGTCCAACCCTTAAGTGAATGGCCCATACAGGGATTGAACCTGTGACCTTGGCACCATGCGCTAACCCACTGAATTTTCTAAGTATTGTATATGTTATTGCATACAATACAATGAGTTGGCTCAGAACACACCTCCATGGGACCCTCTCCTCCAAGCACACCTTTCCTGTAGCAATACTTGGAATGTTTAAGACAAAAAAGGCTTAGGTCTGGTTCTCTACAGTCCTTCATTTTGTGGTGGTGTTGTACAACAAGTTCTTGGTGAGCCCAGCTTTGTGTGCACAACACAAAGCTGTACTGTCACAACCCAGCGTGGCACAAACTGGTGCCAGCCTCAAACCCACACTACCTCTTTTCTATAGATCCTACTGGCAGCTGCTACAGGAAGGAGTTCTCAGGCTCCATATAAAGAGACACACCATCTGGGTTTAGGTGCTTCCTCCTCCTGACAGCAGCAAGATTTGCTCATTAGGTTCTTGTTGACTTTGGGTTTTTCCCTCCCTTTCAGGCTGCCAACATGCCCGATTCAGAGCTGTTTGAGCTCATCTCGGAGAACCGCTCCATGTCACGCAAGCTGGAGGACTATGGGGAGCAGAAGTCCACCTCCATCAGCACTGCCAAGCGCCTGGCAGAGTTTTTGGGGGACCAGATGGTGAAGGACGCCGGGCTGAGCTGTCGCTTCATCATTTCTAAGAAACCAGAGGGTTCTCCAGTCACCGAGAGGTAACCCCACCTGAAGAGGCACGGGCTTCTGGAAGCATGGGAGCAATCAAGAGGGGACGGGCAGGTAGCAGGAAGGGAGGAAGCTGGTATGTTGTAGCCAGGTGATCATCTGAATCTGGCACAGACCATGAGCAGGGTGACGGGTAACATACAGCCCAGTGACCTCTCAGAAATGGGAGAACAAGCCTGGAGGGTCTCCACAGGCTGGGAGAGAGGATTGTGGAGTGCTAGGACGTTGCTTCCCTGCCTTCCCCAGAGCCATCCCCCTTGCCATCTTCCAAGCTGAGCCCAGTGTGCGCAAACACTACCTCCGAAAATGGCTGAAGAGCCCCTCACTGCAGGACTTCAACATCCGTGCGGTGAGTGAGGTGTCCCTGCGGATGGCCCTGGATATGGGATATAGAATAGGGGATTGTCCCTTCAGAGGTAGCACCTGGGCTGTGGCTTCTTGCACTCACAAAGCAGGGTGCTGGGGTGGGGAGTCCTACAGGGTTGTTTGATCCTACGTCTGGTGGCACTTCTGCTTGGCTTTCTTCAGTGCCCAAGCTTTGCCTTCTTCCTAGATCCTGGACTGGGACTACTACATTGAGAGACTGGGCAGCACCATCCAGAAAATCATCACCATTCCTGCAGCCCTGCAGCAGGTATGAGGCAGTGGGGAAGTGGGCAGAAGAGAGCTTTGGGCAAGAGACTCAGTCTGATTTGGAGCCGCTCCCCAGGTAAAGAACCCAGTGCCGCGGGTCCGGCACCCGGACTGGCTCCACAAGAAACTCCTGGAGAAGAATGACGTGTACAAACAGAAAAAAATCAATGAGCTCTTCATTTTAGAAGGCAAGAGACAGGTAAAGATGGTGAGGGGAAGGTACTGATTGTGCTGCTGGGGCTCTTCTCCTGCTGCCCCCATTGTCCTGCTGTCCTTGCTCCCTCAGGTCCTCACCAACCAGCCTGTGGAGGGGATGACCAGCTCACAAGTTGGTGACATAGAGGACTTTGGGGCTGTCAAGATCCCTCAGCCACTGGTTCCTATTGCAAATAAGCGGAAGCGCATCCCTGCTGCAGAGGAAAGCAAAAAGCCGTCCCAGGACCTGGAGCTGTCCCAGTCCTGGCGGGAGATCCTGGGCCCACCTCCACCCCTGGGCACCACCAAGGTAAATTAATTAATCTACTTCACTGAAGTAGATTAATAGCAGATTGTGTAGGGGATGCCTCGCAACTGTACTTGTCCATCGAGGCAGCTTGGGTGCTGCCAGGAGCAAGCTATGGGTCTCCCTAAACCCTCTGCACGCACACGGTTCAGGGATACAAAGAGAAATATTACCAGGAGACAGAAATACAACCACTGATTGAGAAAAGGGGAGCAGTGGCTATGCAGCTGGGGCAGGAATGTAATGTGGGGTTGGGGGCGGGAGGGCTGGGCTGTATGGCACTGCAGTATGGGGCTGGGAAGCCTGTGCTGGTTTCATCCATGCTGTCAACCCACTCAGGAAGAACGGCTGGTCTGGCTGCGCTTCCAGCAGAAGAAGTGGGAGCTGCAGGCTCGGCAGCGGCGGAAGAGGCGGCGGCTGGAGGCCGGTGGAGGGGGAGCAGGTGCAGGGGTGGTCCGCGATGCCTCCTCCAAGGGTTTGAACAGCTACTTACGCCGCACAGCGCGCAGCATCCTCGACTTACCGTGGCAGATCGTGCAGGTACTGGGGAGGGAACCTGCCACAGAGCAGCCCAGGGTACAGGCCTCACATTTACACTCTGTGGTCAAATAGTGAAATTCAGGAACCCTGACCCCAATGCCATGCAGGTGTTAGCCCTGGGGAGCTCAGATGGGCTGCAGAGCCTCAGGCTCATGCACATCTGGATGGAAACAGGCACCCACAAGGTCACTCTTGGTGAATCTGGGATGTGTGTATAGATCTGCCAGTACAGCAGCTCCAGTTCTGCTCATGGACAGCACTGGGCAGTCACGGAACCACAGAAACATCTGAGGCTGGAGGCAGTTCTGGGGTCCCTCTGGTCCAATTCCCTGCTCAGGCAGGGCCACCCCAGGACCATGTCCTGGAATATCTCTAAGAATGGAGAATGCACATCTTCCCTGGGCAACCTGAACCAGGGCTTGGTCACCCTCACAGGGAAAAAGTGTTTCTGACATGTAGCAGGACCCTCCTGCATTCTGGTCTGTGCCCACAGTGTCTGGTCCTGCCATTGGGTATTATTGGGAAGAGCCAGGCTCTGCTCTAGAGAGGTTAGGTATATAAGTGGATGAGATCCCCCTGAACTTCCTCTACTCAGGGATGAACAGTCCCAGCTCTCCCAGCCTTTTCTCATGTGAAAGATGCACCAGACCCTTCTTCGTCCTTCTATCCCTTCACTGGACTCGATTTAGTATGTCCATGTCCAGTCCTGAGGACTCCAGCACTGGGCACAGGATTCCAGTGGTACCTGGAAGCAGCCAATGTACAAATGAAGAGGTGGGGTAGTGCCACCCAACTGTCTTCACAAACCTTTGTTATGCATGGCCACCTAAGCCCAGCCTCTGTCAACCACTTCATCCTCCAGAAAGGCCTCAGAGCTGCAGGTCCAGCACATCAGAGTAAACTGGGTGACATCATCCCCTGGAGTTTGTTGGCCTGCCTGAGGCAGTAGCAGGACACAGGGACTCCAGAGCTGAGAGTGATGACTCTCTAAGACCCCCACTCTCTTTTTGACCGCCAACTGACCATGTAGATCCTCGGAGTGCTCCACAGCATAGATTTAAGCACTAATGGCATGTGGGACCTCGTCTCCTGTGTCCTGCAGATTGCTGAGACCAGCCAGCCTGGGCTATTCAGGCTGTGGGCAGTGATAGGGAGCGACCTGCACTGCATCAAGCTGAGCATCCCCCGTGTCTTCTATGTCAACCAGCGCATCCCAAAGCCAGAGGAGGGGACAGCCTACAGGAAGGTGAGGACCTGCCACTTTGGGAAGGGGAAGCAGCCACTTGTGTTGAGATGAGACACTTCACCTCCCCTGCAAGGAGGTCTTACAAGCATCTACCTTGCAACACCTCACTGTCCCATTCCATGAATATCCCTCATCCAGACCCTAGTCCCTCTGCTAATGCCAACCTACCTGGAAAGCAGTTTCTGTGTTACGGGAATTTGTAATGTGCATGAGCATAATCCACCAACTTCCTTAGGAGAGAGGAGCACCAGGAGCTGAGCTCAGAGCCTAGCTCTTGGCACTGGTGCCACATGGTGGGATGTGTCCCAATAATCTTGTCCCTTTCCTTGGCAGGTGAATAGGATCCTGCCCCGCTCAAACTTGGTTTACAACCTGTACGAATACTCTGTCCCTGAAGACATGTACCAAGAGCACATCAACGAAATTAATGCAGACCTCTCTGCTCCGGACATCGAGGGAGTGTATGAGACACAGGTAACTCCTCCAGGTGCTCGTTTTTAAGGATTGCTGAGCAGTAGCTCATTAGTCAGAGTGCCAGTGGCAAGACACCAAAAATCCAAGACCCTGGACAGTAGAGAACTGGGGGACATACCGGTGCTTATATGGACAGAGTATCAGCACGTGAGTTACAGTGTGTCAAGGAAAGGTTTCAGTTTATTTAGAGTTAAGAAACTTAGAGGAAAGAAGGCATCTAATAAGCAGAAATGGCAATCTTCCTCTAAACTAATCCAGAAAACCAGCCTGCTTTGGAACCAGGAAAGAGAAGGGGTATTTGGTGTAAAGCTGGGGGAAAAGAGTAGGCCAGTGTTGTGGAGGCTACACTGAGTGAGAAAGCATAAAGGCAGGTGAATTTGATACTAAAATGTACCATAGGATTGTTATGGATCGAAAGTCTTTGCCTGAGTAAGACAAGCTTGGTGTGAGCAGAGGTGCCGCTGGCTATTAAATCCTTTCTGAGGTGCAGGAGGCTGCAAGGGCAAAAGGAACATCACAGAATTGGGAGACTTCAGCTACTGATGTGACTGGTATACCTTGTTGCAGTGGGGCATGGTGAAAGAAACCGTTTTTAGTCACCTTAAATTTCTGCTTTTGGAGAATTTGGGCAAAGGTTCCACAAGGCACAACTCTTAATGATTACATGGATCCTGTGAAATCCTGTGGTGATGAAAAAGGTTGAACTATATATGCCATCAGCAATTGAAAATGATGCCTACCAAACCTTACTGATGTTTAGTAAGCAGCACCCCAAATTTACTTCAGATTACTCTGCCAAAGTGAGTAGCATGTACCCAAATTCATCATATCTGTAGACCTTCCTCTAGCAAACCGAGTCCTCTCCGCTCCTGTGGTGTTTAATAAGTGGGAAGAGGAAAAATCAAGAAACTGAGGGGAAACTAAAATGAGAGGCTGAAGTAAAACAAGGGGCATGGAGAAGTTTTTAAGATATTAGGGAATTTAGATGATCATGGGGTAGCAGCATCTGTCCTGTGAGGGGAGGCAGAGTGAGCTGGACTGTGCAGCCAAAAGGAAGAGAGGCTCATGGGACCTGCTTGACAACAGTAGGGGAGGAGAGGAGCCAGGCTCTGCTCTGGTGCCCCGGAGAGAACAAGAGGCAATGGGCACAACCTGAAAAATGGCAAATTCTGTGTAAATATATGAAAAAACTTCTTCTGTAAGGGTGGTTGAACAGGTTGCCCAGAGGGTTGTGAACTTCCATCCTCAGAGATACACATAATCCAGCTGGACAAAGACCTGGGCAAGGAACGATCTGTCTTGATCTTTAAACAGCTACAGTGCAATTCTGAGCATGATCCCACGAAATGTAGCAGGAGTGACACAGGAAGATGCGAGGAAGGGAACAATTTCCCTGCAGGGATGGGGTTTAGATGGGAATGCTTCAGCTTGCTCAAGAGATATGAAAATAGGATGTACTAGGAATCTGTACAACTAAAACTGGCATAAGGGAAGAGTAAGGCAAGAAATGTTTATTTATTGCTTCTCACTGGTTTGGGATCAGGTCCCTCAGCAATCCATTTGGGAGTAGCCTCCTGCGGGGGTGGAGTTGACAGCTACAGGATTAATAAAACAGGGTGGATCTGTGATGGATCTCCCACCATGCCAGTTATCTGGAGCCTCTACCTCAGAAAGCCAAACCACAAGTTGCAGAGCTGCAAGATTGCCCAAATATTGCTTCAAATGTCCTCCAAAGTACCTTGATGGTGGAATATGGGGCTAGATAGGAACACGTGGATTTTGAGATACCTGTTCTGTACCTCGAAGGTGATAATACCAAATTCATGCCGAAGGCACCTCAGGTATTTCATACCTGTGGTTTTTAAACTGGGTTGTTCTAGGTTTGCAACCCCCAAGAGGAGCTTAGTAACAGAGCATTGTTTCATCACATCTCCCCTCATCATTCCAGGTGCCACTGCTCTTCCGTGCTCTGTCCCACCTGGGCTGTGTGTGCAGGGTCAACAGGCAGCTCGTCCAGTACCTGGCAGGGCGAGAGGCTGAAATCTTCGAGATCGAGCACCTGGAGATGCGCTCGCTGGCCCAGTTCACTTACCTAGAGCCAGGTAAGGCATCCTAAGAGTGGGGCTCCTGGGGCATCCAGGATCTCACACCCATGGGTACCACTAATGCTTTGTACTCTGTGTCCCCAGGAAGCATTCGCCACATCTACTTATACCACAGCTCCCAAGGCAGCAAGGCAATCCTGGGCCTCTTCATCCCCTCACAGCACAAAGCTTCCATCTTTGTGCTGGACAAGGTAAGGGGGACCATGAAGGGTGGGAGATCTGGGGTGCTGGTGGGTGAGAGGCTGGACACGCCCCAGCTGTGTGCACTGTCAGCCCAGAAAACCCCCATGCCCTGGGCTGATCCCCCAGCGTGGGCAGCAGGGCAGGGGGGATTCTGCCCCCTCAGGTGAGACCCCCCTGCAGAGCTGTTCCTGGGGAACAGCACAGGAAGGACGTGGAGCTGCTGGAGAGAGTCCAGAGGAGGCCATGGAGATGCTCCCAGGGCTGGAGCCCCTCTGCTCTGGAGCCAGGCTGGGACAGCTGGGGGGGTCACCTGGAGAAGAGAAGGCTCCAGGGAGACCTGAGAGGCCCTTGCAGGGCCTAAAGGAGCTCCAAGAGAGCTGGAGAGGGACTTGGGACAAGGGCCTGGAGTGACAGAACAAGGGGGAATGGCTTCCCACTGCCAGAGGGCAGGATTAGATGGGATATTAGGAAGAAATCCTTCCCTGTGAGGGTGGGGAGGCCCTGGCACAGGTTGCCCAGAGAAGCTGTGACTGCCTCATTCATGGAAGCGTTCAATGCTGGGTTCAGCAGTGCTTAGAGCAACCTGGTCCAATTGACCTCAGGTTGTGCCAGGGGACATTTAGGTTGCATATTAGAAAAAACTTCATGGAAAGGGTTGGCAAGCCCTGAAACAGGCTGCCCATGGCAGTGGTGGAGTCACCATCCCTGGAGGGATTTAAAAGCCATGTAGATGTGGCACCTGGGGACATGAGTTAGTGGTGACCTTGGCAGTGCTGGGTCAACAGTTGAACTTGATCTTAAAGGTCCTTTCCAACCCAAACAATTCTGTGTTTATACAGTGTCCCTGGCCATGGCAGGGAGTTGAACTAGATGACTTTTAAAGTCTCTTCCACTCCAAACCATTCCATGGTAGGGTCAGGCAGCGGGAGGTTTCTCTGTGCATCGCCCCTGGCACTGTGTATCCTGGGGTCTCTCCCCCTCTTCTGACCCAGTCACCCTTACACCCAGGTACGCAGCAACCAGATGCCTAATCTCACCACCCTGTTCTCAGCGGAGCGTGCAGCTCTGCTGGAAAAGGTGGGTGAGGAGCTGCTGCCCCCAGACAAGCACACCTTTGAGATGCGTGCTGAGACCGACCCCAAGGCCATCTACAGAGGTGTCCAGCGGCTACTTCTGGGCTACAAGGTGAGATGAAGGTGGGAGGAGGGTCTCCGTGGGACCATGGGGACTAAGGGGAGGGTGCTGTGGAAGGCACTGTTGCACGAGTTCCAACAGCACCTGCACATAACTTCTGAGCCCAAGGTCAAGGGTCAAAGTGGGTGCTGTGTTTCACCTGGGGGGCTTACCTGGGGCAGTGCCAGCAGCAAGGCCATCTCAGGGTCTCTCTCCATCTCTGTGCTCAGCTGGAGAGCTGGTGGCATGGAGGTGAGTGGGCACTTCACGAATGCTTCTCACTGTGGGGACCTGCTGTGGGGACAGGGCACTCGACACTGCCAGCTTCCTGCTGAGCAGAAGAGAGGTGCACCAGGATGTATCCCTTTCTCCTTGGTGCAGGATGAGCGCCGAGGCCCCACTCTGGTGGCTGTGCAGTCCAACTGGGACCTGAAACGACTGGCAAGTGGGATTCCCATCATCGAGGAGTTCCCCTTGGTCCCCATCCGGCTGGTGGATGATGTCAGCTACTCGGTCCTGGACTGGCAGCGCCATGCCGCCCGCCGTATGATCCGCCACTATCTCAACCTGGACACCTGCCTCTCCCAGGCTTTTGAGATGAGCAGGTGCCATTGGTGGCCATGTTCCCCTGAGGCTCCCACAGGAGCTGCTTCATCCCTTGAGGGCACAGGCATGGTCCTTGTTTTCCTTGCAGCCATGCTTACCCCAATGACCACTTACCTCTCTGTGCCCCAGGTACTACCACATCCCCATTGGGAACCTCCCTGATGACATCTCCACTTTTGGCTCTGACCTATTCTTCTCGCGCCACCTCCATCATCACAACCACCTGCTGTGGCTGTCCTCCACGTCCCGCCCTGACCTGGGGGGAAAGGAAGCTGATGACAACCGCCTGGTCATGGAGTTTGATGAGAGAGCCTCAGTGGAGATCAACAACCCTGGCTGCTACTCCACAGGTAAGGAGGGAAGAGGGTTGTAGCACTGAGTGGGGCAGAGCTGGATCCCGCTTTGTGAGTCCTGTAGAGGGGTGGATGTGGTCCCCAAAGAGTCTCTGTGGTGACAGTTGTTTCCACCAACTTTTGGGTTTCAATGTCAATCTGGGCAAGGTGGATGCTAAAGGCATGTCCTGGGGCAGGGGAGTCTCACCTTTAACGTGCAGGCATTGAAATATGGATTCTTTACCAATGAGCAATGACAACAGCACTTGGCAGACCACCTGCAACGTGTCAGCCCAAGGACAGGCTAGCTCACCTGGTCATCCCTGGTGACCTTGGGACAGATCTCAAGCAGATGCAGCTTGAGTGTATTCAGTTCTTCTGAATGCCACTTCTACAACTTCCAGGAAAAATTGGTGGTCCCCAGAGTGTCAGTAGGTCCAAGTCTTGTTGGAAGACAAGATCTGGTTGAGACAGTCATGCCTATGAAAGCATCTCCCTACTCAGTGCAGCTGCACCTATAGAACGCCTTGTACCTGGGAAAAGCACTTCTGGCAGCAGCAAGGGAGGGTGTCCCTGGTCCTTTCCCTGCCTCCCTGCTGACGGTTGGGTCTGCTCTTAGTGTGTCTGGAGCTGGATATCCAGAGCCTGGCCGTGAACACCGTGTTGCAGTCCCACCACGTGAACGACATGGAAGGAGGCTCCAGCATGAACATCAGCTTTGACATGATTCAGCAGGCATCCCTAGAGGACATGGTGACAGGGAACCAAGCTTCCAACATTCCAGCTAGCTATGATGAGACCACCCTCTGCTCCAACACTTTCAGGTACAGCTTGAGGAGCAGCAGGAAGTGGAGCACGTGGTCTCCATTCTGGCAGGTCCCCTCAGGGTCCTGCCTTATTCTGTCCTGGCTTTAGCCTTTCCCCAGCAATAAGGCTTCTGGGGTGCTCTAAATATAAATCCGAGTCTCAAGGGCAGAACAGGTGTCTTCTCCAACACATTAGAAGATCCTGAGCTCAGAGCTTGGGGCATCCACCAGCAGATATCTAGGGATGTTGGTGAAGACTTTGCCCTTCCTGTTTCTCCACCAGGTTATAGAGTCACATATTTACCCTGTGGCTCATGTGCCAGGGACTGGACAAGGGAGTTGAATCCTCCAGTGTATCTGAAAACATGTTCCTATTGGGAAGGCAGAAGGTGTTGCTGGTGGCTAGTGGGGTGATGCTGCTCTCTGCTTGTTGGCAGGATCTTGAAGAGCATGGTGGTGAGCTGGGTGAAGGAGATCACACAGTACCATAACGTCTATGCAGACAACCAGGTCATTCACTTTTACCGCTGGCTCCGCTCTCCTTCCTCCCTGCTCTATGACCCAGCACTTCACCGCACACTCCACAACATGATGAAGAAGCTTTTCCTGCAGTAAGTGAGGCCTGGAGTGTGCCAGGGGGATGGGGAAGGAACAGGTGTAACATTAGTGACCAGGATGCTGGTGCCCCACAATGACCCTCCAAAAGAGGTGGGCAGTAGAGTGGAGTGGACCTCTCGTCCTCTTTGGGTGATCTCCCTTGAGCGTTGTTGCTGCATGTTGACTCCTGACTGATGGATCAGCATGTCCTCCGTGGGTTGCACTGCCCCTTGGGCACTGCTTTCCTGCCCACTGACCCCCCACTCTGTGCCCTGCCACAGGCTGGTGGCCGAGTTCAAACGCCTGGGCTCCTCTGTGGTCTATGCCAACTTCAACCGCATCATCCTGTGCACCAAGAAGCGGCGCATTGAGGACGCCATCAGCTACATGGAGTACATCATCAACAGGTGGGGTGCTCCTGAAGATGTGGCTCCCAGGTGGTGGGGCTGGGGCAGGTCTTAGGGCCAGGAAGGAGAACGCTGATTTTTTTTTTGCCTTTTGATGGGCCTCAGAACTGAATTTATTACTGGTTTTGTCAAAGCTACTGAAGGGACAAGGCTTTCCAGTTCTCTTACTGTCATACTTGGAGTAGAGATCTGTCCCTAGCTATCCTCTATAGGCAGTATTCCAGGAATACTTGTAGGATTCAGTCCAGAAAGAGAACTTCAGGAGAATCTGAGATGCCCCGTAACTCATCCCTTGGCTGCTTCTCAGCCTGTGGTACAGGCACCTCGACACAAGAGAAAGGAGCGAGGTGTCCTTGGTCATGACTTCCCCTGGGATCTCTGGCAGTGATAGGATGGGAAAGGGGACACCCCTCTCTCCTGGCCAGCACCACCTCCCCACAGTGTCCCATAGAGAAGGGACAATGCCAACACAAGGACTGACTCAGTCTCTTCCCTCCAGCATCCACTCGAAGGAGATCTTCCATTCCCTGACCATATCTTTCTCACGCTGTTGGGAGTTTCTTCTCTGGATGGACCCAGCAAATTATGGAGGTATCAAGGGAAAAGTGGATTCTCGCATCCACTACGGGGAGGTAAGAGATGGGAAGCAGTCCTCTGGGAGCGGGGTCCTGGGGTTTGAGTGGAGTAGGGGGGTGTTGGCTGGGCATGAGAAAACACTGCAGCATCGCTGGCTCCTCTAGATGAACACCAGCAAAAAGCAAGCATTGGAAGAGGAGGACAGCGAGGAAGAGGAGGAGGTGGCAAGGGAAGAAAAGGAGGAAGAAGGGGAACTAGATGTGGAGGAGCTCCTGGAGAACAACTGGAACATCGCGCAGTTCCTGCCCCAGGCTGCCTCCTGCCAGAGCTACTTCTTGATGCTTGTGTCAGGTGAGTGGTCATGAGGAGAGGACAAGGTCATTGTACTCCCTCAGTGCCAGCTCCAGGCAGGAGCTGGAGCCTTGCCCATGTCTCCCCAGCCTACATTGTGGCCGTGTACCACAGCATGAAGGAGGAGCTACGGCGTAACACTCCCGGGAGCACCCCCATCAAGAGGAGGAGCACCAGCCAGATGTCCCAGGAGGCTCTGGTGGAGCTGGGGTCCATGCCTGGTGCGTGCTGAGCCCCAGGACAGCCCTGCTGCAGGCAGAGAGCCACCCCCCTCATTGCCCCACATGCCACCAATCAGCTTAAGTGCTCTGTGCATCATCCCTCTAGGCATGATCACCTTCTCACAGAATTATGTGGCCAGTGAGCTCACCCAGAGCTTCTTCACCATCACCCAGAAGATCCAGAAGAAGACGGCTGGTTCCCGCAATGCCACAGAGCCCTCAGACATGTTCCCTGTCCTGCCTGGCTCCTACCTGCCACTCAACAACCCAGCCCTGGAGCTCATCAAATATGTTTGCAAGGTCAGCAGGCTGGGCCAGGCCGCTTGGCTGAACGTTTGAGGTCTGGGACTGCAGCTTTCTGCCAGGAGGGATCTACAATCACTTTGCCATGCCCTGCATCCATATGTGGTTACAAGGATACGAGCTGTCCTGCTGAGGACACTCTGCTGGTAGGCTCACCTGGCTCTTATCCTTGCAGGTCCTCTCCCTCGATGCCAACATAACCAACCAGGTGAACAAACTGCACCGGGACCTGCTGCGCCTTATCGAGGTGGGCGAGTTCTCGGAAGCAGCCCAGTTTCAGGACCCGTGCCGCTCCTACGTGCTTCCTGAAGTCATCTGCAGGAACTGCAACTTCTGCAGGGACCTGGACCTGTGCAAGGACCCTGCCCTCTCCCAGGTGCAGCCTCTTTCCTAGGAATACCAGAGGCCCTAGTACAGCAGTCCATTTTATCTCTGAACCCCTTTGCTTTGCAATTCTGCTTGCTGCTCATGATCACCGTCACCTAAAGCAAATTTTCTGTTCATCTTTTCTAGCTGTGTGTTATGGATCTGAGCATCCCTGGGCTTTGGCTTATGTTCTGTTCATCTTCAGAAACCCGTTCCACCATCCCAGTGCATTGGACTCATGGTGCTCACCTCCCTCTCTTTGCCCCTAGGATGGGTCGGTTCTTCCCAGATGGGTCTGCCCCAACTGCCAGGTGCAGTATGACACCAATGCCATTGAGATGGCGCTGGTGGAAACCCTGCAGAAGAAGCTGATGGCCTTCGTGCTGCAGGACCTGGTAAGTGCAAAAATTTCCCCCCTCTGCCCATTCCTGTGACTGTCTGAGGCCAGACACATTCAGTCTGCCCCTGGCAGAGGGACTTGGCCTCATCTCCTGGCCCACCTGAACCTCTTTGGCCTCCAGATTTGCAAGAAGTGTCATGGTGTGAAGGAGATGCACATGCCTGTGTACTGCAGCTGCGCTGGAGACTTTGCCCTCACCATCTCCTCCCAGGTACTTCAGCACCTGCCCAGCCCAGCCCTGGGGCAGCAGCTTGGCAAGGGACAGCAAGGAGCCCTACAGTGCCCTGGGCCTCCTGTGACTCTGCTCTAACTGCATGTCCCCTGGCATCTACTGAGCTGCCCTCTGCCCTGCCAGCCCTGCCCAACCACTCCCTTAGAGCCCCCCACTGCCTAGGGTGCTGGGCAGCCTCCTTCCCTCTCTGCTTTTTTCTTGCCAGACCTTCACTGACCACATCAGTGTCTTCCGGAACATCGCCCAGCACTACAGCATGGCCCACCTGCTGGAAACCATTGAATGGCTGCTGCACAACAACCCCCAGCTCCAGCAGTGAGGGCTGGGCTGCTCCTCCTACCTACTCTGTGCTCTGACATCCATGGAGAGCAGTCCTGGACCCCTTGGCCATGGAGATGCTGCGCACCCCTCCTGCAGCAAGAGAGAGGAAGCAGAGCTGGGACTGGGACTGGGCCATCCTGCCCCCAGCTACCTGGTGGGGTCCTGGGAGGCTCCAGGGGCTGAAGCTGGCCTCCCCACATCTGTGCTGGCCCCCAGGTGTGGTTTTAATGTTGGGTTTCTGTGAATAAATGGGTTGTAGAAGGCAGGTGTACTTTTCAGGGGGCAGGGAAGCAGGGGCTGTGGCCCACCCCTGGGTGATGCCTGTAGCTGAGGGGGGACGTGCTGTGTCCTTTGTGGGCAGGATGGACCAGGAACCTGTCCTCATCTGATCCCTCGCTACCTGCTTGGGGGCAGGGGGGTTGCAGCATGGCCGTACCCCCCAGGGTCCCACTCCAGCTCCAGGGGAAGGGGCTGCAGTGCTGGACCCTAATGTGACAGTGGCTCCTTGCCAGCAAGTGTGTCTGGTGTATCCTGCACTCCAGTACCTGCCTTAAGCCAGGCTCTGTCTCCTGCTCCTGTCCTTCATGGGGAAGAAGCCCCAGGGGCTGCAGCCAGAGCTCCACCTGTGCTTCCAGAGTCTTGGCTCTTCTCTCTGGACAATGTCACGGTGCAGTCAGAGCTGACCTCTTGCAGTGGCACTGCCTTGGCGGGGCAATGCCTCCCAAACCAAGGCAGCAGAGCCCAGCGGTGCACTCCTGCCTGCCTCAGCAGGTTCTGCAGACAGGAGGGTTGGGGTCCAGAGGGAACTGAGAGGACCCTTGTCCTGTTCCTGCATCCATGCAACCGGACAAGCAGCCCCAGGTCCACACCATGGAGCTGTGTCAGGACAGGTTTAAGCGGGATATTGGGAAAAGGTTGTTCCCCAAAAGGTGGTTGGGCACTCAACAGGCTCCCCAGGGCCGTGATCACGGCCCCAAGGGTGCCAGAGCTCAAGGAGTGTTTGGACAATGCTCTGAGGGACAGGGTGGAACTGTTAGGGTGTCTCAGCAGGGCCAGGAGTTGGACTGGATGATCCTTGTGTGTCCCTTCCAACTCATGATATGCTATGATTCTATTAAAAGTGCTGGCTGGGCCCTAAGGAGCAGCTCAAACCCCTGGAGGATCCCAAAAGATGGGAAGAGCTCTGGGCTGGGCAGACATGGAGGTGGGATGGAGCAGCACCGCGGTCCTGCCAGGATAGGCTCTCTTGCTCCCATGCGAGAGCCTCTGCTCCTCCATCCCGTCCCCATCTCCAGCTCCCAGCCGTGCTCCTGCTGCGCTGATGCCTGCTCTCCCCACTGTCACCCTCCTCTGACTCCCGGGAACCCTGGCAGGGGCCGAGGGAGAGCAGGAGGTGCCCGAGCGGAGGCCGGGGTGGAGCAGCAGATGGAGCTGCGGCGATCGGGAACGGGGCCGGGGCCGGGGCCGCAGCTCCGGCGGCTGCAGGAGCCGCCCTGCCGCTTCATGACCAGGCCGAGCAGAGCAGGTGGGATGGGATGAGTTTGGCTGGGCTGGGTTGGACTGGGTTCAGCTGGGCTGGGCTGAGTTTGGCTCAGCTGCACTCAGCTGTTTTCAGATGGGCTGCACTGAGTTCAAACAGAGTTTTAGTTATTAAAACCCTGACATCCTGCGTAGCAGCCCAAGACTGCTCCAAGGAAGGTGCCCAGGATGCTTTACCTCTTGGATTAAGCTGTATCCTCCTCAGTGCACCCAAGACTCCTCCCAGTCACCTCCTGGAGCTTTTGGATCTGTGATTTCGAGACCTTAAATCCCAGGTAGCAGCCCCAGACTGCTCTAGGAAAGCTACCTGTGATGTTTTGCTCTTTGGTAGAAGCTCTCTGTTCCAGGATCCAACCAAGACTCCTCCCAAGCATCTCCCAGGGTCTTTTCACTACTGCCTATAAATCCTGACATCCTACCTAGGTAACAGTTCCAGACTCCTGCAGGAAAACTATCTGAGATGGTTTTTTACTTTTTGAGAAAATTGTATCCTCCAGGATCCACCTGAGACTCCTCCCAGGCATCTCCTCGAGGCTTTACACAGCTACCTTAGTCCTCTGAGAACCCAGTAGCAGCCCAAGGCTCCTCCAAGGAAGCAACCTGAGATGACTGTTTTGGAATGATCTCTCTCTTCTGGGATCCAGCTGAGATTCCTCTCCCCTATCTCCTGGAGTCTTTTGTCTTCCTACAGTGCTCTGAGGTCACAGGTAGCAGCCCCAGGCTCCTCCAAAGGAGGCCTCCAAGACAACTTTTCTTTTTTGGAGGACTCTGTATCCTCCAGGAACCACTCAACTCTCCTTCCAGACATCTCACAGAATCTACTTACATCTGCCATAGGCACGTGAGATCCCAGGCAGAAGCCCCACATTCCTCCAAGGAAACTACCTGAGATTATTTTTCTCTTTTCAAGTGGATCCTCTGGGATTCACTTGAGACCCCTCCCAGGCATCTCCTGGAGTCTTTTAATTTTATTAAATCGAGACTTTAAACACAACTGGCCCCAATCCTGAGCCCTGGGGAACCCCACTGGTGACTAGCCCCAGCTGGCTTTAACCCTGTTCCCCACCACTCTGTGCCTGGCCACTAGCCAGTTCTTACCAACACCTGTCTACACCATGGGAATCAGTTTGTCCAGGAGAATACTCCAAGAAACAGCGCCAAAGGCTTAACTAAAGCTGAGGCAGACACACCCATATCTTTTCCCTCATCCACTGAGTGGATCACTTTATCATAGAAGGAGATCATGTTGGTCAGGCAGGACCTGCCTTTCCTAAGCCCATCCTGGCTGAGCCTGATCCCCTGGTTGTCCTGTATATGCCCTGTGATGGCACTCAGGATGATCTGCTCCCTGGCCTTCCCAGGCACTGAGGTTAGGCTGACAGGCCTGTAGGTCCCCAGATCCTCCTTCTGACCCTTCTTGTAGGTGGATACCTCATTTGCCAACCATTTGGTGAGCCAGGACTGCTGATAGATGATAAATAAAAAAGGCCACTTGCATAAAGGACAAGATGCTTTCTCGAAGTTAAAAGAATGCTTATGTCAGAATAAAAAATTATTTTCTTTAGATTTAATTAAATTGTTTTCTTTATCACCTAAAATTATTTTCTTCAATGGATGCACAGTATTGCCCATAATTCTGTAATGGCACTTCCAGACTGAGAAATCCAAATGTCTCTTTGTGCATGCTGTGGCTTCAGAGAGCTCTATCCTCCTCCTCTGCTGCCCTCACATTGACACCATTGCATGGCCACTGCCCAGCAGTCTCTCTGTTAGTGATTCGTCAGTCACTTTTCTCTTTCTGAAGTCTGTCTTACCTCAGGTTTGTCTGTCTAATTCTTGGCCAGATTTCCTATACTGATTCTTGTCTGTAATTCAGTCGTCTGTCTGTCCATCCTTCCATGTTCATATGTCCCTGTCTGTGTCTCGATTGTATGTCCACCTGTGACAGGCTGTTTTATAGGTACAGCTCAGACTTGCGTGAAAGTATTGAACTTTGGGTTGTTTTTTTTTATATACATGGCATGGCTTTTGGTGTCACAGGTGATGGTTTCTCCTGATTCTGTGTCATCCTTTAGGAATGGTATTCTCCAATTTAGCACTCCCATTAAAATCACATGCTATGTCCTCTTCCCCCTACAACTGGAGGCAAAAAAGGCAAAGATCACGATTTGAGATAAGAACAATTTACTGGAAACAGCCATGAGATAAGGAAATAAACAATAACAGCAACAATATTAATAACAAAAGATATAAGAAAAGAAATTATTCATGTGGAAAAACTCTCCAATATTAGACAATGCCAGACAGCTCTCTCAGCCACATTTTCTCAACCAGAAGGAAAACATCTCAGAAGAGCCTCCCTTAGCCCTGCTCCCAGCAATGACATGAGGTGGTATAGAATAACCTCCAGGTCCTGGACATACCCCCTCCCAGCTATTGCAAAAATTAGCCCTATCCTGGCCAGAATCAGGACACCCTGCTTGCAGGTGAGCTTACAGGAAAGGCACTGGACAGACCTGAAACCCTCACAGGACATTACCAGACTGTGAACTGTCATGCTCTGACAGGGGTCAGTGACAAGGAAGATCTCACCAGGTACCACTTAGTCCTTAGTGCCTGAGCAGGAAAATAATCAGCTCCAGGCTACCCAGAATGTGCTTGGCCTCAGGGACTGTGGTACTGCCTCACGTGGGACAGTGTCAGATTTCCCACTAGAGGCAGGCATGGTTCATGCTCATTTGAAGCAGACCAATTTAACTTCTTAAGCTTCTTGCCTTTAAAGCCATGATTCCCAGAACCCTTCCCAGAGGACTACCAGCCAGGCTCTGGTTGTGTGGAGAATCTCAGATGATAATGAGCTTATCACGGTTCCTGCACTCTTGCAACCCTGTTGAGAGTGTCACACACCATGCAGAGGGTGAGGTGTGGTAAGGATGGTTTAGTAAGGTCTGCAGAGGGCTAATGATGATGAAGCTGTTTCAGGAACCGAGGTGTCCCCATGGGCTGGTTAGAACATAAAACTAGAGACTCAAACTGCAGGATGATGAGGAATGGAAGCAGATAGGGACAGACCAGGTGCCTCAGGTGCCAGTCCCATCCCTGAAGGGTGACTCTTTCTGCCACCCCCAGCTGGAAGATCCCTCTGGTCAGCATGAATGTGATGGGCACACAGGGTTGCTCTGTCCCAGCACCAATGGATGCCACATGGAAGCAGCTCTCCCTCTGGAGGCATCTGTGGCAGAAGCTGCTTGGGGCTGTGAACGTGTCAGGCCTTCCTCACACATTGCACCTCAACAGCCTTGGGATGGTGTTCCCAGGAAATGCTGCTCCACCATGGCACATGCAGAGTTTTAGGGATGCAGTTCAGTAGGACTTGCAGAGCATGACAACCTCAGCCCTCAGAGAGTCCCCACACATTACTCCCAGGAACAAGCAGTGCCTCTCAGTTCCAAGGGACTCCCCTTGCAGACCCCCAGAAGTCTGACCCAAAGAGAAGATTCACACCCCCTTTGTGTGGAAGCTCATCCATACCCAGAGCTATTCCCCACTCCCCGGATCCTACAGCTGGAATGGTGCCTCTCAACTGGAAATCCCTGACAGCTGTCCCTTTTATCCCTGAACTTTTCCTCACCAGAGGCTTTTCAGGGCTACAAACACCTTTTCTCCAGCTTCTGTCTCTCCTCTAAGGTTTCCAAAGATGAATCAGTGCTTTCAAGCCATGGAAATCACTATATTGTTGTAACGTCAATCAGCATCAGGTCTCGATGGCTAAATACAGGTGAGATAAGCCTCATCCCCAGCCTGTCTCATGCCTATGTGTTTAACAGCCCTTCACATCAGCAAGCTGTTTCCACAGTGAAATCTACCCAAAATCAGGACAAACAGATCATTTTAAGCTTCTGTAACTATCTACAAGCAGACTGTTGATGGATCGGACCTGGCTCCCTGCCAAATGCCCAAACTCACAGTAACACCCCCTTCCCCCTCCCTTCTTTTCTTAGGGCAAAGGAAAAAAAAAACTATAGAATTGAAGAGCCTGAAATCAATCTAATTATATAAAAATATGTATTTTTATGTATATTACAGTTATATACAATTAAGATACCATGTACACAGCAAAGGGAATCCAAACACCCCCGGAAGGGAAAGGGAATGGGGGAAAAAGGGACAAAAAGGGACAAACCAAGATGTACAGATATACACAATCAAACCTAAGAACTAGCGAAATAACTAGCCTGCCAAGTATATCTGCAACTCTGACAATCCCCCAGATAGGGTATGTGTTTCCAAAGAGCTCATCTTCATCTCAAAAAAGGGAAATAGGTTGGAAGGGACCTCTGGAGGTCATCTGATCCAACCCACCTTTCTCAAAGCCAGGCCTTTAGCTCCCACAGGACAGGTCCTTTGTGATGACCCAGGCTATCCTCTGCCATTCTGGAGTGACCCCTGGCAACCAAAGGATCAACATCTCACGCTCCACAGTGCCATGGGCCCCATTGAGATGTCACAACCCATCCTCTCTATTCCAGAATGGCCTTTGACAACAAAACAACCAATGCCCCACACCCCCACAATGCAGTGCCACCAGTGTGCCATGGGCCCCTTTGTGATGTCATGGCCTATCCCCTCCATTCTGGAATACTCCCTGGCAATCAAAGAACCAATGCCCCACAGCTCAACCCTAACCCTAATCCTAACCCTAACACTAACCTCTAACCCTAATCTTAACCCTAATCTTAACCCTAATCCTAATCTTTTGTGATACCATGGCCTATTGTCTCCATTCCGGAATAGTACATGGCAATTAAAGAACCAATGCCCCACATTCCAACTCT